ATAATATTTTAACGCTGGCGGCGACTCCTGCCTCCCTTGTCCCATGTTGCGCCATCATTTGCTCACACTTTGCCATCAATTATTCAATATAAGCGGCATTTAACGGAAAACGAATTACATAAAAATGAAAAGAAAAACAAACGCTAATAAATTATTAAATAAATGCTGCAATAAACAAGAAATGGAACGAAATGAGCCCCCAAACGGCGAACATATAATACACTTCCAGACGCATTTAAACTGATTTATGGACGGCATCTTCCAAAATAAATGTGTCTTCACTAGAATGATTTCATTAATTAATTATACAGATTTTTTGATTGCTTTATGTAAAAACAAGTGTTTTCTTTAAAGCATGGGTATTTAATAATGGAATCAATGAAATATATTCCTTAGAGCCTTGATCCTTTTCATTAAATTGGAAGACACTTTGAAACTTTGTTGCGGAAGTATACTTGTATATTTGAAGACCAACTTAGTTATCATACATTTATCCATGTCTTACCAGTTTTATTATACAGCTAATATACTTCATATTGACTGTGATGTCGCCGCGACATCCGTGCTCCGATTTCGCAATGGATGCCATCGACGGCTTCATCGCGTCATCGAGCTAACTTTATGGTTTTGATTATGTTCGTCGAATTAGATAATTTCGAGTGTGAGCCATATCCATAAATGTTTTATTTTTGGTCTGTGTTTTTCGATTTTGCTAGATGCATATTAGTGCTCCACGCTCTGCGCTGGGCTGGCATGGAAAGTGAAAGTGATGCGGTCCATTCCGAGACCGATTCGTGCATTTATAATTTGTATCTCCAACGGTGGTTGCCAGGTGGGAAGGCTGAAAAAAGAGACATATTCAGCTCGGCGGTTATGCTAATGGGCGTGGCAGGTTTTTCAGCTAAATGATTACAGCACAAACCGCTAATTTGCGTCCCACTGTTTGCCACAGACTGCTTTGACCTTTCCCTGCGTCTGAGGGGCGATGCCGCAGTTCCCATGACAGGGCACCAACAACGGAGAAATGCCAGAGCCCAAAAGCCAACTCCCTATTATTCCGGCTGACAGTGGGCTATTAAGGCAGTCATAAGTAAGTAAGAGTGAGCTTGCATCTCTTGTTGCAAGACCCTAAAGAGACCCTAAAAGATCGGGCATTACGACTACGTCATAAACCTTCAGGCCCGGGGAACATTTGCATGGCCATAAAGAGCTAAAAGAAAGTCAATTACCACAATATTTGAATGCTACCTGCAGTTAGGAAAAGCATTCGGGTGCTGTTTATAGTGTATACTTTGTAAGGTTTAGTCAAGTGTAAATTATTTGTTGGAAATGGCTTCGTTAGCTTCATGTTTAAAAATTCATTATAAGATGATGAGTCACTCAACTCTCAAGAATACAAAGACTAACAGAAATTAAGATGCAAGTGGCTTTAATTGGTTTTAATTCGATTAAGGAAAATGGGCTCACTGAGAGCAAAGTCCTGAGACAAAAGCATATAAAAAATAAAGAAAATTGTAGTCCCTGTTTCCGAAACTTACGGTTACAGACATTTATATTTTCACCTGCTAGAGCAACTAAGTCTCGCTGTCTGAGGAATTATAAATTCCACTCATCTTCTGGGCTCCTAACTGGGCCAAAGAAATGACGCCCACTTTTTTTTGTTACCAACTGCAAGTTCAAAATAAAGCTATTAAGTGGCGGTTGCAGTTTGTTTTGCGTTTTCACTCCGTGATTGACTGCAGTGGCATCGGTACTATCATCGACATTGTGGGAGTTCGTTGCTATTTTTGTTTTCAGTGTGGTTGCGGCTGTGTCAACACCCACTCGACGGTAATGGCAACGCAAATGGTAATGGCCATGGCAATGGGAATGGCAATTGGGAGTGCTAGGTCCGGCACTCACTTCGTCATCATCCATTCAGTTGTTCATTCATGCCGTTTTTAAGTTTGTTGTTAGCTTACATTTTCCAGCTGCAGAGCTGCACGCGCCACGGCAGTGAATGTTGCTGGTGAAAAAGGAAAATTTAACCCGAACTTTCTTTTTTGTGTACTGGTGGACTGGTGGACTGGAGGACTGGCGAACGGGCGTACTGGTGGTGCAGTGTCAGCCACAATGGCAGCACCGATATAAATAAAATATAAGTGCATATATATTCATGCACTGCAGTGCTCGTTACTCTATCTATTTTGCTTACTTTTTCACAGCCACCCATTATGGCTTTGAAGCCCGTTGGACTGTTATGAGTTCACTCTTGTTTTTTACCAGACAAAAGCCAAAAGTAACCTGTTGTTAATGTGGTCGCCTCAACAACACAATAGAACAAAAAGCAGTTCACATGCCTTATCCATTTTCGATCCGATGCACTCCGAATCAGAGGTTGGCTCTTTGAAATGGGCATATGTTTTGGGCGGTGCTTGGATTCGAGGTCTTTGGGGCCAATGCAGTGAAAGCGTCGTTTCTCATGTTTCTGCCAGCCAGCACCACCCAAAGCAGCGAATATAAAAAATTAATTAAATGTCAAATAATTCAACATTCGGCGCCGTGGCAGATTTGCATCCCTACATGCACGCTGAGAAAAATTCAAATAAACCCATTTTTCATTTTATCTTAAGTAGAGGTTCATTTTATAACGACACTGCTAGTTTTCTGGCTAATTAATATTATAAATTCATAGCATCATTTATGTTTCATGGAGAGATTTAAATTAATATACAGACACACCTTTTCTTGTGATCCCTAAATATGATATGAAAACTGAAATCTATTAAGAAATGAAATAAAATAATGGGAATTTTGTATAAATCATTCTAATTTGGTTTCTTTTGACCTGTTTTAGTTATCAGAAATCTTAAATGTTATTGAGAGTTACCAAAAAATGCAAATCTAATATTTTGCTGTGGGAGAGAATTTGCAAACATTTTTAAATAAATCTTCTTTCACATACAATTATTTATTTTTATTATAGAAAATAAAAATGTAATGAATCATTTTTGTAAACTATTTTTTTTTTTTTTACATTTTTATAAATCTTTGAGACGCTGTAATTTTTTTCCAAGTGATCATTATTATCTGAGATTTACGCAATGCGTTAAATTCCCCTGGGCATCTGGACCCCTGTCCCCTTCCTCATCCCCTTATAAGAAAAAAGTGGACATCCCGCTGTCCCTCGCCGGAGAGATGCATATAAAATTCGCTTTCACTGAGACGATTCGATCCAAGCTGAGCTGGGAGCTTTGGCTGATCTGGAAATGCATTTTCACACCACACGCTTGGAGCCCAATTCATAAGCGTATTTTCATTGCATTTTCACACATTCATAACTCTTTAATTAACTATTTTCAACACTTTCGTGGGGTCTCTGCGCCACTGGCAGTGGCACTCGCATCCTGCTCGCGGTCATTTGCCGAGATTCGAGATTCCAGATCCACTCCGATCCACATACACTCGCATTTCGCCAACTCTCTCGCCCCGGGGATGGGATATTGCGAGGCAATGCGATGCGATGCGGTGACTTTCATTTACTTGGGCTCCTGGACACTGTCTATTTGCGTACTTTTACCCTCAACTCATAACCATATCCATACGCATACCCAATACCCAGAGCCCATCCAGTTGTCCGGTCCGGCATGCTAGTCACTCACTAAGTTAGTTATTTAGTTAGTCAGTCAGTGTGGCGGGAGCTGGGATAGCTGTGGTCCGCGCTACTGGTGTTTGCCAGCCGATAGATCAGCCTGCTGGACGCCACTTGGCGGTCGGGCCTGTTAGCCATGACAGTTGTTTGTTTTGGCCGCATCTTATTTGACAACTCATAAAATTTGCAAGTCCGTCGCCAATGCTGCAAAATGAAGAAGGGCAGAGCGCACATACCGCATACCACACATATCTCGCAGATGTATCCGCAACTTTCCCTTTTCTGAATGGGGTTATGATTATTATTATCGGCACTGTCACTGCGGTTGGAATCTGGTCTCCGGGCTGGCTTTCGACATAGACTTTTAGCAATCAGAACGTGATCGTTGTCAGCAGACTTTTTGAATTCAAATGACCATAAAGTTGAATGAAATTGTAAATGTTAGGGTTTCTTTTGAATTATTCTTTCAGATTTAAGTTTTCTTAAACAAATGTGTGTCAAGCTGAGTTATAACTTTTATAATTCTACTTTTAAAAATTTTAGACCATAAAGCAAAAATGAGATTAGGCCAATATCACTAATAACTTAAACGAATATACATTTTGAACAACGTTCGATCTAAAATAAATTTTTAAAAGATTTATTTCACAATTGAATGAAATGTTACACTTTCTTTTATTCACATTTGTCGTAAGTTAAATACAAAAATATTTATACATTCATTTAAAAAGAATACCACTAGCTGTAATGAAAAATATCCTTTAATAGAAACATTTTTGAAATAAATTTTTTAAAAATTTATGCAGAAATGCCATTTTGCACACCTGTACCATTCGAACGGGTCGCCCGACTGAGCTTGAAAGGGAAATGCTTTTACTTACTTTTACAAAAACTCATTTTCAATTAAAGCCCAGACAATTAAGATTACGACTACGATTTTCGGCATTTTTTTTGGTCCGTTCTCCGGCGGGTAAAAGTGGCGGTGGCTTGTTGTTTTTCTTATTATTGGTTTCCCACAGGCAGGAGGCTGCGACTGTTGACAATGTTACATGAACTTCAGGCGAAAGCAGCGCAGCAGCAGCGACAGCTTACAAATTACAGTAACAATGCTTTTCCAACTGCTGCCGCTAATGCTGCTGCGACTGGTGGCGCTGCAGCGCTGTAGAAGTCGACGGCGCTGCCGACTGAGCATTACCGTTGGCTGGCCAAACGAAAGACTTAAGCGAGAAACTTGCGCGACTAGTTTGAGCGTGTGGCGGGGCAGAGAGGGGCGGAGAAATGCTTTCGCAGCAGATGAGCCGCCATCGCTGCCTCTGCCACAGCCACTGCCACTGCCGCCGTATATAAATTGTCGTGTGCGGTGGAAAATTGTATCATTCAATCCTTACCCGTCTGAGCAGCTATACGGCAGCAGCAGTCAGCCAAAAACAGAAATAACCAAAAATCAAAGTTTTCCACTCGATTGAGAGAAAGTGCGTTCGCCGCGTGAAAGTGTGCATAACAAGGACTATCCCACATAATATAACAGAACCGTGCAAGAACAAAAACTCACAAAAATGGCAAGCCATAAAGTTACTTTCGGTGTCTTGTGTCTGGTCGCCTTGAGCGCCGCCCTCCCCGCCGAGGAGACGCGCGGCCACGCCCGCAACGCCATTGGCGGCGAGAACGACATTATGGATAGCATCTACAGCGACTGCCTGCGCAAGGACTCCGTCTCGTGTGTCAAGTACAAGCTGTTCAACTTCGTGGACAAGGTTCTCGGAGCCCGCGACCAGTTCGCCCTGACCGAGGGTGTCACCGTGGTCCGTTCGCCCGACGCCCCCCAGCAGGAGGCCGCTCGCTCCATTTCCGGTGACGAGTCGTTCGAGTCCCTGGCCCTGAACCGCATCAGCAGTTTCCTGAACTCACACACCATCAAGGTTGAGCTGAAGGGCGCCGACATCGTCCAGGCCGTCAGCTCCACTGGCCGTGCTCTCGAGGATGCCTCCGAGTCTCTCTTCGGCTCCAACGACCCCAACGCCCCCGAGGAGAGCCGCGGCAAGAAGAAGAAGGCCGCCAAGATCCTGGGACCCATCCTAGCTCTGGTTGCCCTGAAGGCCGCCGCCCTGCTGCCCCTGCTCCTGGGAGCTATCGCCCTCATCGCCGGCAAGGCTCTGTTGATCGGTAAGATCGCTCTGGTCCTCTCCGCCGTCATCGGCCTGAAGAAGCTGCTGTCCCAGGAGAAGCACGTGACCTACGAGGTGGTTGCCCACCCACACCACAGCAGCAGCCACTCCGTCAGCCACGACTCGTACGGCAGCGGATACAGCGCCGATGCCGGAGCTTCGTCCGGATCCTACGGCAGCAGCGGACACGGTGGCTGGGGACGCTCCATCGATGCCCAGGACCTGGCCTATGGTGCCCAGAAGCCCGTCCAGGCCTAAGTCAATCCAACTCAACAACCACAACATCAAGAAGAGATCCAGAGGAATCTGAGGAATCTCGAACCAGAACCAGACTCAGAATCAGAACCACGAACACAAACGACTTGAGCGATGCAGCTCACCTGAGACTCTTGAAGAGGAACACATTATTTATCGTTCGTTTTAATTAATTTATTAATTTAATTTATTTTATTTATTTCTCCAAGCAAGAACACACCCGAAACAAACACAGAAACATGAGCATGATTATGAATGATCACAAAGACAGAAACAAGAATCAGACCCATATGCCGAGTGTACGTGCATTTAGTTGTTAAAACTGATAAAGCTAAAGTTAAGTTTGTAAAGAGTTTTCCCCGAACATGTTGCAAATACTCAGCCTTAAATCTAAGCATGCACAATCGCTCTATCATCCAATCCAACGCACTCTCATTCACAACTATCGCTATTCCTATCTATCTCTTTAACTATCCATCTATCTATCTGACTGTCTATCTGTCATCTATCAGACTATCTGTCTTTGCTGCCTATACCAAAACTTTGTCGATTGCTATGCAATCGGTTCAACGTACAAATCTACGCTACTCTACAATCTATATCTGTCTCCTCTGTTCTCTGTACTCTGTACTCGACTATATCTTCACATGCAATTCTAGTCTTACAATACAACACCAGCAAGCATGCCTACTATTAGCTTTAACTCTTACTATCTAGCTCTAACTATCTATCTATATCTGTCCTGTCACTATCCTTTCCAACTTCAGTTTCCAGTGAGTCACAGTTTTGGCCAATTGCATGCCATCACTTGCCATAGGTTTTCAAAAACATAAAATCACAAAAAGGGAACATACACCACACCAAACTGAACTCATTTTCCGACTCTACCGCTATTTCCTCACGCGACTCTTCAACTCGACTTCCACTTCGACTCTTCAACTTTCTCATTTCACTGGGCACCTCCATCAGGCTATCTGCTGTCTCTTTCCGCCGTCTCTCTGCTGCTGCCTTCTGCATCTGTCACTTTCTAGCGCTCTACTTTCCCGAAAAAAAAAACAGCACACACACAGACACACGCCTAGTTCACTGTAATTTTTAAAATATTATTTTTTTTTAATATTTTAACTCCTTAATCGTACTTAATGTATCCGTGCGACTCGAGCCACTTGTCCAGCCCGGTCTCTGGCGTTTAGCCTGTTCCCCTGCTCGGTGGAACCAAACAGATTTTTAATACTCAACTTAAAAATGGCTTGTTTGGCGACACCCGGACTGGGGAGCTCTCTGGCCAACGGGCGCAAGTTTCGGGTCGCCAGCACGTCGTCTACTTTAATTTAAATATTTTAAGCAAAGTCGTACGGCGCTTTCACAACTATAACTCTCATCCAGCAACCGTAGTAAGAAGATGATCAAGAGAAGAAGCGTAGAAGCTGCAGATGTGGGCAACTCACACAGAACAAAAAATATAATCACACTCACACTAAAACGACAAACTACAAAATACCAATCACAAAACTCACTCACAAAAGAATGTAAATTCCATAGATTACAATATTCTTTCTCTCTGTCACACATGCATGTCATTAAAATACACAAAAAAAATGAGAAAAACAATATACAAAAAAAAAAAGTTGAAAAAATACAAGCAAGGAAGATTAATAAATAAAAAATCAATGAAAAATCAAGACAAGTTTGTATAATTTATGGCATACCATCGGGTGAAAGCGAAACGATTTGGCTTGGCTTTATGCATAATTCCAATACCGACGAAGACGAAAACTTGCCGTTGACAAGTCCATCTTTGGCTGAAATGCTTTCATTTCAAGTGAAATTGATTTGCGACCCAGTTGCCCCAGCGAATTTCAAATCTTGCCCGTTAATAGGTGTAAATAATTATTATGAGTCGGGCCTGGAGCTCGGCCCGGGGTCTGGCCAAGACAGGTTAACAAAAATCTAACAAACTGTTGCCCGAAGCGTGCCCCGCTGGCTTCCGACAACGACAACGACATCACAAATCCCAGTAACAGCAACCGACAGTGAAAGTAAACAGTTAGGAAACCAAAACATCAGCCAAACCACCACGATTTGATGCTGTTGCTCTGGGCCTTGTTGCTGCTGCTGCTGCTGCCACTGCAGTGAAAAGTCTAGGAAACTGTGGCACATGGCCGCAGCCACGAAAAAAAAGCAAGTCGCTCTAAATGCGGTTTTTTGTAACAGGCCAACGAATGCCAGGGCGAAAACAAAAGACGAGTTAATGCGCATTAATGTTAACAACTCATTTGAGCAGCTGCCAAGCTTGAACAAACATTGACTGACCACTGCCAGTCGCTTTCTGGCGCTCCAGTCGCTCACTTAATCAAAAAGAAATTACGAAAATTTCTTAGATGCGCTCTGCTGGAAATTATCCCAAAAGAGGACGGCACTAAATGTCAGCAAGCTTAATGAATTTCTCATTTTTGAAGATTAAAAAGTTAACACTGGACTTGGCTTTCAACTGGGTACTTTTTTATAAAGATCATTAAGGTTATTAGATTTGATAGTTGTAAGTTCCTAGAAAAAGAATTAGAACAAACCACGAGTAATTTCTTTAACTTTATATTATTTATAAACATTAACGGTGGGTTTTGCCTTTCCTGAGAATACTAGTCTTTAGACTTCCCTAAACCTATTTTCCCTTTTATTTTTAATGTAATTTATGCAAATGCTGCAATAAACTATTCTTACAGCCTATACTTAATTGATCTAAACAAAAAAATAGGCAGCTAAACGATTTAAGATTCTTAGCCATCAGCCTATTTTCGATTCTGATAAATTTTGTTTATGGAGGCTGGTAGACATGGTACGAGCATATGCAAATCGGCTAACCAAAACGAAAGCCTGACTCAGTGATTTGGAGCGAGCAACGGTTGTGCCGCTAGAGAAATGCCGCTCCGATGGCAGCCAAACTGGTGCAGCATCAGCAACATTACCCTGCACCACCACCACCAACACTGAACGATTCCGCACCACCAGCTGCAATTTCACATTCTGAAAAACCAGATAAAAAACCACGAAATTTGCAATAATTCATAAGCCGGCGTACACCAGAAGACTTAATGGAGGGGGAGAAAAATGCGAAGGAGAATCGTGCAGAGTGCCCAATTTGAAAGCAATTTCACTGTCAACCAGCGGAGAGGTGTGGCGGGGAATGGCGCTGAACCACTGCGCCGCTGTACCACTGTACCAGTGGAGCCAAGTGGATCCATTGGATGCCTGCAAGGGCGTCGTCGCCGCCGTGCACAGAATGTTCAACGAAATGAAAACGAGTTTTGGCCCGGCTCCGAAAGCAGGTCACCAGAACGTAGACAACTACCAGAGGCGGTCCCGAAGCCAAAGTTGATTGTCGGCCTTGCTGCATTGCGCTTTCCAGCCAAACATGAACGAGTAACAAAAAAAACCAGGAAGGATGACCAGAACCAGGAATACCCTTGAAGATATACATAGATATGCACATATGAGATAGAAATCTTGTTTTTAAATTTGAACATCTCAGTTTTAGAAACTAAAATTTAAGTACTGTATAATTTTCTTTGTAAAATTAAACCAACAACCATTAATTGTTTTAATACCTCTTTCGGAACAATTGCAAAAATACGACAACACGGAAAAAAAGCAAGAAAGCCTGCCCGGCTAATAATATTATTAAGCGCTTTGCATTACTGCTGCTGGCATAATTTTACGCTCCGGCACGTTTTTCCCACACTCGTCATACACTAACCGAAAACACAAAGCACGCATCCAATTTGTGATTACACCAATTGCCGTGTAGCAGTAGTTTTGCTCACAGCTAAGCGTTTTTATGAGCTTTCATTGCTTTTGATTAATTGAAAGTTAATTGGCCACGAGACCCGCAAAGCCGTGAAACAGTTTGGTCACTGGAGCGTTGGCCCGCCACGCCTGATTTGCTTCTGTATCGTTGGTGGTCAATTTAAATTACGTTAGGCAGTTAGCGTTGCATCGTAATTATCAAACGGTCGTCGCCGGCATGGGGCAGCGGTTGCATCGCCATCACTAGGCGGTTATGTTGCACGTTGCGTGAGGACTCTGATTAGCAGCTCCATTTGCATCAGGCGAGGAGTGCCTAACTTCCTACATCGCAATGTTAATGATCGATAAACGTCAACTCCAGCATGTTCAGCTTGTAAGCTACCATGGCACTGAACGAGGCCTAATTTTTTAAAATTATGCACTTATTATCTGTCGGTAAATTTTAGGAAAATGAAATTTTTTACTTGAAAGTATCTAGAAGTGAATTTCTAAACGAATTCAATTTCATTTAAGCTAGAGTAGTTGAAAAAGTTCATAAAGATAAAGTATTTAAAAAGTTTTCTGCCTGTCCGGATTTCATCGTCCGCTACTGTAGTATTTTTCACTTATAACTTACTAACAAGATTAAAAAAAATAGATATTTTCTTAAAAACAAGATATAGTTTTCCGAAGGTAGTCTACCTTGAGAAAGGTAAGAGAGGAAAGATAATAATTTCTTTTAGCACAAAAAATACAAACGTGTTAAATATTACAATCGTTTACTTTCCATTTTCATTCAATAACCCTTTTAAAGTTTTTCAGGTTTCTTATGTGTTTACTAATTAACGACAGACAATTTTTTAAAATTAGCATAAGTCAAGACGCCACCTGTTGGCCATTTCCCTTTAATAAAATGAATAAGTTTTCAAGCTTTCTCCAGCTTTTATCAAGAAAGACCAAGTTCGTGTCTTAACTCTTTTGTTTTGCAATCTCTACTTTTTCCTGAAAACACCCAAAAGTATGCAATAAAAATTGTGAATGACAAGCGATTGCGAAAAAAAAAGAAAAGTTTTTGGACCAAAATGGGCGACGACAGTGAATCTGCCCCAATGACTGAAAACCGAAAATGCATCTTGCATGGCTGCGGTCTACTAAGTTAGACAGCTGCAATGCCACAACAATCACAATGCCAGGGGCAGGGGCAGTCACGCACGAGCTCAATAGCTTAGAACGAGCTGCAAGTGGGAATTTCATTGCAAATGAAACTAAACAGCATTTCGGCGCCTTTCGCAGCGAAATCACGAAAGCGCAGCCCCATTGCCCGACAACAGCATCTGGCTAATTGCCGTGATATTTAGACTAAGACAAAGCGTGAGTTTTTTGTGTTTTGGATTTTATTTAATTTTTTTCTTTTTCAATTTCAGCAACCGCCCGACATGCAATTGGCCACCAAGTATAAAATGCATACGGTCCACCGGCCAGCACTCAGTTGAGCGCCCAAAGAGCAGTGCCTCACCTCACGGATTGCCATCGCCCAAGGAGCAGCTGCATCCCAGGATCAAAAACCGAAAATCACCATCGCAGACATGATCAAGTACGTGTGGCATGTGGCAGCTCTCATGATTGTCTTCTGTTGGCTCTCGAGTGCCCGGAGTGCCAGCTACCAGCATCAGAGCCTGAACAGTCTGAGTTCTGGATCCAAGCCAGAGGCCACTAATACCCTTTTGGGCTCCACGGGCATCTGGAAGGACATGTCGATGGTCTATCGCATTTACCAGCAGTGTTCGGGAGACAATATGTCTGTGTGCCTGAAGGTCAAACTACTAACTGGCCTGGAAAAGGCCTTCCGATCCGCCAAAACACTCCCTCTAATGGATGGCATTCAGTTTGTAAGTTCCGGTGGGGAGAGTGAGGAAATCAAGAGGGCACCTATCAATGAACAGGATATTGAGGCCGTACTGCCGCGGAGCCTTGAAGCCAAGGATCAGGTGCTGAACAACATGATTCTAAAGCGAGTGGGCAACTTCCTTCAAGATCACACTCTGCAGGTGAGTTTCAATATAAATAGCCTTACCTCTATGTTCCTAATTTACTTGTTTCCATAGATCAAGTTCGACTCGGAAGCGAATACGGTGGAGGGTCGCAAGAAGAAGGAAAAGAAGGGACACGGCGCCATGATCATGATCCCCTTGCTGCTCGGTGGCACGATTGTGCCCCTGGCCTACGGAGCCCTGGCCATGTTGGCCGGAAAGGCGCTGATCGTATCCAAGTTGGCCCTGGTTTTGGCTTCGATCATTGGCATCAAGAAACTGTTGAGCGGAGGTGGCGGCGGAAAGGACTCCCACGAGGTGGTCGTCTCCTCGGGCAGCCACTCCGGATGGGGTCGAGAACTGGACGCCTCCATGGCGTACAGCGGCTGGAAACCGGCAGCCAAGGAATCCGCGGGCAGCGCCAAGAGCCTGTGAGGTTAATATTGCATTTGCGAGCTTGAAGTGAGATTGACGGAGAGTGAACCAAACAAACGATCGCCGCAGAAACTGTCTGACTAATGTCTAGTATAATTCGAGAAATCGATCATTAATTTAACGAACTAAATGTGTGTGTTAGGTTTAAGTAAGCGCTAATTAAACATAGTAAAATTCTGCTAACCGAAATATGCTTGAAAATAATTGTTTCCTTTCCCGAGACCACACCCCGAACATGCATTTATGATAACAATTACACTTTAAATGAAACGGGCATACGTGCGTGCCAAAAAGTGGCAGAGGGAACTCCCTCGCTTTCTACTAAAGTGAAAAAAATGCTTGCAAACACTATAGCTGTCAAAATTATATGTTTTTTCTTGATTAAAATGATTTTCGAACAAGAAATAAAATTAATTATTTTAAAATAATGGCAAGCTTTAGCCAGAAAAGCCTTCATTGTTGTAAGGCCAATGTACCCTTTTTTATGATTTTAATTAAAGTTCCAAAATTGTTCCTAAGGCTGTAGAGTCCGCAGCATTGGTTGCACATAAGCCCCGATGAAACATTCATAGATCAAATATTCCCAAACACTTGGCAGGCTTCTCTTCTCTGCCAAAGTGGCTTCTTTGGTATGCGACAATTTCACTTTTGAGCTTCTGCCTGAAATATTAATGAGGAGCACAGTGTAGAACACTGAACCAGGGTAACGACATACCCGAAATGCCCCTCCCCTTCGCATAGTCCCTCGGCTATAATGTTGTGGGTGCCCTTTACGTGAAAACTACTGACGTCATCAAGTTGGGACTTTCATTAATTGAAAATTATTCAAGCGTGTTCAAGGTAAGCTGAAGCCGGAGCCGGAGCTGAGACTTCGCACCCGGAATCCCAGCCAAGCGGAATGAAAGTGAAACTTTGAAAAGGTGTCAATTCGGAAGATGCCACCGAAAAGGGTTGGGGCATTAGCGGGTTGGGCCGAAACTGGGGATTGTTTGCCTTCAACGAGAGTTGCTTTAAGTTTGGCCATTTCTCTAGAGCGAATATTTCGCATGCCGATTGAGGTCATCTTGCCAAATGGACAGGGCGTGGAGGAGGGGCAGGCCGGCAGGAGATAGCTTGCAAATTAATTGGGCATACACTCAATTAAAGCGAAGTGGGCAGATTTATGGAATATACTAAGCTCGTAAACTCTGACAAATTGCATTGCTTAACTGGACATGCCATCATCAAATTAAAATACCATTTCTCAGCAACGATAAGCGCATTTAAATTTTGGAAAATCTCTCTAGTTCCGGCTAACTGTGTTAGCCATGTCTCGAATTCTCTGATTATTTCTATATTACGTCATACTGTGTGTGAAGTGCCATAGTTTAAATTGTGTAAAAATTTCAGAAATGAAATTACTTTTTCACTTTCATTGCGCACGCACTGAGTTAATGTTTGTCTCGAATTTGATATAAAGTTAGTGAGTTACAGCCGACCTATAAATATCCTAAATGATTGTTTATCTAGTAAACAAAAAGATTTCATTACCTATTCAGTGAAATAAAGAAAAACAAAACCCCTTTCTTTTTCTGAAATAATATTATGTTCTCTTATTGATTGAAAGTTAAGTTATAGGATATTTTAAGTGCTTTCTTTTTATAGGGTATTTCTCGGTTGAGGGGTCTTCAAGGGAACATGTCACAGAGTGACAGTCGCAGTCACATCCATCTATGTCCACGTGCAAGGCATTTACATATTCCATCAACGGATTTTGGGCTCATGTTGCCGCTTTGGATAATCGTGTACGAAACGTTGAGTGGCTTTGCATCTAGATGCGAGTGTTTCTGTCTTATTTTTCAAATGTTTATTTTTTTTGGTCTGGCCAGCATGCAAATCTCCGGCGTAGCTTTCTTTCGGGGCACTTGTCTAATGCGTAAATTACCCGGTAAAACGATGAGACGATGAAACGAGAAGCAGTAGAAAGAAACAGCAGCTGAGACGTGTGGCAATTTTCGAGTGCTGCAAATTAAAGCGACATAATGCCAATGAAACTCTCGTGTTCGACTATCTGCTATCTGGTCGCTTCGCTGTATTTGTATCTGTTTCGCTGTCTGCGGCTGTGCAACTGTCGACGATTGGATTGGCATACAAAAGTGCAGATACATTATGCGAGATGCTTGCTGGAGGCAAAAACAAACACATAAATAAAAAGCAAAATTAAAGTGAAATTTTTTCCACCATACCGCCGCGGCACAGCCAGCAAACTAGTTAATTTTCTATTTTACTCCAATTCGAGTGGCGGTTGCTTTCGACCAGCGGCCGCCATCTTAAATGGTGCTCTTGATTAACCGCCCACCGCCCACCCCCACCGTCACTGTGGGCAGGTGTTGTTGCAATTTGAAATGAAACCACTGCAGCAGCACTTTCTGCACCGCCTGAAACTAACTAGCAGCTGAAAGTGTGCCATCATCATCAAACTGCGGCGCCGCCAAGGAGCCTTAAATTCTTAAAAAAATATGTAATTTAACGCTAATTAATTAGCGAGCTGAGAAAGAAACTTATTTTTATTTTCATTCATCACGAATAGGGTTCAACAGGGTTTCTTTACAAAGTATTGGATGGATTATGCGTTCATTTCTTATTATTTATTTTTGTAGTTTGTAGAAATGGATTAAATAGCTTTTTAAAATTATCTTACTAAGATCTTAACTCATAGATATATACCCCATAAACCCTACTCTTTTTATTGTAAGCCATATAAAGTAAATTATGTGTGTATTATGCCCAAACAATAAGCCTTCTCCCTCTGACAGGCAAACAGCTAACAGCCCCATAAGTGTGTTGACAAACAACAACTGCCAACAAGATCTGCCGGCGCTAGCGCTGACTGCACTGCCAACTGCGACTGCGGCGCTCACCTGTCCAGGTGAGGCTAAGCCCCAGCTTCGGCTGCAACCTGGCCTGCCGGCCGATGCGCCTCCTCGTCTTCGCACTCGCATTCGCACTCGTCGGTGTTTATTTAAATTCTAAGCTCGGCTACCGTTTCTCTGGGGGCAGGGGGCCAATAGAGAGGAGGCAGCAGGCTAAAAGGCTGGCCAGAGCCGGGGGGCAGTGGGGCCTCGCTAAAGCGACAACAACAAGATTGTCGTCGCTGCTGGCCAGCGCTGCTCAGCTCTGCTTCGGAATAAAACTCGATCCGCGTGCGTCTTCTAGCACAGTTTACCGGTTGCCTTCTGACCGACAGATCGAACTTACACCAATCGAGCGCAGTGCACTCAATCAAACGATTATCCTCCAGTGCCAGGAAGTGGCAGGATACCAGCAAGTGAAAAGTGTTTGTGTACAGAATAAACTCAAATCAAAAACCCAAATCATGTTCAAGTTCGTGTGTTTGTTCGCGCTGATTGCCTCCACGGCAGCAGCCGCTTCGGAGGCCGACAGCCTGCTCACCAGCGCCCTCAAGATGGTCAAGGACTGTGGCGAGCGTTCGATGGTCTTGTGCATGAAGGTAAGACTTTAGGGAAGTCAAGCCTAATCACAGAAATAAAATACTTCTAACCCCTAAAAGGAACGCGCCTTGCACTATTTCGATAACGAGAACGGAGATGTGCGACTAACCGAGGGCATTGCCCTGGTCAAGACCGACGACATCCCGGTGGGCCGTTCCCTGAACGACGTCCAGCTGCCCGAGGAGGTGGAGGCTCGCGAGGCCGAGGTTGACTCGTTGCTGGTGGAGCGTGTGGCCCGATTCTTCGGCACCCACACCCTGCAGTTCAAGGTGCCCAAGGACTCCATCCAGGATATGCAGCGCGCCCTCGAAGAATGTGAGTATCTCTGGGGCTGGGAAACGTCTCGCGATCGATTAGATTGCGCATAAATCATGGTTCTGGTTTGATCAACTCGTTGCCAATTTGGGTTAGTAATGCAGGCGACCAGTTTTTGTTGGCTGTTTGATTTTTTTAAGCGGGCAGATGGCTCGGACTGAAATCCTGTTTTCACTGTTAAGTCGCTGCCATATCGAGGTCATCCTGTAGCCATGTAGCGGTGCATTGGCAGCCAGTTGGCTATTAATTGCACTTTAGTCAGCTAGTTAGGCTTACTTTCTTTTTGTGGCGGCGGCCGCGGCCAATTTCCGATTTCTAAACGCAGCCACATAGAAAGCGGTCGATCCTGTTCGCCACTAATTATTTGTGCTCCAATTGCTAATGAGCGGTCAGCTATGATTAGCCAGCGAAAGTACTAAATGCAAATTGCTTTTAAAACTCAGACTAATGTATGAAACCTTTTGAATCCTTTTTATTCCCCCAGCCCGTGGCAAGAAGAAGGAGAAAAAGAAGTACCTGATGCCCCTGCTGATGCTCTTCAAACTGAAAATGGCCGCCCTCCTGCCCCTGGCCATTGGCTTCCTGGCCCTGATCTCCTTCAAGGCCCTCGTGATCGGCAAGATCGCCCTGCTGCTGTCCGGCATCATTGGGCTGAAGAAGCTGTTGGAGTCGAAGAAGGAGAACTACGAGGTGGTGGCGCACCCCCACTACGAGCACGAGCACAGCTACGGACGATCCCTGCAGCAGGACTCCCAGGCGCAGCAAATGGCCTACGCGGCGTACAAGCAATAAGCCAAAAACGCAACCGCAGCAGCAGTAGCAGCAACCATCAGTGCAATACTCGGAGGGCCGTCTAATTTATTCTATTTATTTAATTTATTTGTATAGCATAGTTCATGCCAGGCTTAAACACATAAGGCGCCATCAACGATTTGAGACACAAACTAAAGCAAACTTACAAAAATGAAGGAAACCAGAAGCACCCATAGTGTATAAGTTGAAACAGATTGCAAAAAAGAAGGGGTTGAGCGAGAGGGGGCAGCCTAAGCCATTTAATTTTAATCTTAATCTCACAAATGACTGCAACTTTTGTATTAATACTCAGAGCTTTACTATTGACTACAGCTTAAAAACTCTACTCTTAAACTTAACTCAACTGCTTAACTCTGAACTGCTGAAAGGCTCGGCCACGCCCCCTTAGCACTGCCACGCCCCTTTCTACCAAACAGAAATCCACAATAAAAGAAATGCCGCATTTATGTCAAAAAGATGTTTTAATTTTTCAATGAAATATCGCTCATACGCCGCGTGTGCAGCGGAATGCTTTCACTCTTTCACCAAAGACGAACGGGGCCAGTGATATCAATTGCATGTGCGACACACAAAATCATGGAGTGAATTTCACTTGAGTCAGCGAGGCGTGTAGAAGCCTCGGTTGGTCAGTTTGAGGCACAACCACATCCCCTGATGCCCACATCGCCGCATACATCCACCGGCTATCCAATGTCGCTCCAGAAAGCACACACATAAAGTCGCACATCTCGGGAAAATCTAATGAAAGTAGCGACCTGGTTTTTAGTTTTTGCATTCACAGTGCAACACGTACGCCCAGTAATCCCCCAATCCCCAAACCAAATGGGGTGTGTGATTACAGAGAGAAAAGTTTTTTCATCAAAAATGGTTGCTTTGTTTACCAAAAGTTATATAGTTCAACATTTAAGCCACAAAACAAACACTGAAAATAAAAGTAAAGTTTAAGAAAAAATGAAATAATTAATTTTTTTTTACTTTATTTCTTCAAGTGCTTAAACAGTGTCAATGGCTTGGATGTGGATGCAAACATGTATTCATGTTCCAGACTTGGGAGCACGCCTCGCGGCTGCAATTTATGGCCGTCGGCATTCGGTATTCGGCATATAAATGGCCAAAACCGACAAAACGGTCAAAATGGCCAAAGGTCTACTTAGCCGCCTCGTATATCTTCTTTTTTTTTTTTTGTAACTATTTGTAAACAACTGCAGGCAACTGGCCGTGAATTTCAAGTATTGGCGGTGAAAGTGTTTATTAATACAATTTCTTTTTTGTCGCGGCGCATTGAAATTGGAAATTTATTGGTCGAAGGCCATTTACTCGAAGTCGAACTCAGACTAAGGACTCCTGACATGCACACAAATGGCAAACCATTTGTGAAGCAACCGCCCAGGTTCCACAGCTAATCCAAAGTCAAAAGTCCTTGAAATTTTTCCAGAGGGGGTCTGACTTTCCATGAAGTTTTCCTCTCTCGACTGTCTGCACAGTTTTATTATTTTCCAAGTACTAGACAAAGTCCCTGAGGTGTCTTAGGGTGTAAAGGTGTCTGAAACGTTCATCAGGGAGTATATTAAAAAGCGCTAAGACCGCAAATGACCTTGATGTTGCTGGCTTGGAAGCTGTTGACGTAATGGCAACACTAAACTTTTATTGCATCTTTTTCAGTCAGCGCCTGAAAGTATTCAGCGACTTTCGACATAAACTGCAAGAGATTATTTGAACAACTTTTTAATACCCATTAGCTTGACTTGAATTAAACTTTCTTTGAACAGGGATTTCGTGGCTTTAGAATTCCAGTATTCTAGCTTTTGGGGATTAGATTAGAATCAAGATTTTATAGTGATTCGATTAGAAAATCTTAAAAGTTAATGAAGAAAATCCAAATTATTTTTATAAGATAGTAATTAGTTTTTCCATGGTCGTGATGCACTATTTATTTGAATTTCTAACATTAACCAAATATTTTCCACCCATTTATCTGCTTGTTTGTTTTCATGATTGACCAGCCATAATTTTCAAGTTTTGTGTGTAAACGATGGAACATTTCTGGTAATTCTTTAAATCGCCTCCGTTTATTTAATTGCCGTGCATTAGACAAGGTAATTGTAGATTTTCCGAGCCGTCCGTACTGTGGCGCCTGCGGGAGTTTCATAATTTCTGTGGAATAACAATAACCCATTACATAATGGCCGAGATGTGCGAAAAATTGGCCACCAGTCGACGCAGCTTGGGTCGTGTGCACTGACCATGACCATGCCGGCACAAGCACTGCCAACAAATGCCACAAAAATAAGAAGTCGACGAAGACGAAGACGAGGAGCCGCCACTTGGCGTTGATGTAAAACAATTTCCGTTATTGGGCCATGTGCAAAAAGCTGCGCGTTAACTGAATGGGAGCAGATTTGGCCAAAGACCGAGTTGATTATTGTATAACAAGATGAGGTCCGGCGGCCGGTATATAATCCAAGGGTCAGCTGGCGAGCGGGCTCAGTTCAGATCCATACATTTGACCATCATGTCGCCACTGGATTTAGTCTTCCTCCTACTCTGTTCCCTGCAACTAAAATCGGTAGTTACAAGTGACTTATCCGCCGTGAGCTCGGAATTTAAGCAATGTGTTCGTGGAGCTCAGAAGCCAAAGTTAAGTGAATGTCTGGGCCGGTCTGCTCTGAATTTCATCCAACGCTTGGACGAAAGTGATAACGTTCGGTTTGTGGAGGACTTCGCAACGGTGAAAAGTGAAACTGCCGCAGTCAGATCTTTGGCAAATGTCCTGGATACAGATCCTGTAGACTTTCGGGGCATCCTAGAAAATGCTGGAGCCGTGATGGGTCAGCGTAGCTTGGAGTGGCACATGGATGGATTGTATCCGGGTCTCATGTTCAAAATTGGACCCACGGCTGATGCAAATAGCGTAGCAGAATTTGTTTTAGATGGAGCTGGCCAAGGAGAGAGGCAATTTGGTTTCGAGGAACCAACCACGGGTAGGAACATTTAGCTTAATAATCTTAGTGGCTTTTTAAATACCCAAGACGATAATAATTGTCGAAATAAATTTAGAATTTCGTCTAGACAAGTTCTTGCTTCACTTCCCCAATTTCTCTCAAAAGTTTGATTAACACCTCATATTAATTTTACTTACTTATTTTATTTTTCCAGGCCGTCTGCTGGCTAAACAGTACCTACTTCCATTCCTACTCGGCCTAAAGTTTAATCTAGTGGCCCTCGTTCCCCTGTTATTCGCTGGAATTTGTTTGCTTCTCAAAAAGTCGCTATTTCTTGTCAAACTGGCAGTCTATGTGAGCAGTTTCCTGGGACTTGGAGGAGTTTTTGGATCTTTGGGCGGGCTGGGCGGCTTGGGCGGAGGATTTGGAGGCGGTAATTTTGCCAGCTTTGGTGGTTCGAACTTTGGCTTTGGTGGCGGTTTTCCCGGGCCCCACCGACCAGTAGGTCACTTTCCGGGGAAAACCACCGTATTTGGCCATGGTGATGAGCTACACCACCAGTATGATGTTCACGAGGCATCTCCATACCGGCGCACCGAGCGGAAAGTTCGATTTGAGCAACCACGAGCCGCAGAGTTACCTGCCCAAGCACCACCCACTATGGGCCACCCGCCTATTAAGCCACCCACCGAAGACCGTTTCTATGACTTTGAAAACCAGCGAAGGCCCAGCAACAAGTTATTGACAGCCAGTTTGGAGCAGGAGGGTGGCCTTCTGATGCGAAACTTTCAGGATGCCAGTGGCATGAAAGGCTGGCAGGCAGTTGACGTGAGATCTTTGTAAGACATAACTTTGCTACACTCTAAAAAAAAATAAGTCAAATATGTAGGAAGTACCTACCTTTTATTTAAAAAACAAAGTTTATATCACAATCATTAGTCAATGTTATAGGAAAGTAAGCTAGACTATACATATAATAAAATATTAACAAATATCAGTATTAAAATATTATAATAGTATTTATCTAAGTGTGTCTATTAGCCAAATTTGAGTGCTTTCCAAAACGAAAGTTAACTTAACCGAAAAAAGTGCGATTCGGTTTCAGTTTTCGTCAAGTCAAGGTTCAGCAAGCAGGCTTCTGAAAACTTTTCTATTTGATTCCTATCAAGAGTGCAGTGTCGTGCTTTGACAAGCGATTTAATTGCTAACCCGCATAGACCAGAGTATTATAAATACCGGGTCAGACCATTTTCCGGGGTTATTTGTACTTTAAACGGCGTTAAAAGAGGTTTTCCTCAAATTTAGTTATAGAACGTTCAAGAAGATGTGGCGTGTTCTTTGTGTTCAACTTGTACTTCTGGGAAGTTCGGTCTTGGCTTTAAGCCACAAAGTCAACGAAACTTTCGGAGAGGCACAGGCGTCCAGCTGGAGTCCACGCAGTCTGGGCAGGATTATAGCCCACTGCCTGGGTGGATCGGAGATGTGGGATTGTCTGGGATACGAGAGCGAAAGGCTGCTGGACTTTGCAGCCAAGGATAATAGCACTTGGCAGATCAGTGACTACCTGAGCATCGAGCCGTTGGATGGACTGGAGACGCAGGAAAGAAGACGCATGGACTTGGGTCTGGCTGGGAAAATAATGGGGTTGGTCCAGGCAAAGGCACTACGCATTCAGATGCCACGGCAGTTGACCATTTCGAATGCCATCGACGATTTTGGCAGTGAGCTGGGCTTTGATCAAGGTACTTATTCGAGCGTAAATGATAAGGTCGATAAGCTATTCGGTGGATTCGGTAGTTTCGAAGTGCATGCAACCACCACAAGTACAGATTCAGATAAAGATAAAGTTAAGCTAAAGAAAAAGAAAAAGTCTAAAAAAAAGAAAAAGTCTAAGAAAAAGAAAAAGTCTAAGAAAAAGAAAAAATCTAAGAAAAAAAAGAAAGACAAGAATAAAAATAAAAATAAAAACTGCTCCAAAAAAACAGGTCGCAAAAAGAAGGACAAAGACAAGCACATGGCCATGATGGGCGGCATGATCATGATGGCCACCTTGGCCCAAATGTTCCTGGGGAAGGTCATCCTCATCGCCGGCTCCGCCTTCATTATGGCCAAGATCGCCCTCGTCATATCGCTATTGGTGAGTAGATCCTGAGATTCCAGAACAGTTCTGTCCAAATTGTTGGCGCTACGCCTCTCTCCGCAGGGCAGTCTAAAAAAGGGTACGACTGGACACAGTGGTAGTGGTGGCGGCGGCGGCACCACCGAGCATGTGGTGGTGCACTCGAGCCATGAGAGCGGCTGGCACCGCAGCATGCCCACCCACGACTACACCTCCATCCAGACAATGGAGCAGGTGGAGGAGCCGCCCATGGAGTTCTACCAGGCCTATCAAATGGAGCCCTTGAAGCGACGCCTGCATCAGCCGGAGACTACTGCCCCACAGCTCCATCCGGAAACCACAAAGCCGACTCCGGGATTTCTTTAGACCTTCGAAAATATGAAGCTCATAGGGTGTATCTTAACGCACTCTTGTATTATACAATGCCAATAGGTTTAGGACAAAAAATAACTTATTTTATTCCCCACCATTTAAAAATCAACTCTTGAATTTTTTCTTTTAATGCTCGTTCTGTGGTAACATATTAACTAAGATAACTAAACTTAAACTGGAGGGCTTTCGATAGTATAGTAAATACAAATTCGGATAGATTGGTCTAAGGTTCCTTGGGATCTTTGGTTCTGGAGCCGCTGCTGGCCGGTGGTGGATGCTGTGCGGCTACTTATCGTGACCCCTTGGCATTGGGCGTGGCAGAGGCACCCACCTGGGGCATCCAGGCCTGGTAGGCCTTGTCCTGCATCATCATCTCGTCATCGATGCTGCGGTGGTAAGAGCCTCCGTCGTGGCCGCCCGTGTCGTACTCGCCCTGGTGGCTGGAGGAATAGGTGTGACTCTGTTGCACCTGAGGATGCTTCACGATCTCGTACGTGGTCTTTTCCCCGCCGTCGTGTCCCACCAGTTTCTTTAGACCGATAATGGCGCTGATGATTAGCGCTATTTTCCCCACTATCAGCGCTTTTCCGGCCACAATCGCAATCGAGTGGTAGGCCATTTTAAGAATAGCTGTCTTCAGAAGAACGGCGGCAATAAACGGTCCCAAGTACTTCTTGTCATCCTTCTTCTTGCGTCCTTCACTGTCGCTTCCAGGCAGGAAATAGTTGTAGATGTTCTGGAGCCAGTCCTGGCCATTCCTTTCACCAAATTTCAATAGCCTCGGCAGGTTCACTTGCAGCTGGTGGGTGTGGACAAAGCTGAGAAAACGTTCCAGCAGCAAAGCGTCCAAACTTTTTCCAGACATGTGCTCCAGATCTCGATTGCTTAGCTGGTTTTCGACCAGGCTAGAACGACCACTTCGCGTATCCGCACTGAAGGACTCTCGACGCACCAAACTAACTCCATCAATGATGCCCAACTGCTGGACTTTCAGAGCTCTTCCCAGAAGGCGGGCACCCTGGACTTTGCAGCACCAGAAGATGTCATCGCTGTCGGCGCACTGGCCGTACACGTGCCGCACTGTCCGCAGCAGGCCGCTCTCCGCTGTGGTGGAACTCGGGTTTGTGGTGGTTTGCGCCTCCAAGGCCGAAAAGGCTTGAAGGGCTGCCAGCAGCAGGGCGATTAACAGACCCAGACGCGAATCCATTCTTGGCGTGTCCCCAATCCTTGCTTCACTATTTCTTTTCTCTCCCGATTTGCAGTTGCGGCAGCTGCTCGGATTCCTCTTGGCCAACTGATCTTGTGCGCCAGTTTGTCCGCCAAATTTATACACTTTACCTTGCCACAATTAGCCAGGCAGCCGTTGCAGAGAGTTTTGCTTTTCTTACAAAAGTGCAAATGCACAGGGAGAATTGCAGAGCAAAATGGTAGTAGAGGTAATAAAACTTTCAAGTAACATTTTATGGCCTTTTTATGGCAAGAGAACCAAATTACAGTTTATGTGAGCTTTAAATTTGCGCTTTATTTGTCCTTAAATCTAGATATTGAAAACGATCGGTTCATTGTATAAATATTAATACTGAATAAGAAGTTTTGTTTTCTAAACTAGCACGTTCCAAAAGTAAGCCAATTTCTTACCCCATTGTGCCTTTTTTGATCATTTTTTATATTAGTATGTTTTTTAAAGTGCAACAATACCTGGTGGCTATTCAGAGCGTAGTATGCATGATGAGTGCACCCAGCAGCTGCTCACAACCTGCCGGGCAGATAGTAAAGCAAAGCTTGGCTGCAGATTTAGTGCAATTTCCAGGCCAATCCAGCTGGAGGGGGGTAATTTGCCGTAATTAGCAAATCTTGGCAATTATTTTGGTATTTATAGCACCGGCTCGGCTTGATGATATTTCCAACCACCTCCAACGCCCACTTTCATCGGCAGACTGTGAAACCAAGGCGAATGCCAAGATCTTCTCTAGTCTTTCAGGCTTTCGTTTGCACACGCAAAGATTTTGGGCTTACATATTTATTAGGCGAGTGAATCGAAACCGAAATGAATGCTGATTGGGTAGAAAATTATAGAATTGCAGTGAGATCTGTCGCCGTCAGCAGGAAAGCTAATGAAAGTGCCAGAGCAGTCGCTAGCAATTGTCCTGATACACGTACCAATGCGAATAAGAATGGCTTTGGATGTGAAAATCCAAATTTTAAATTATGCGAGGAAAGCATGAAATTAGTACGACTTATAAATAATTTTTTATTTGCATAAAATTAGATTTGAATTGAATATTTGATAAAGGGTTTGACTAAGTATACATAGTAGGGTTTTGAAATAAATAAATAAAATGAACTCTTTAAATAGATGCGGAAAAAGACTTTTATCTTTTCATCCACTTAAAATAAGATAACTTTTTTCCAAATAGCATAGATTCATTCAATTTACAAAGCAATCAAACAATTTTTTATTGTTTAACAAACAAATAAATTCTTCAACTCGCAAAGTACTTGTTTGCAGAAGGATATGAAACGGATTTGATTGAATTTGTTTATGCTGGATAAACATTGTCAATACATATTGTCAATATTTTGAATATAAATAAAGACTTTTGTTATCAAATCATGATTTTCCTATTAGGATTTTTATTTATAAAATGAAGAAAAAAAGCTAAAAACTAAAACTAAACACAAGAGCTTCACTTTAGGGAAATAAAAGAAAGGCATACTTTTTGGCTTCAAGGAGAAAGCCAAGCTTTCTTCGACAGAAGCGCTACCATTTCGCTCAGTGAAGCACTGAAACAACAAACAGAGCAACACCTTAGCAGCGACTCATGCATAATTTATGCTTGGCGCTCTCCATTTATGAAATATTAATTAAAAAAGCCGCCTGACGAACATCTAATGATGGGATTTGCAAGTTTATCGCGCCGAAACACGCCGACTCGAAAAGTGTTTTTCTTTTCTAGCGGGAAAGTGCATAACTATCTGTCTATCTCTGCATAAGTTTTGGATGTGTTCTACATATTCAGCCGGAGGACAAACACAACATCCACTGCAAAAACTGAGAAAGACTTGCCGCCGCATAATCCGCCGGCGATAATTTATGATAATTCACGTTTGGCTCACACGCAATCCGACTTTCGACGGACCATCCGCCGCTAATAGGCCCAAATCTGTGGGCCAACTAACTTGGTGGCTGAGTTGCCGCTGCTGCAGCCCACAATTTGCAGTAATTGGCATTTTGTGTTAACAGAGAGCAAACAACCCAACGCTTAGTGATCGAAGACCAATCTGCAATTGCATATAGTGCACTTGAAAAAACATTCTTAAAAAAAATAATATAGAACTAAATTTTAATATATCTCATACATTAAAAATATTAATATTTTATCCAAATATTTGCTAAAAGAAAAAAGGACAAAGCCCAATTAAAGGACTTCAATACTTTTCTTCGACTGAATAAGAAGAAACACTCTAGCTATAAACTTGGCCAAGATCGACACGAAACTTTTCCCCATCCCAGGCGATTTATTTGGCCTTTGTCTTGGCGTCTTTGAGTCGAACTCCAATACACAATTCTGTGGCTAGCCGGCTGGGAACTTTTTCGCTACCAAACAATTGCATAAAGGAAAAGCTGTGGGGTTTTGTTTTGGTTTTTCATTCGCTAGCAAATTTTTCACTTTCACTTTATGTTGACATCTAAGGCGCCCCCGCCAAGAAAAGTAACCAAGCCTGAGAGCTTTAAGCCAAGATGTGGTGGTGGGCACAGGTTGCCTCCTCCTCCTTCCCCGTTCTCCGCTCCTCATCATCCACCCATCGTCCCACAATCAAATTAAGTGCCGTGGGCCAATTACGTTTCACTCTGACCCCTCGACAACTGATGAACTGCACCATGGATCCGGAGTTGTGTGGAAAGCCGGACCGTGACTATCGGATCTGATCGGAGTGACTTTCTGCCTTCTGACTGCCTGGCTGAGGGCCTGACTGCCTGACTGACTGCCTGCTGCCTTGATGAATTTATTATACGCTTGTCTTAGCCATTTCCCCCCAAATTATACGTTTGTTTATTTGTCTTGGCTGGCCCTAAACAAAAACCATTTTCACTTGCCCTCAGCTGAGGGAGAACTGCGAGTCAATTCAATTTTTATGTCTAATATTTCGCTTAGTCCCAGGGGCCACGTTACAAATCTTTTTAGCAGCCCGGAAAAATGAGAGTATTCTGTGGCGAATTTCAATTTCAATCTGCCCCCGGCCTGCAACAGGAACTCACTTGACATGCCACATTTATTTTTGTTTTGCAAATTCTGCTTTGCATTTGTTTGCTGTCAAAATTATCCGTTTTACCCCCTGAGGCATAGGCTTTATGTTATGAAATACTTTGAGCACAGAGAAAATATTTATAGTACTACCAAATCATAAACATAACGCCACTGACTTATTTATAAAAAATTTAAAAAAGAAAGCAAATTTTATGCTTCTGCCTGTTTAAATTACAATCAAAATCAATATCATATATTAAAGCAATACCCTTTTCCCTTAGTGTCTTTTTCCATTTTATTTTAAGACCATAATATATACGTGTTCGGCATTTTTTTTTTATTGCCGCCCTCAAATCTAGGTGTTTTTAAAAATAGCTCTCATTCAATTTAATTTGCATAACAGTCAATTAAGGCGGCACCTCAAGGATAGACCCCTGCGTTTAGTGAGTTTCCGAACAGACATTTTTGAGGTGAAATTTCGAGGTTCGGCCAAGGAGTCCCATATGAATTGCAAAGCAGAGTTCACAGCAATGTTAAATGCCAATCAAGATGGCAAGATGGCCGGGCCACGGCATCGACGTCTGAAGCTGGAAAAGTCATCTGGCATCTGCTCATCAATCAACCTGGCGTGCCGCATCTCGCAATAGGCCGCAATAACAACTTTGACATTGCCGGTGCTGATGCTGATGGTCGGTGCTGGTGAAGAAAGTGCTGTCTGTATGGAAGGCAAGTGATTTTCCAGACATCCCCAAAAGCAGCCGCATCGCATTAAGCACTTGCGTATTTTCGTTTTGGCCACATTTTAGTCGATTTTAATGCCTTGGCATTGTCATTTCCAAACCGGGCCACAGGCAAAGACGGTTTCCTTTACTTTGGCTTTGGCTCACATCGCATCACCGGACCGTAGACCATGTCCAAGTGTCAGTGCCTGCTGGCCAAAACAAAATTTCATTCCATTGTGCGCATTATTATAATTTAGCGGCAGACAAATGGCGCCCGGGGCGTATACTTAATCCTTCGTGCAAATCTCACTTGAGGAATTTTCGCAAATAAATCAGTATTTGAATATTGTTTTGGGGTGGGTCAGAAAGGGATGGCCAAGTGCGGTTTTGTTTTTATTTTGTCGTGTTTTCTGCTTTCTTGTGGATGGCCCAACCAAAATGACCAGGCTTAACCCCATCGCGTACCTTTTGGGTTCACAAAAATTTTTCGTCTACGGTTCAACGGCCTGACCATGGCCATGGATGATGATAAATTGAATGCCAGGCGAACGTGACAACAACCAAAAAAGTGAAAGCATCGGAAGCTGAGTCGGCGGTGAAAATGCTGGCCAAGGAATGGAGGAATGAATGGGCCAGGCCGCGGCAGGCAGGCGGCGTTTTCAGCAACCTTTACCATTGCCACAGAGATCCGGACTCCAGAGTTTCGGGAGCTTCAGAGTTCACTGCACAGACCGGTGCATGCAAACATGTCGAGTGAGATCGAGATATATGCCTGCCGCTTGTATCTTGTATCTGAAATTTCCATCATGGCAAGGTAGTGCTTGAGATTCGGGTTACTTCTTGCCTTCCCCTGTCTCCTCCCGAGAGTTAACAGGAAACTTTCGCGGTTCAGCGGCTTAGGGCGGCATTCGAACTTGACTCTTTTAATTGTCTGACAGGCCGAGCTGCGATTTGATGGCTTTAATTAGAGTCAGCCTATTCGGGTCGAGTGCTCGACCATTACGCACTTTCGCGTTGTAATTTGCGACACCGAAGAATTTAATTGTCAGACCAGCCACGGCACGGCACCACCGCAGTGGTCATCGGTCAGCGGTCAGCCTCTGAAGACGGGGTCTGACGGGGGCCGTACGGTCAGCCCCCGGACATCTTTCAATTGACCGGAGTTGGGGAAAAGAGGCGCCAAAGAAAGCGAAAAGCAACGCATAATAAATACTAGCGGTAAAAGTAATGAGAAAATGCTTATTCGCAATCCACTGAACTCCATAGACTGCCTGCTGTATCTGTATCTGTATCTGATTGGAGTTGCATGGTAACTAAGACAGGTAATGATGTAAAATCGTATTAGACTTGATTACAAAAGAATGGAAGTCAGTGAAGAAATATTAGATGTTAGAATACAAACTTGAATCTCCCTTCTTTTGTATAATTTTTGAGCCCTATTAGTTGAAAATTTCTCTCTGAACATAATCACATTTATGCTTCCTTTGCATATGTATCCAAGCCCAAGAAATTAATCAACGTGACCCATGAAAGAAGGATAAATGATCATTTATCACACAAGGTGCTGCCACGCGACGTTGGTGAAAAATGTCGGCAAATTTTTTCTTGAAACCTCGAAGCGGGAATAACGCTTAAATAAATTGTTCGCGAATTAAATGAAAATCAACAGCTACAAAAGAAACATTGGCTCGTGACTGTCGTGCCGGAGCGGATGTCCAACTGGCTAGCTGGACGCCTGGACAAGTGGATGCGGTGGGGCAGATGCTGCTGGCCGCCGCTGTTGAAAGCTGTCGGCTTATCGCACCCGTCGGCGCTGATCCCATATTAAAGTTAATTAGCGTGAGATTTGTGCGAGCGCCTGGCGGTTAACTTTGATTAACGTCAATGCGGCGTCAAAAAGCCAACGATAAAAACCAACAAAAAAATATCAAATAAAAAACCAAACCAACTGCGCTAACAAGCAAATAAAAAATTGTTCACGCACACATAAAGACACGATAAACATTTTCTTTTCGCTTTCTTTTGTTTGTGAAAATTGCAATTTTTATTGCACAGACTCTGGGAAGGCGAACAACCCCCATGCCCCAATCCCCATTCCGCATGAAATAGAAAGTCGAATCGGGTTCTAAATGAAATGGAGAAAGAAAAATTAAAACCGAAAGTTAAGTGGCCACTAACTTTAACCTGTGTTACTCGCCCAAAACTTTTTCGCTCTCCAACTTTAGAAGAATTTAGAATGAACTTTTGCTGTTTGGCTGCTGCCTGGTTAAGGTAGGTTGTTGTGATTTTTGTTGTGTTTGTTTCTTTACTTTCTCTGGTGCGGGCTGAAAAATTTCACACACACTTAAACCGCAACGACTTCCATGAACCGAGTGCAGCTGTTGCCTCCTTGTTGCATTGTGGTTGTTGTTTATTAAAACGCAGTTCTTCGCTTAATTTTTGTTGCTAGTGTTTTTATTTTGTTTGGACCGCGACCGCAAAGTGGCACAGAAAAACTGTGAAAAATCTTTATGTCGGGGAGGAAAGTGCAAGGCGTGGCGACAGCACCAGCAACACCAACAAAAAATTGCCACGGGGCTGAGGAAGCAGACTGTGTTGCTGTTGCAGCAAGTATTGCTGTTGCTGCTGTGGTTACTACTGCTGCTGATGTTGCTGCTGCTTGCTGCTGTCATTTGGCCTTGCCAGTGGAAGCACATTGGCATGCCCGAGGAAGGAAGACAATCGGAATTGTTTCACATGCTCTTGCACAGCCGGAGAGATATGGGCGTTTGATATGGATACATGTCTGGCGTTGCACATTGCACATTGTACACATATTGGATGCGGATGTTTTCGGTTGCAGCTGCACACCCGCATAATAATATGGAAAATCATCTGTTGGGAGCTTGAGCCCCAGGGCCTGATGGACATTTTGACAGCCCGACTTAGACTGGAATACAAACAATAATGCACATTAGTCGAATTGTTCGCCGCCGAGTGGCATTTGGAAAGGCGAGGAAAACAATTTGATACGAAAGTGTCCAGAGAAAACAAGCGACATGAGAGCGTGCCAGAAATTTTCGATTTTTATCTGCTCTTAGGTATGGGAAAAAAAAATTAAAGCAGATTGATAATGTTTACTTTTGTTTAAATCAAATTAAGAGCCCACGAAAATTGATGTTTGTTTTCCCATCCTAACGTAGACCCTTCCCCACGAATTTCGTGGAAAAAATATATAATCATTTGGCAGGACTCCTTCTTCAGGTTCACTGCCTCTGGGGAAAATCCCATAAATTTCCATTTGGCTTGAGACATTTATGAAGGCTGCCTGACGGACGGTCCGGCGGCCAGTGAACCCAAAACGCTTTAGTTCTCATTGTTCATCAAGCACCTAAACGGAAACAAAGCTGTGTGCAAATAAATACGTACTTACCGCGGCACTTGAGAAGCTTTATGCAGATCGATGAACTGCCCCTGGAAAATTCCCCCGGCTGCCTTCGGACGTCGGGCAGTGAAAGTGCCGTGAAAAAAAGGCGGCGTTCAACTAAATCAAAAGCCCGAATAAGTGGCCCAGAAAAAAAAGTAACGAGTAGCCCGGTAAAAGATACCTTGCCGAAGTGCCGACTCTTAAAGTATGATGCTGGCCCAGAAGGCAAAACTTGGTAAGTACTCGTAAGTTGGTAAGTAGCAGCCAGGGGGCCATTAGTCTTGGATCTTTGTGGCCGGCGGGGCATTAATTTGCCACTTTATTAGCTAAAAATCATTTTCGACAGTCAGGGAGCGGCTCATATTCCATTTTATGTCCGGTTGCCACATAAATCGATCCCAAAGCGAAAGCTTCCAAAAAGTAAAACCAGAATGCACTAAAATTTGTTTTTCTCTTGTTTTTATTTTTTTGTGAAAACTAACCATAATTATGCAGTGCAGCTTTCCTTTCCCTTCACCAGTTGCATGTTGGGAGGCACGTTCTATCAAATGCATGGATGCAGTTGCAGATTCAGATACAGATTGCTATGTCAGCACATTTCAGTTTAACATTTACGCCATTCTTGGGTGCAGGGCAAATGTCGATAGCCCGAAGGCATTTAATGCACTTTAACGTGGGATGCTGCTACCCACCTGAAAAGCCCTAGTTTTCACATTGGCACCCTCCCCCGGCATTTTGCATAACACATAAAATGGTATTGCCATTGGCCACTGTTTAGTGGCTGGCAATGACTTTCTTTATGGCCAAAACTCGAATGGCGAAAATTGCTAAAAGCCAAATTGAAATTAAAGTGTCAACGGCAACGGCAGCGGCAGTGGCAGCCAGTTACAGAAATGGTCAGATGCCAAAAAAAAGTGAACTCCTACCAAAAACCACTAATGCAACTAATATGTTTGTCCATAAACAACGAAAGCTATGGCTGGAAAAACTAGTCGAAACTCGTTGGAAATGTTTTTGGCCTCGCCTTCGCTTCGCTGCTGGGCTCTTTGGTTCATTGAAGGCTACGACTACTACTGCCAATGATCATCAGGCCGAAAGTGGTGTTGCCAACTTGGTTATTTTCCAGCCATTTTCGAACAATTGGCAAAAGTGAAAAAAAAGACATTTTCTTCTCAGGAGCAAGCCATAAACGAACATTTAATGAATGAATAAAGAAATTGCGATTTGTTTTTCATACCATTTCGTGGCCCATTTCTTTAAATTTATTATGATATAAAATTTGTATAATACCATGTACAAATAGTTGTCTTAAAGTTTGAACATTTATTGCACAATAAAAACTTAAAGAAACCATTTGGCTTATATAGTTGTTGGATACCATTAACTAATGTTTACTTATTGAAAAATAAATACAAAAAAAATCCCTCAACCTCTTTTTTATCATGATCTGATCCTCTTTTCTTCCTCTACTGAAAATTAAAATTAATAGTAATTTTTTTGTGCTTACAAGTTTGTATTTAACAGCCAGTCGTCAACACTGGCGCACTTTTCTTCCCACAGCAATGGAAAACCGAGCGAAGAAAAGAGCCAGCTCAGGCTGAAGGCCCGAAGACGGCAAACGAAGCCGAGGAAAATCAAATTGCGATTAAGTCGAAGCCGAGTTCGAGTGCTGGGAGACTTGGAGCGAGCGAAGAAAGAAAGGTCTATAAAAGAACAAAGTGCGCCAAGGCTGGGCATCAGTTTGATTTGAGCCAGCAGACGGCAGCCACTGCTCCGAACTGCTCCAGTGTCCAGTGGTCTACAGCCTTAAGGATCTCCAAGGATTAACAACCACACAAACACACACACTTAGACACACAGGAAGCACCTGCCGCGTGGTGTCCCGCGAGTGTTGTAACTGCTGCTGTTGGTGTTCCCTCGAACAGTGAAAAGTGAAATATTTGAAATGACATTGAAACAGAGGGGTTGGCAGGCTCTTAGCCTGCTCGCAGTGCTATTCCTCGCCAGCAGTTGTGAGGCGGCCACCGAGCAGTTGAGCAATCCGCCCAGCCCGTCCGTCCAAAATGCCGGGGCCCGGACCATTTTACGGGTCTACGACGAGTGCACCCGGGCCGAGGCCGGGTTCGTGCCATGTCTGAAGAAGAAGGCCATTTCGTTCATCGACCGTTTATCTCCCATTGATGCCATTAACGTGGCCGATGGCATCAAGCTGGTGCGCCTGGAAAATGCTCCTGCCCGCTCGCCGGTGACCAGCGAAAATGAACTGGAGTCCTCGCTTCCAAGGTCGGGCAGTGATCGCGATGCCAAGCTCACCCACATGCTCATCGAAAGGCTGAGCCTCTTCTTCAATGGTCACTCGCTGCAGGTCAGCTTCCCCAAGCTGACATCCGATGAAATAGGCCGGGGATTAGAAGAAGGTAAGCAAAGAAATCCAAGCTTATTTCCCTGCAAATTTAAATTCCTGCAAAGAAATTATCATTAGCTCTGTCTTAAAAGGATAATGTTACCTGTTGTGGTTGCAATCCATCCATCCATTGATAAACACACAGATTACAACCAATTCTTTGACAAACAAATCAAGCCAGCAAAAAAGCATACAATCATCACTTTCTGTGGGCGGTCTAATTGCGGTTACCGCTAATACCCCAGTATCGTATCCATTGCGCGTAACAGTGACATAATTTGACTTTATCCACGACTATGGCTCCGGCCAGTAATTGCCAGGCAGTTATTAGAGCCAAGAGAGCCATCAAAAGTATATCTTAGCTGGCAATGACACTGGAAACTGCATAGCTAGCTGGCCCACTTCCTGGCTTATCATACTGCATTGTATGTAAACCGCGGGGAGGCGGCTGCTCATGTCTCTGCTCTGGGAAAATGCGCAATTGTTTTTATTTTTTCCTCACCCATAACGCACACACGAGAAAACCCGTTGAGCAACTCAGGAATGACCCAGAAACCTTAACAACGACATCAGCCAAACGGTAGCGACAACGTCGAAAAAATGTCAGGCCAGAATTTCGTGTTGTCTGAATAAAAATAAAAACTGCCAAAAAGCATGTTATTTAGTGTAAGTTTCACATCACGAAGAAGTGATACTCTATATTAGTTTTGATCATTTAAAGAAAGCTAATCTTTTTAAAGAGATTTAAATAGTAGTTTCAAGAAGTGTGAATAAGACTTAAAACAATAATGCTTAATTAAGTGAAAATGTAGTGCTTATTCTAGTACTGACTATACTTTAACCTTAAAAGTTTTCATTTTTTTTACAACTCTCTTGTTCTCTAGTGGATAAACCCTTTTGATGTCTGTATAAGGGAAATAAAAAGCAAAAACTAAGCCACGTTCAAATGTCATGACCATGTCAAATGCAATGAAAGTGGTGACCACGTTTCTCCACTGGGGCCACGAAAACCAACTCCTCGACCAGGCCGGGCTGAGCCAGACCAGGCCGTTGGCATTTTCATTTCCATTTTGAGCGCGAGCTGTTGTCGCCAGGCCGCCTGCATCAATTACAAATTTGACACAAGCACTTACTGCAACATCCACATCAAGATCGCAGATCGCAATGGAATCCAATGAAAAGTGAACTTACTTTCACGCCACATGAAAATTTTCTTTTACTTTCAAATCATTGATCAAGATTTTTAATCGATACTAGCGTAGTCAGTTACAAGTTGGCCAACACTTTCCCAATGGCCTGGCCATTTTTGGCTAATGGCCTCCGATCGAGTCTGATGCCTGCTTAGAGCTGGTTATGACAGTCCGATCATCAGTCAGTCTTTTGGGGAGCATTAGTGCCCATATCATTTTCCACTTCCACTTGCATTTCCACGTCCTCATCCGCGTCCCTGTCCACATCCCCTTCCATATCCAGATACGTGGACGTGCCCATATCGAAATGCATTTTTCACCTGGCGAGGCTGGCAGGTGAAATCGCCTGGAGTGTCCCTAATGAAGGCAGCAAAATGAAAGCCACACACGCTGCTATGTTGCCAAAACAAGGCATTGCCGCGGAAAATATTCTCACACAGCCTTTGGTTAATTGAGCTGGAACTTTCACCATCTTTTCCTCGAAGCCACATTCAGAGTTGGGAAATTTTTCAGAGGTTTCATTTTCAATTATGAGGAAAACTGCAAAGGGGCTCAATTGTTTACATTCTTGTGGTGCTAATAATAGTTAATACTGAGTACTGAACTCGTCTCGTAAAGTACTCTTTTACTCTTCTAATAAAGTTTACTAGGAAAGAGGTTTTTTCAAAAGATTTTGGTTTCTTCAACATCAACACTAGTTTTTTTTAAATGTTTGTTGGATAAACATAGCTTTGAATATTAGTATCCTAAATCATTAATACCTTCTTGTTTCTATTACAGGTCGCGGTAAAATGAAGAAAATGATGGGAATGATGATGATGGGCATGGCCATGAAACTAATGGGAATGATCCCGATCGCCATGGGTGCCCTGTACATCCTGGCGGGCAAGGCGCTGATCATCTCCAAGATTGCCCTGCTTCTGGCAGGTATAATCGGTCTGAAGAAGCTGATGTCGGGCAAGTCGTCAGGCGGCAGCTCGGGATGGTCCTCGGGCGGCGGAGGCGGTGGCGGCGGATGGTCCTCGGGCGGTGGCGGAGGCGGTGGCGGCGGTGGCTGGGACAGGCGATCGCTAACCGAGGCCCAGGAGCTGGCGTACCGGGCACATGGACAGCAGCAGGTCCACCAGCAACTCCAACAGCAGCAATTGCATCAGCAGCATCCAAAGGCCAGTGCACCACAGGTGACCCAGTCATAGGATGGAGGTAGATCTTGGATCTGTCGAGTGTCAGATACAAATATGCATTTATCTTGTGGATAAAGCTCGGACGACGGCGGACGGTCACAGATTGTAATTAGATATACATAAACACTCTTTTTGCACTTGCACTGCGGGGCAGACAAGAAGGCTTGATGATGCGTTTCCAACGGTTAACTCTACGCGCAGTGGCACTTATGGATACATCGACTGAAATGTATCTAGAACGTGCGTTCCCACTGGGCAATGCGGATGATTTTTTTTAATGATTAGTATTTGCTTTAATCGATTATGTTTTGTTTGTAACATGTGGCGCACTATCCGCTCTGCCCTGCTCTGTTTACTGTTAGCTAATTCTATCTTTCTACCTGTATCTGTATCTGCTTCTGTATCTCAATCTGCATGTGCACTCTGTGCTCTTCACAACTTCTCACTTGCTAACTGCACTTGCTTTTTCAATTACTTCTCGTACTTCCGCTTCTCCAGCTCCGTTTCCAACTCACTCCACTCTGCGCACTCACATTAACTCTAGATTGCCTAACTGTATGTAGCCACTAAGTGTATTAATTTATTTAAACTATTTATTTATTTATTTACTTATGTAGTAGCCATAAGTGTAACTCGCATGTAAGCAGCAAAGTTTTCAAAAAACAGAAAAGCAAAAAAAATGTATACAAATAAATCATTGATACCAATCGAAAGGACGGAAGTATCCCATCTAGTAGCTTTAATTTTGTGTGTAAAGGTCAAGTCAACATTAAAGATGTCTGCATGGCTGGCTGCTTTGCTGGTATTTATAGAAGGCCCTCCTTGCTCACATCTGAACATCCTGTATCCAGTTACATCCGCTTCCTTTTGGCGAAATCCTAATAAAACTTGTGCATCTCCGGCCCCATCTCCGGCTTCCATAAATTCCACTTGTAGTGTCCCAGGGTGTTTGTCCCATATTCGGCAACCTTATGGCCCACGTTTATTGCTCTCTGACTCGAGAACCTGCAAACTCACCCAGCCAGACAGTTGCGTTGCCGAGAGATTTAAGCCACGAAACAACTTGGACCAGGGAGTACAGCTGTGTAAATATTTCCAGGCCATGAGCACGAGGAGCAAAGTTAGTTATGGCCAAAGAAAGTACCGGAGCTCCCACAGAATTTAATCATAACAGAACACACTCCGGATGGTGCCGGAGAACAAGGGTGAAATAATGAATTACGTCAAATGAATCATCATCCAATTAGTTGGGTTCAGAGTTCAGAAACCAGGGATAATGGTTCAGATGCAGATAAAATTCGAGGCTTTGTCTTTAACAAATTAAAGCTATTAACTTCGCCAACTCAATTTAGCTAGTAACATAAGCGAATTAGCTCCAAACTCTACACATCCTTCGGATAAATTGTTTTTTCAACACGGAAATTCGCCATTAATATTTTTATGAACAAAAAATATTTTAATGGCTTGTATAAATAGAAAGAACAATTATCTTTTTGTTTTCATTTTATACAAAATGGTATTTTGGCTTCGATTTGCATATAATATGCATAATTTGAGTGCTATCTCCTTATTGAAAGCCAAAAACCTGAATTGGTTTAAACTGTCTGCGATTTGTATTGAACCGCCAGATCATTTATAATTGGAATTTTTTCAACATTTTGTTACAAGTCATTAGAGTAAAGGGCCGCTTATGGTAATTAAGAGATTGTAGATTTTACAAATAAATAAATTACATAGATAAATCAAATCATTATTCAAATAAATTAAGCTGCTTAAAGCAATTAAATATTTTTAGATAATTCTAAACATATGCCAAAATTGCAGTTTAGCCACGGCTTTTTATGGCTAATGTTATATAATTTAATGCGATAAAATCACCTCGTGCAGCTTAATAGCTTTTATTTCAAACAAAAAAAGGCTACTTTTTTTATTCTTTTTATGAGTTAAATGAAAAAGAAAGGCAAAACCAGAATATAATTAGCAAATCATCTATATTAAAATCTAAATATATAAAAAACCAATTTATTGGGTTTAAGCCAATTAATCTGCTTATAGATCAATTAGGGTAGAAAAGGACACTTACAAGGTAAAATAAGACTAACTTTATTTGGTTTAAATTGTATTCACTTTCGATTTTATTTGTGGGTTCGCCAAGCAATCTGCCGATCATCTTAAACTTGTTTTTCTAATTTAAATACAAATTAATTTAAGAGTCTCGCATGGCTATGGAAGTTTTTCTAAGTTTTATTCTTTCTGCAGGTACGTAAACAAGTTTTTGTCCGGCTTAAAGCTAAATGGTAATGAGGTAGTTGGGTACATGGGTGGGTGGGCTCGTTACAGTTTCTTACTTCTTCACTTTCCACCAGCCGGACTGGCCGCCATAGCCGCCACCGTAGCTGCCACCGTAACTTCCTCCGTAGCCACCTCCGTAACCGCCACCACCGTAGCCACCACCTCCATGGGTGGTTGTGATTACTTTGTAGACATCCACGCGGGAACCGCCGCCGTAGCCACCGCCGCTGTAGCCACCGCCGCCATAGCTGCCGCCGTAGCTTCCACCACCATAGCTACCGCCTCCCCAGCCACCGCCTCCGTAGCCACCGCCTCCGTAGCCACCGCCTCCATAACCACCGCCTCCGTAGCCACCGCCTCCATGTCCTCCCTCATAGGTATTGATCACTTTGACGACCTGGACTCCTCCGCCGCCACCGCCGTAGCCACCTCCATAGCCACCACCGTATCCGCCTCCATAGCCACCGCCACCACCACCACCACCGCCTTTCAGCAGACCCAGTAGTCCTGCGTTGGTAGTTGCCAGTGTGGCGGCCAGCGCCAGAAGACAAACGAACAGCTAAAATTAAAATGGTTAGCGATATCCTTTAGAAATCCTTTTTGGCTTAGAGCTCACTCACTTTCATCGTGGATTGCGACCGCTTGCGAAGCACAAGTAGAACTAATGCCAAAAGCCACAGTCGCCTTCGGTTTAATAGCCGTCTGACCAAACCCCAGCAAAGGTGGCTCAGTGAGTGGCTAAATGTCGCACACGCTCCGCTCCTCTCCAAAAACAAGGTCTTTGAATCATCACGGCTGCCTTGTCGTTGGGACAACTCTAATGCAGCGCTCGGCTAAAAGCCGGTGTTGCCTGGTCTATTCCCGAAAGTAAATTTATGATTTCCATTAAAGCAGGGCGTAGGAAGAGTTCTAAGCTGAACTAGTTTTGCTGCTAAATTAGACAACTCGAAAACAAGGGAGTCCAATAGAGTGCAGGCTATGACATAGCACAAAAATCAACAATAGAAACAAAAATAATCGTCATCTATTATTATGATAAAGCTAATAAAAAAGCTAAAAAGGTTTAGAATTGAAAACATCTTAAGATCTTACCAAAAAAAATATAAATACATACATTAAATAATTAAAAAACCTTGAACATGCCTTGAAGCCTTGAACATTATACCTAAACTTGATAAGTTCATGATAGATTATAACTGAAAGTTCATAATGAATCCATGATAGATTATTTGATCTAGATTGAAAATTGCTTTTTTTCCTTTAGTGTATCAACTGCACAATAGCAAGCACGAGGAGTGTGAAAACACAAAAAACAAAAATGCAAGACAGCTTGTCCCAGTTGTTAGCTCATCAAAACTCATCTACAGCCACAAAAGCAGCAACATGCAAATTTACGGCAATAAAAAATAAATGGTTTAAATGTCTTAAGCTAGCTTGATTCATGTTTGATCTGATGTGACCAGTATGCTCGCATGGGAAGACAAAACAATGCCGGCTAAAATACTGGTTTCAGTCCGTTCAGAAATGGCCAGAAATTAGAAAAAATAATCCCCAGTCACTGTCCATTATGGTCCTAAGCTCTCCTTTGGTCACTATCAATCATAGCCAACTGTTAATGGCCATGCTCTGAAAGCAATTTCAATTGCCACCCAAGCCACAATTTGAGCCTGGCTGTTAAACAGGCCTACTTTATCCCCTTTGGACCAGCTCAATTGCTTAGTGCCTTAAGTCTTTCCCATACATCACTTGAAATGGGGATAATGGAATCAAATCCGATGATATTTAATAAAGAAACGTTGAATAGTCAGAGTGCAATTATTTTTATTATTTAAGTAAGGACCACCTTTAAGCACTTGACTACCTTCTCTATGAACCCTTTTTGAGAGTGTAAGCTGTTAAAAGACTATTTCTAGAGTAGCTCTTCTTTCACTCACTTTTTTCCACCACAAGCCTAAAAAAAGCTTAGCTAAAAGGTTGGTTGCTTGAAAATATGCTGAAAAGCTGGCCGTCTTTTTTGTACAAAAACCATATCACACTGCTGGCGCCAAAGAGTATGTGACAAGAAACACAACAGAGTGAATGAAGTGCCATTATAAAGTAAGACAACAGAAGACACCTAAACTCTGAAGCTGTGGCTATGGCTGTGGCACCTGGGAAGCCCGCCCCCTGAATGGCAAGTTGGAAAATGATTAAGCGCATGGCCAGCACTTGACGGGCGCATTCAACGGAGCTGTTGCAAAGTGCAACCACGAGCAACAAGTGGCAAGTTCAGAGAGCCAATTAGCACGCACGGAGTTGCAATTATTTGAATTTACCCATTGGGCACACTTTCCCAGGGCCCGAACTTATATAGAACCGTGGCATCAAGTGCAAGGCCATCAGTTAGTCTTTCAACCTGCAACAGGCAACAGGGCCAAAAAAGGCGCTAGAAAGTGAAAACTGTGAAAATACTTAACAGGTCTTTGTTTTCTAATTAAAATGGTCATGGTCCAATGGTCAAAGCAGCACGTGTCGTGCTCCTTGGAGCGTTAATCTTCGATTTGCCAATAAGGCAGCCACTTTTCGTCTGTGAAAATTTACATGGGTGGGATCTGGGAAGTGGTTCAGTCTCCCCACCCAATAAAGTTCCGCCTGACGGGTTACCCTTCAGTATGTGTGCACAGTGAAAAAAGTATCTCAATAAAGGAGAAGAAACCTGACATCTTCTAAAATTAAAGAGTCACATTTGAATCAAGTCGACTGGCCAAACTTAGACCTATCTTTAAAGAGAATTCCCCACAGGTTAGAATGTGATTATTCAATTTAATTAAAGAGTTTCACCTACATTTTAATTTCCGTGTATTTGCGGTAAAAGTCGTGGATGTGAAAAGCTATCTGGGAGATCAACTGGTCGCTTGACCACAGGCCCAATAGCCGCAGCACTTTTCGGCGAAAGGCCGTAAAATCGCTCAACCAGATAGCGCCATAAAATTTCGAAAATGCCCCAAAGAATTTGGTCTGAATAGATCTTGGAGCAGTGACTACTTCAGTTCGATTCTAAACGGCGTGCGGAGTGCGTGTTAAGTGGAAATCTAAACCGAAGGATCCACAAGACCGACAGCAATGTGGCAAGCGGGGCAAGTGTTGGCTTTAGTCCTTTATGTGTTCGTAACAATGAGAGTGGCACCGAGCGGCGGCAGTCGGTTTAATGGCGCCACTTCCGGCAACCAGAACTCGCAACTGAAGGTGCAGATGAACGCGTGGCAACCATTCACGCAGCACAACAATTGGCTCATCCTCCAGGCCACGGCACCCAGTTCCCAGGACATAAGAGAGCGTCGAAAGGAGCAAAAGCAGGAAGTGCAGGGGCAGGAGTTGCAGCACCAAGGACTTCCTATCAATTACTACGCCTACAACCATCGCTACAACGACAGTGTGGCAAGCTCCTTGACGGCGGGCGGAAATTACAAACAGGTTCCTCCAGCCATCGATCCAGCCAGCTACGTTTTGGCCATAAGCCAGCAGATGCGCCGCGGCCCAATCCAACGCCAGTTGCCGGAGGCCGAGGAAGCCAAACCGGAAGTCAACGAGCTGCCTGCGACTCTAACCAACCAAGTTAATGGTGATGATGATGACGATGAAACCAATGCCATTGATTTCGATGCGGAGGAGCATCTGTCGCCTCGGGGAATAGAGTCCTACTTGGAACCCTTCGAACGGGCGCTGGTGAAAGTGCGGGACTTCTGCGACTCCGTAAGGAGCTTTATTTCTGACGAGCCAGGTGGGAATTTTTCACATGAATACCTTAATTCCTTATATACTTTTTTTCTTTAGGTACCTTACAGGTACTTAATTCTTAAAATGTATAATTTTAATTAATAGGAAATTATCTTTTTCCTCACAAAGAGTTATTATAAATTCCTAAATTAAGTTCCTTAGCAACAATCCTTTGATAGTTTAAGTCTTTAACAACTTTAAAGCTTTATAAAAACTTTTTCTTAGTGTAGATCATGACCTTGGCAAGCGGCGCCTGCGATTGACCATTTAATTAAGTGTCTAACTAATACTTCCGCTCCTCCCCGTCCACCCGCAGATGTGCCTGTCTCAAATAAATTGGATGCCGCAGCGCCAGGTGCAACATCAAAGGAGCTGGTGGCCCAAGGTCGCCGCAGCCGCCTGTCCACCGCCGAGTGGGAGGGCCGCAAGCTCAAGAAGCTGAAGAAGAAGCTTCAGAAGCTGTTCCTGCCCCTCCTGATTGCCTACAAGCTGAAGTTCCTCACCCTGATACCAGTGCTCATCGGTGGACTCACCCTCCTGGTGGGCACCACGGGTCTGGCCGGTTTCTTCTTCGCCCTCTTTACGGCCGTAATGAGTCTGAAGACCTCCGCGGGCGGCCACGGCAGCAAGGGGCTCGTTTTAAAGAAACTCACATGATCTGGGGCTTAGATTTAAATTAAAGATATTCGGCTTTGGTGAGCCAACATCGATTCCTCGATTTTGTGTCGATGTGCTGTAAAAATGCGAAAACGCGCCCTCGAGTGAAATAAAGTGTGTACATAAGAGTCAAGTCCCTCGAAAGCGATAAACAACTTTAAAAAATCTTTAAGCTTTATCTAGCCGAAGGGTAATTGCTCTTTTTTATTTATATTTAATTTTCATTACAAATTTTTTCTGCACAAATCGAGAATGTCTTTTTCAACAAACTTTAGTTTAGATGGATTTATTTATGGCAAAATATATTTTTAATTAATTTTCAGTAATATATTTCATAAGAATAAGTAAAATGTATATTGGAAAGTACTCTCCTAACTTGCCAAAAGTAATCCAAAACTTCTACAAATGTTTCCAAATATTTTAGATAAGTAAAGATATTATAAATATTATTTATTTATTTTTTAAATAAGAGGTTTTGTATTACAGGTATGCCAGACAATTTTCTTGTTAAAAAAATCACTTTTTTTTAAATTGAATAAGAAATATTTTCATTTTTACAACTAAGCCTGAAAGTTATATTAAATATATTTAAGTTTTAAGTTGAAAAAACATAATGAAAACAAAAATGTTCCCAAATTCGGCAGATAAATGTAGTATGACTAAAAATTACTTTAAAATTCTTACTAAAATTTAAAACTTTGTTCCGAGTTAGGAGTAGGAGGATGGTTCTAATCAAGTACTCCCATCTAAGAGTGTCGCCGAAATACTTTCGAGATACAGTGTATGTTTTAACACCAACCGGATGCCAAACAAATGTATCGCTGACACCCAGGCACCCATAAATTCCACAGACACTCTGTGTTGCTTTTGCTTTTACTTGCAATACTACTGCCAGATTCAGAGTCAGGGTTTTGGGCATGAAAAGTGACGACAGCAAAATGCGTTAAAGTTGGCGCTGAATGTCGGAGTGACTAGTGCGATTAGTTCCGTGGCACGCGTGTGCATTTGAATGTGTTTGGGCTCGGATTTTGACTCGGACTGGGACGCCAAGTGAATATATATGGCCTGCACATAAAGTCACAGTTACATACGGGCCGAGTCGGCTGAGTCGGCCGAGATAAGTCCATTTGTCTCGTCTGGGCCACACCTAATTCGGTTTGGACATTATTCAATTTCCCAGCAAAACACACACGCACTCCCAGCCATTCGGCTTGTATAATTGTAGAAGCTGATTATGTTTGTTGCCCTCTTATTGGTGAAATTTAATTAATCCTATTTCTGTTTGTAGCCTCGTGGCATTCAAGTAAATTTACATAAACATCGGTCCAGGGAAAACCATAAAAATGGAAGCGAAAGATTTTCATGGCTATTCAGGTTAATGGCAATGTTATTAATGAATTTTTAATTAGGACTCCCACGGTTTTCGTTGAACTTTGTGGGGCAGTAACACTGGGTCAGCATGAAATTGGAAATTGATGTAAGATTAATGAAATACCTAAACATGATTTTCCAGGAATTCAGGACGGATTCCATTTGATTAGGTCCGTTCAATTTATTTTCAAAATATTTTATAATACTCTTTAATAAACTATATTAAGTAGAAATTGATATAATTATGCAGTGGTCTTTCTCAGAGCTCCAAATAAATTATAATTTCAAAGAAATTCACCTGTGAGTGACGTACACAACTTTTAGTTTAGAAATGGAAAAACGCTGTCGGGCCAAAACAAAATGGCAAGTGAACCGAAACGGAGCCAAACGGAGTAAATACCTGCCAACGATAATGAAGAGTTTTTACTTGTTGATGGCTGGAGCAATTGACCCACGACAAGTGTGGTGCACACAACCACAGTACCAGTAACACAATAATGGGTAGCAGTGAAATGTCTGCGGTGAGCCATTCATTAAACCAGGGAAAATTTAATGTGTCCGTTCACGCTCAAGTAAAACTGAATCGCCGGAGCAAAACAAAATCAGCGAAAACGAGGTAGAACCAGAAGAAGTGCGGCCACCATTTGGCCAAGAATAAACCACCGATTGCCAGTCTGAATATAGTTTAGTACAGGTATGGTAAAAAAAAATGCAGTCGAGTGCATCGAGCAGGCTGAAATGGGTGCCTACTTTTGCTCAGTCTGGTGGGAGCTCTGAATCGGTTTAAACATGCCAAGAATTTCGATCGCATTTGCAATTTACCTCCAGCTCTGGCTGGTGTCCTTCGGTGGTGCGAAGGCCCTTCCACCAGTGGTGCAGTTGGGTGGTGCCATAGTGGCAGCCGTAGAGCAAAACGCCGAGTTGGAAGCTGCTTCCGAAGAGCAGCAGCGAGTGGATCGGGAGTGGCTAGCAGTGGCCGAAACCCAATTTCAAAGGATTTTAAAAGATGATCTAAGTGCCGAAGAATTGAACAAAATGCTTGAAAGATGGAAAATCGAAGGTGGGTTCAAACAATAATTTAAAGCGTTGAAAGGATCCCTTCTTTTCGTTGAAAAGGTCACCTTAAAAAATGGGATGAATGTATAGACCGACCATATGGCGCTCCGCGAGGTTTGCATCTTTACCATAAATCTATCGGTTCTTGGGCGGGTTCTCGATTCGTACCTCAACCAAATTGTGGATCAATGAATCTGGACCATAAAAAATGAGCTAACTATTGTGTCCATATATTGTCAAATTTTCTAAAGGACCCCCATAAAAATCTAAGAAATGCATGAGGAGGAAAATATGACTTAGTAAGTCAGACTTACCGCGAAGGCCATATCTTTGCCAATACTCATCAGATTCTTGTGTGGAATACCTTAAACGATTCGTGGGGCAATTCTGCATTAATCTGCATCCAAATCTAGGAACAAAATATTTTTCAGATTTATTGTCAAATTTTCTGAAGGATCCCCTTCAAAATGTGGGAAATGCATGGGGAGGGCAGTATGACCCACCGCGCAGGCTATATATTTGCCAATACTCATCAGATTCTTGTGTGGAATATCTTAAACGATTCGTGGAGCAATTCTGCATTAATCTGCATCAAAATCTAGGAACAAATTTTCTGAAGGATCCCCTTCAAAATGTGGGAAATTCCTGGGGAGGGCAATATGACCCACCGCGCAGGCTATATCTTTGCCAATACTCATCTGATTCTTGTAAGGAATATCTTAAACGATTTGTGGGGCAATTCTGCATTAATCTGCATCAAAATCTAGGAACAAAATATTTTTCAGATTTTTTGTCAAATTTTCTGAAGGATCCCCTTCAAAATGAGAGAAATGCATGGGGAGGGCAAATGACCCACCGCGCAGGCTATATATTTGCCAATACTCCTCAGATTCTTGTGTGGAATACCTTAAACGATTCGTGGAGCAATTCTCCATTAATCTGCATCAAAATCTAGGAACAAAATATTTTTCAGATTTTTTGTCAAATTTTCTGAAGGATCCCCTTCAAAATGTGGGAAATCCATGGGGAGGGCAATATGACCCACCGCGCAGGCTATATCTTTGCCAATACTCATCAGATTCTTGATTGGAATACCTTAAACGATTCGTGGGCCGATTTTGCTTTAATCTGCATCAAAATCTAGGAACAAAATATTTTTCAGATTTTTTGTCAAATTTTCTGAAGGATCCCCTTCAAAATGAGAGAAATGCATGGGGAGGGCAAATGACCCACCGCGCAGGCTATATATTTGCCAATACTCATCCGATTCTTGTGCATCCCATTATTGAGCGGAATACCTTGTTTACGTAAAAATAAATAACTATTTGTTCAATTTTGTGAAAAATTGACTGGAGGAAGCCTTCAAAAATGTGGAAAATGCATAGAACACTAGTATGGCTTCCAGCGATCTCCATATATTTGGCAATAATAATTTGATTCTAAAGTAGAATACATAAAACTAATTTAAATTGAATACATTTATTTATAAAACAAAAATAAATAAATCGTCATCTGAATCGATTTCTTATCGCATTTTTGATAGGCTATTTCAAATAAACTAAACATTCTATTTTTACAGGTCGTGGCAAGCACAAAAAACAGAAAAAGCTGATGAAAATGATATATCCCATGCTGGCTGCTGCTGCTTTGGCCAAAATAGTTATACTACCGCTTATATTGAAATGGCTGACGGCACTTTCGACGTCTTCGTTTGTCATGGGGAAAATTGCTTTGGCCACTTCCGGTCTATTGGCCCTAAAGTGGATAATGTCCGGCGGCCATGCACGCGATCGATTAGAGATTATTCACTCCTCAGCACCGGCCATTAAGGGATTCCATGGAGATCTTTCAGGAAGTGGCAGTAATTGGATGCCCATTCGACAGCCCTATATACCATTGGGCTTATCGAAAGATCACAACTATGACAATTTGTACAAACCATTTTTATAGATTAGAATATTAGGAAGATAGTAAATGTGTTTACATTTAATTCAGAATATTTATATTTTTAGCTAACTAACTTTAAATGTGTCTTGTTAGCTTTAGTTTAGAAAATCGATTAAAAAATTAGTTCAATTTATTATTTGTTGCCGTGTGGTGTTGGCCAATAGACAAATAGAGCCACGTAACTCTTAGCTTCATCAACGATTAATTAGCACATGGCTCGCCCGACTTTGACGACTCCACGTTACGTATACGACCCGTTGTCAAATCAGCTGCTGCCGCGTCTGCGTGCACGAAGCGCAAAAATTAACAGCACTGCGGCGGTGCCGTTATGCATAAAACGGTTTATTGCGCATGCGCACCGTACCGCACCACACCGTCTGCCCAAAATCAAAAAAGCAATGACCAGAGCCAAGCCATCAATGTCGCCGCATTGGAAGCGACACTTCCGCAAGGCCTGTTGCAATAAGCGCCGACAAACGACAACGGCCTGTAAACGCTTATGTAAAAAAAAAAAAAAACAAAAGCCCAAAAGTAAACAAAACAGGTCGACATAAATCAATCAGCATGCAGCAGCCGCTGCAGCGACTTGGGTGGGCACTTGGGTGACAATACTTAGCAGGTGTGACACCTGGAGAGAAAGCCCTAAAACTGTAGAATATTAGCCAAAGAACTAAGCACTTTTATTTAGTTATGTCAATTAATCTTGTTTTAAATAAAATTCTTTAAATGAATTGAAATATGTATAATTTGAGTCGTTTGTTTATCAAATATGTAACTAAATCTAATAAATGAAAGTATGATGAAAAATATTCTTAACCGAATTTAAATATGGAGTTCATATTTGGTAAATTTATGGTGTGAAAATGTATTGATAACACTTAAAAATTTCTTAATTACTTAAAAAATAAATAGTTTTTGTATGTAACTTGGAAAAAGATTAAATAACTGGATTGGATTTCAAGAGTTACTCAAAGAATGAAAACGAATGAATGAAAAGAATGATTCTCACCTATTCTAAGCTATATAGGAAAACCTAACATCTAACTTTCATAAATGTTAAGGTACTTCAAAAATATGTAAAATTTTATTTAGAGGATACCCAATTATTTGGGCTTGCGTTTTCGGTTGGTTGAATTCAAATTAGCTGCCTACGCACCTAACACCGCAAGTGAAAGTTTTAGGGCGCAAACAGCAAAGAGACAATTGCAAGTGTGGCTTGGGTGGGGCAGTCACAGATACACAGAGACCGAAACAGATACAGGTACAAGTACAACCACCGGTGAAGCTACAGCTGCGAACTACAAGATACAAGACTACGGTATGCTGGCCGCGTATCTGACAGATCGATCAACAACAACAGGGCGTATCTTTGTGCGGCGACTTCTTTCTAAGTGAGACGTTGAAAGTGAAGCTGAGTCGAGCTTGGCAATTAAGTTGGGGAAAGGCGTGGGGAAAGGGAAGCCAACCGTCGGCGACACGGCTCTTTTGTCATCGCATCTACGGCCAGGGCTATTAACAACATTCTCAGCATTGCCGGTGGTTGGGCTTTTCGCCGACTGCGCAATGTTTGCGGCTCTCACGAGATTACTTAACCTGGCCATTTAGCATAGACATCGCTTCGTATTTGTTTTCTGTGCATTGGTGTCATCAATTTCACTTTCTTTTGGGCCCCCAAATGGGATGGGGTTAAACAAAGCGATGGTACTTAGACCTAAGCCAGACCCTAAACTCATCCCTCAGGCACATTTTATCATTTTTGTTTTACCCAGAAAAATATGAGCAAATGAAGAAAAGAAAAGGCCTAAAATTACTCTCATAGAATGGTATACCTACGCTTTAAAGGTTATGTTTTGTTACATAAAAGCATAATTGAAATAACCTGACCTAGAACTCAGTTTTTTCATAAATTTAAAAGTGATGAAAGCATGATTTAATTCTCAAAATACAAAGGAAATACATATTTTTACTTTGACAAACATGAATACCTGTTGAAAGTGTATCAATAATATATAACCATGTCACTGAAAAAGGCAATTGCTCTCCTAGCACTTTGTGGCAAAGTGTATTGAATTTGTTTTGGGGTTGAACTGGAGTGTGCCCGCAAGGTAATAACTATGAATTTTTAACTGCAAATAGCTTAACTAGCAACGACCCCAGCCACACAGCCAAAAATGAACTGAATGAATTGAGCCAAAAAGGGGGGAAAAATACAAATTTTATGGATATCCGCTGAATGCATGGAAACCCATTGGCGTTGGCACTGCACTTTCTCAGTCCAGCAACAATGGCCACAAGACTACGCACAATATTGACATTTCATATTTGCACAAATGAAAAGAAAATCAATTTCACCTGCTGGTATTTCAGCGTTTAACCCAAAAAGCTTAAAAAGATACAAACCGTTGAGTTGTTTTTGTGGCCAATGTGGATGATTTTATTTTTTTTTTTTGTGCAGCAGCTTCATGGAATTTGTTTGGGTTTTCGGGGTCAGGATATGAGAATGATTGCAGTCAGAAATGTAAAAATTTTCTTGGTTTTATTTACACAAAATGTCAACAAGTTTGTATATTCAGAGCAATTTTCATTTTGTAATTTGATTCTGTTTAAATAGACTATACAGATTGTATAAAATATTTTATGCTTTCGAAGGGCTTCTATTTACAAAATTGTTAGCTTTTTTCAGTTTGTGGCTACAAATTCAAGCTATTTCTATTTTGAATGGTATTTTTATCGGTTTGGATGAAACACATTTCCAGCCCTTAACCAATAAACATTCTGGGAAAACTTCGGCTGCTCTTTTAGTTTCGTTGGAATTCCAATAATGCCGCTGGCATTCCATTTGCTGATATTCGATGAAAACACACGCAAATGGGTCAGTAGAACGCACGCAGCCCAAAAATACTCAAAATACAGGCAAGTGGCAGTCGGCAAAGCCTCGAAATTCGACTGCGAATCAAGCCAGGCTAATTTGAAAAGCAAACCCTAAGAGAGCTGAGCCAGTCAGCCAGCCACACCCACAAGCGGTCAGTTGGCCAAGGGAGGAAAGTGAGCCATCGATTTATGGCAACTTGTTGCCGGCTAATTGAGCGACGCCCAGCAACAAATCGCAAATCGAAAAGCGCACAAATGAAATGGAGCTAATTGATTTTGTGTAAATAATGAATTCCAACCAGGCTGCTGTCAGAAACGCATTACGTGAGAGGCTGGCGCGAAGAAAAAAAGTCTTGAGAAAGGTTATACAGGAAAAGGGATCACGGACAGAAATATAGTTGTATTAAAAAAATTGTGAATACGTTTTACCATTCCTACTAAATAATATTTACAATTTGATCATTATCCATTATTGTAACCTAATATCCCAGTCATAATAAATGACCCTTAAAAATATGTTTCCTTTATTATCATATTTTTCTCCTGTGTAGCCTTGACAGTTCTTGGGAGCAGAAACCTAAAAACCGCAACGAAGAAAAGAGAAATTGTTTATTGATTGGCATTTAGAAATTTTGTTTGATTTGACAGTTAGGCGGGTAATAAAAGCCGTCACGTTATTGGCTGGGCGTTGGAGGTCCCAGCCATCCGGTTATCCGGTTAAACAGTTCGCACTGCAGATTGCAAAATTCACCGAAAACATTACATAACTTTCACTCACGAAAACGATGACGCGAACCGTGGACCTGTCGGCAATATATGAATGAATGAATGCTAAAAACTGGATCGCATACTACGAGTATGAGCCAGGCCAATGGTATTCGGGTTATCAGCGGTCTGAACATCATGATGATGCGATGATGGTTTTTGGTGAATGAAACCCAGTGTTGCAATGTCGTGGAATCCAGGGAACTATGCAAAGTGGTGCGGCAAGTGAATCATTGGACAAAATGTTCAATAAGGCATACCTAGCACACTTTCTTTTTCTCTTGGCTAAAACAATAACCGAAAATAAAGGCGCGTCACTCATACGCAGCGTGTGACAAGCCGACGCCCGCGGCTGAATTTTATTTTTTTGGCCAGCAACAATCAGTTGGCTAAAAACAACAACATGAAAAAACATTGAGGGCAGCAACATTTAGTGTCGCATTTCGTTGTAATATAAATGAAAGTGAGTGAGGCAGTTTTTTCTTCTTTTCTTTGGCTTTTTGAATGGGCTGCCTTTAATAAGCGGCTGGGAACAATAAAAATACAAATTTTGTTGCTGCCAAAAATTGGAGTTGTTTCGATTTTATAGAGATCTTTTGTACGAAACGCCAGATTTAACGATGCAATGCCGGCAGAGAAACTCGGATGGCAACATAAGCCGTCAATGCAGCTGGAAATACGGGCCGTGATAACAGAACGTGACTGGGAAAAACATTGATGGATACTTGGATAGATGGCTGAATGGATGAATCATAAAGTTCACAGCCAGTTGATAGACTTGTAAAATGTGTCTCAGGTCGCTAGAGAAACTCTTTGACAGCAAATCGAGTGCAGATTTAGACGTTTGATAGCCAAATTCTCAGAGTTTGTCTGGAGAATACAAATACTTGGCTAAGTTTGAAGCAGGTTCCCATGCTTGTTCTTAATTTAAAAAAAATAGTGAACAAATTAGAAACTAGTATATGTTATATAAAACCCACAATCCTGACAATCATTCCATTCTTCTCCAGCATTATGCATCAACCACTTAACTTTCAATTATTACCAAATAGATACATTCGCCGCACAGTCCAATTCAATCATCAAAGTGCTAAATACTATTTCACCATACCCCTTATCCTAACAATAATAGCACCAACAACACTAACCACAGAAGGGGCAAATACAAATGACCCATTTATGCTGGGGAAAGAGAAAAAATATACATTTTTGCGTTCATAAATGGGCAGCGTGAAATATACGGCAACCGGATCGGTTAAGAAGCGTCAATAAATTAGCAAATATGTGACTTGGGTATTGCGAGAGTCGAATGAAAGCTGGGCAAAAGCAAACGCAGACTCAGCCGCAGACTCAGACCTCTGGTAAATACCGGGGACCCGGCCTCATCGAGGGTGTGAGTGCTTTTTGGCCCATTGCCCATGCCCAAACTAAATTTCAGGGCGCTGATCAAAGACACCGAGAAAAATGTATCACATTTCCCAAATTTCTAATCTAAAATTGAAAATTTAGCTTAACTTCTCATAAATTAGAACTTTTTAAGAAAACTAACCTAAGCAACAAAATATCCTTAAATCCTATCCTTAAATTGTTTCAAACCTAAATCTTTTTCGAAACAGAATATGTAATGTTTTTTTCGCTTAAATCCTATATGCTTATGGAAAATAATTATAAACTTTTGTCTAATAAATTTTAATATTTGGTAAAGCGTATTTAACCCAATATATAAACATATTTGTACTAAGATAGGTGTTTTTTTAAGATTCATAGGTTTTTTTTTTGTAATGCTATATATCGTATTAAATGACGAACACTAAAAATAAAAATATCGATTCTCCATACACAACGTTCCAAAAACAAATAAGGCAAGGATAATAGCTTATATCTTTAAGAGAATTTGAAGAATCTTTTTCAGATTATGTTTCTCGATGTCATTTAAGGTTACAGGTTCTGTAGTTGTTTTTTTTAAAGCACTGGGCTCTTTAGCACAAATGTTTTTTTATATTTGGGTACTTTTTCTTTCTGTGTATAGGCCTTAGCCAATGATGCCGATTGTTTACACGAGGGCGCCCCTTTTCGCCCAATGGCCAAGTCCAAGTACAAGTTTCTCTCTCGATATGAAGCTGAAACTGAAGCTGAAGCCCGACTTCGAAGCTGACGTTGACGTTAACGTTGACGGATGACAACCACGACGGCGACGGCGCTGCCGAAAAAAAGGCAGCCCGGAATGAACATATTCATTTAACAAACAAGTTGACTTTATTTCCCCTCCGTTTTCTAGATTTATGTGGCTGAGACTCCAGAGTTCCGAGTGCGCTCTTTTCGCGTCTTTGGCTCTCCGCCGGTTGGCTTGTTTTTTTAGTGTCGTTTTTTATTTAATTTACTTTTAAATTGTTTTGTAATGCGCAACGACTGCGACGCTGGCGGCGACAGAGCGGCTCAGCTGCTGCAGCCGGCGGCCGAATATAAAAGGCTAGATGCCCCGAGAGGCATACATCAAACTCATCTCAGCACTCCAGGAGATCAGCAGATCTGAGAAACAGTCAGCATCTTAAGCAAGGATTAACCGCGTCAGCTTCCTCGAAACGAAAATGAAAGTGTTTGCCATCGCTTGTGTTACCATTTTGGCGGCCAGCTGCGCCTTCGCTGCCCCCAGTGTCCAAGACAATCGGGTCGAGGGGGACAACACGTTCGGCCGGGCGGCCCGCTACCTGGGCGCCTGTTTCGACAGCGATGACATGGCCACCTGCCTGGCCGTCAAGGGCATCACAGCCCTCAACCGCGCCGCCAGGAGCAACAACATCGAGTTGGGCAGCGGAGTCACCTTCCAGAGGTGTGTGTTTGTTTACAGTGAAAGTGAAAGAAAAGCCTTGAAAGAAATTCGAACATTAAATAATCAAACGTGCCTGGCAACATAATTAATTATTACTTTAAAGTTCAAGTGCTTGCATCATAAAGTTAAAAAAAATTCCATCACATTCTACTAACAATGCTAAAAGTGGTCCACAGCCATAGCTGCAACTGACAAAGTTTGTTCATATGTAAACCATACGTTTACTACATTTCTACATAATGAACTTGTTACATTTATTTGGCTCTGAGACACAAACTGAAACTGACAAGCTTTAATTTGGTTTTTTCAATTAACAAACAAATATGTGACTGTCAGTGCCCTTTTCAAAAGAATTTCTTTGTCTACCTCTGTCTAAAAACTGAAATGAAATGTTTTTTTGCCATTATTTTTGCAGAGATCCTGCTAGCCCAGTCCCTCGTACCGGAAAATCCTTGAGCGAACAGGATGTCTACGCCGAGTTGCCCCAGAATGCTGATGAGCGTACCGGCCGCCTCGTGGACTTGGCCATTTCCAGTGCCACCGAATTCCTGAGCAGCCACAACCTGGAATTCAAACTGCCCGCCGAGACCACCCAGCAGGTTGCCCGTGCTTTGGATGAAGGTAAGAAAGTGGTGATTAATTAGATAACACGGCAACGTTTACAAAAATATATTTAATTTTAGGCCGCGGCAAGATCAAGAAGATGATTGGACCCCTCGCTCTGGCTATTGGCGCCAAGCTGTTCGCTGTCATTCCCCTGGTTCTCGGTTTCCTTGCTCTGCTCACTTTCAAGGCAGTGATCGTTGCCAAGATTGCCTTCTTCCTGGCCATCCTGGTTGGCGGATCCCGTCTGCTCGGCGGATTCGGTAACAAGTTCGGAGGCAGCTCGTACGGCGGCTACAGCTCTAACGCCTGGTCGGCACCTGCCAGCACTCAGTGGAGCTCGGGAGCCTCCTCCTCCTACCCCTATGCTCGCAGCATCAGCGATGAGGCTGATGCCCAAGAGTTGGCCTACGCCGGTCAGCAGCAGCAGTAAGCAGCTAAAGTAACAACAAAGTTAGAAAAAGCTGGAGGAGCTCCAGAGCCACTGATGTGCCTTCGTTTTGAAACCTTTAGCCTGTAGTAATTTATTCGAAATGTAATTAACTAATTTATTGCAACACACACATTCACCACACAGTCAAGTTGTATGTTTGAATAAAACCAAGAGTATTTCACCTGAAAGTCCGAAAATCCGAGCACGTGTTGGCCTTGTGGAGGGAGCCGGGACCGAGACTTTCCCAGGGCTTAATTGAAATACTGACAGACCTCAAATAAAAAAATTTATCTGGAACTTTGTCGTCAGGGCGGCTGCAACAAGTTTCCGTTGGCAATTAAAACTTGTGGCAAAAACAAACAACGTTCTCACAAAAGACAAAACTCGACTAAAAAGAACCAATGATAAGCAGGGAATTTAGTTTTTGGCAAGTTTGTGGCACGACTCATAATTGGAGTTTCTAGTGACCATGTGATGGCCGCTTGGCATGTTAATTGTTAACCAGAAACTTTCTACTTATGCTCATAAAAGTGTCGCTTTGCGATTGAAAAGATATATGCGACGATGTGCTACAATTCAGCTTTCTTTTGGAAATAGATTTAGAAGCAATTGAAATAGAAAACGAGCGGCAAATGTCACTTGACAATGGGAGAATGAAATCGAAAGCGTTGAAAGCGCCAGAGCAACTAACTGGGCCAAAACGAGCATTAAGTCACCACCGCTGGGGCATACCAAATACGGGCGGGTCTCCGGCCTCTATATATCTCTCTTTTCTATTTCAGATCCACCCACCAGCAGCAATCTGGAAGCCCTAATCGCATTCAATGGCACGCCTAATGAGCCAGGTGGAGGAACACCGGCCAAGAATCTGGCACAGGCACTCCAAACACGTCCGAACACAAAACACCAGTGCATGCCAATTACGATTCAGCTAACGGTGGACCCCAGAAATTGGGCCACTTGCTTATATAAAATAAATATACAAAAATCATATTCAACCGGCAGACTGCCAGCCAAATGGCTAAGAAATCAGGCAGGGAGCCGGGGCGAAGGCATATAGCCAGGCCCAGCCGTGTGGCCACTTCCCTTTCGTTGACATCGCGACGTGCGTGGAAATATGGTCAAGAAATTGCCGGCCAGGTAGCATACGCATATGCTTTGCATAAATTGTTTTTGGATTTTTGGATATTCGGTATTGTTATTGCAGTACGGTGCGTTTTTGCTTTTTTTTCTCTTCAGTTTTTGGACGGTGCGCGATTTCTAGCCACTAAATTGGTCAATCGACGACGGGCACGCATTCGATTCGAAATGCTATAAAATGCGGGGGCAGTGCATACAATTAATCACAAAGCGATTCCCGTTCACAAAGCCAACACACCAGGCAGCAGTCCGCCGACCAATCCAAGGATTATTTTCTACCAAGTTCTAGCCAAAACCCAAAAACCCAAACCCCAAAATGTGCGCGAAATACGTATGTGTTGTGCTGCTGGCCAGCCTTGTGTGCGGTGCTTTGGCCCTGCCCTCGCAGGACTCCAGTGAGCGGGACCTGGTCAACATGCTCAACCGCCTGGATAGCGAGGAGTCGGTTTCTCTCTTCGGAGGACTGCGCATCGACAGATCCGAGACCGGCCGTAGCTTCGGAGCTGGCAACGCCGTCGAGTCCTTCGAGGATCGTGCCGAACGCTACCTGGAGACCCACGAGCTGAACCTCTCCTTCTCTGGTGATGAACAGGAAGAGAACTCTGAGAACGAGTACACCGGACGTGCCATGGAGGGTGAGTCTTTAATTAGCTATCGAGATCAAAAAGGACTTCCTGTTTCTCAGATTAAAAAAAAAGTGGAGTGTTCATTATTGAATTTTCCATTTAAATAATTCATGTTCCCAAAATTGTATTGATAATTGGAAAACCCATTATCCAATGAGTATCTTATAATACTCCAATACTTAAGCGGTAGCTTTTTGAGGAATAATCCCAAAGCCTCTCAAACCAAAACTCCTCAAACGAAACGAAAACAATAGCACATTTTATTGCTTTGATGGAAAGAAATGTAAAAGCTTTCACCGCACAAACAAGCATTGAATACTTTTGGGAGCTTCGCTAAATCAAGCGCTTTCTCTTTACTTTCTCCAGAGTCTCGCAGCAAGCGCATGAAGAAGATGCTCCTGCCCCTCCTGCTGGCCCTGAAGCTGAAGAAGGCCGTGGTCGTCAAGGTCCTGTTCACCATCATCAAGTTCATCTCCCTGAAGGCTCTGGCTATCTCCTTCCTCGCCCTCATCCTGGCTGGTAAGTTTCATTAGCCGTCAAGGTTACTGTGACAATTATATCTAATCGAATGGTTATTTTTAGGTGCCACCTTCTTCAAGGATCTGTTGGCCAAGAAGAAGGAACACATCACTACTGCCTACATCACTGGCAGCCCCCTGAACGCCGACATCGTCCACTCCGACTGGAGCCGCAACGGTCAGGCTGGTGCCGCTGATCTGGCCTACAACCATTACGGCCTGGCCCAGCCCTTCTAAGCCGGACCTTGAGCTCACTTGATCCATCCATCCCACGCTAAACTATCTGCTATATCTTACCCTACCAAAGCTTCACTATCCTTCTTCACTCTCACCTTTCACCTTCGACCTGCCCACCTCTTTCCCCAATCTAAGCTATCCTGATACTTTCCCTTCATTCCTCTAAGACTTCACCCTGAAGAATGGCTTAATTCGTAGTCAATAATTATTTAGTTACATTTAGTTAGTTAGCTGCGACATACCAAAAACAAAACAAAAAAATTACAAAAAAAGAGAACAATTGTAAAGGTCCCGCGACCCATGGCTAGCTCAGGACAATTCTTAAGGATAAAAAATCAATCACGATTGCGCCATATTTATTGCACATTTCCACAATCCACAGTCTCTTGGCGGATGTTAATGTCACTCAGGTTTATCGAAAGCAAAAACAACGAAGATTATGCCTGCTAAAGAGCTTACTTACTAAGTATTTATTCAGATAACTTAAAGCAATTGAATAAAAATGATTCATCAAATGCAAAAACAACTGCCCCTCGAAACTTTTCTTGCTCCAGCCATTAAAGTAAACGGAAACATGAAAGCGAAACAAGTATCATGGGACTACCTATTAATATCATCAAAGCGTTGAGCCAAAAAACTGAGGGCCTTCTGCTATCCTGATATATGGCAAACATATTTCCCGACCTTTTTTTCAGCTTGACAAAAAGTTAGTAGCCCAGGCCATGCCCCGGTCAACAATATTCGACAGAGGTGAAGATTAATGGTTTTCCGTCAAATTGATTTATTTTTCCTCCCTCTGTTGACATAACTACAATCAACAACAAATTCAAACAAACCGAATTAAGGGCTCGAAAAATGAAAATGAACAAATTTAATAAAGTTATATATCCAATTTCAGGTTTAACATACTTCCAGTAGCACTTTCAATTTATTTTGCGTAAAAGCAAAACCAAGTCAAACACATGGCCGCCTAATTATATTAGCAAATTTAATTGCCTTGTCGTAGGCCCAATGGCTTTCTTTGCGCCAACTTCCTAATTGCCATTTAATTAAATGTCCCACATAGACTTTGCATATATAAGTCAAAGCCAACTTTCAGAAATTAACACAGAGTCAAGATGAACGGCTTCAACAGCAAACTCTTCGGGTGTCAGATTTATTTCGCCCTCATCCTCGCCCTCTTGGTGTCCTTGGCCTGGACACTTCCGGTCGAAAACTCGGAGACAACAGTGGCTGTCCAGGATGAAGCCACAAACACTGAGGAATTTATCGAAGGTGTTCCCGTCATAGAGGAGTCGTCAAATCAAGGACAGCTGCGATTCCCTCCTTTCAACAACAATGAATCCGGCGGATTTTTCGAAAGGTTTGGTGAAAAATTTAGAAACAAATGGAACCCATCCTCGACCACTACCACAACAACTACTACCACTACAACTACGACCAAGGCTCCGGCTGGTAAATAAATTGGGCACTTGAGGAACGTACAAAGATTTATTTAATTATTTATTTAAAAATGTATATATTGAAAAAAACAATAATAAAGTAAAACAAATTGCAGCAATCTAAAATCTATGTAATTCTTGGTACTAGCCATTACACTAAGAAGTTATTGAAAGGGCCATTAATATAAAATATGAGTCACATCTATTCTTTTTTTTGCCAAACACTTCATCACTGTCTTCACTTAGATTGACTTGAAGACTTTAATAACTTTTATGGAAATACCAAGGTAGACCAATAAATTGGTCATTAGCACTGCATGTAATCTGAATATAAAGCAGGCAAGGCACGGCGAGGAAAGATATATTACCTCATGGGCAAAAATGAGCAAAGAAAGTAGCCCAACGAGGCTAGACCGAGCACAAATGAAAATGTAGTAATAATTAACAATGAATTGTTAGTTAGTCCCAGTTAAGCAGGCAAAATGTTGGGTCTTAATTTATGGAGGTCCGAGGCACGCGACTTTTATCTGGCCGGCACTTGTAATTATCTGACTGTCTCCGAGTCTGAGCCTGAGAGTTTTCTTTATTTCATTCGGATCTCTGAGGGAATTCATTAGCTGGAACTTTTCTGTTTTTGGTGACAGAATTAGCCAGTCTGGGCCGTTTCGCAAGACTAACCACCGCCACTGGCCGCAGAGGAAAGCGAAAGTGCCGCCCAGTTGGACGCAGCTGACTGACGCTGGGAAGAATTTCGACCACAAATCGTTTTGGGTAATTAGAAAAGCACAAGGCCCTCCAAGAGTACAGAGCCCATGTTTGGTGAAAGGGAAATGGGAATTGGAATAGTAGCCGTATCAACGGCAGTGGCAGTGGCAGTGGAAATAGCGAAGTGGCAAGTATAAAAGGTAAGGCCATAAAATTGAGATGTTGCAGTCTAGCCAACGATCGCAAAGGCATTACATTGTATATCGAAGATGTTGCTGGTCAAGACCCTGGAATATTTATTTTACCTGGCCCTGTTCGCCTTCATGTGCAAGTATTCCCAGGCAGCGAGTGTTCAGTCCACGGAATCACCAATAAGTCCCACGGAAACTCTCAAGAAACCCCAAAAAGCGGATAGTATTCTAAATGGCTGTGAAGCCTCATCATTTAGCTGGATGTGTCTCAAGATCGAGTTTGTCAAAATCATGGAAAAGCTAGCCGAGCAAGAGGAGCTGCGGGTCCTGCCAGGTGTCAGCGTGGTAAAGGACGAAAATGCCACAGAACTGAAGACATCTGAACTTATGGCCGGTGGGTTGGATCAATCTTTAAATTGGCAATGTCAAAACTGAAACTCATTTTATTTTATAGAAGTAGCTCGGAGCTATCCTAGTGATCCCAGCACTCGATTGAACGGCTATATTGTTGCCAAGTTGGAGAATATCCTGAAGACCCGTTTTCTTCGCTTTCGCCTGCTGGATGACCAGTCTTTGGTAGAGGGCCGAAAGCATAAATTCGGGAAGAAAGGTGGCCTAGAGGCACTCGTGGCAGCAGGGGTCATGATGAAGGGCATGCTGATGGCAATGGGCTTCGGTGCCATCGCTCTGATGGCCGGCAAGGCTCTGATGACAGCTCTGATGGCCTTGACTCTCTCGGGAGTTTTGGGTCTGAAGAGTCTGGCTGGTGGTGGCGGAAAGTCCACAACCTACGAAATAGTAGCGAAGCCCATTTACACCTCTAGCCACTCTCATTCGGTGAGCCACGAAGATGGTCACGGGCACTCTGCCCACTTTGGTGGAGGAGGCGGTGGTGGTACTGCCAGTGGTTACGGTTACGGAGGATACGCTAGGTCCCTAAAAGTAGATCAGGCAGCCAACCAAATCCAGTAACTTGAGTTTAACAGGAATCTTGTTTTTATTGTTTTATAATCTTGTATTATTATATCTTGTTTTAAACCTATTTATTTATTCTAGTTTAAGAAAATTAATAAAAGTAAGCTTATATTAAATAATCTGTAACAGGAATTGCTTTTGAAGACCATGGCTATGAAAATATATATATTAAAGATCATATCCAAACATGTGAAAAGAAATCCCCCAATGTCCCCAATTAGCAAAATTATTTTATATTGATTTCAGTTTCTAACAAACTTTCTAATCCCAGCTAATTTTTTGCACTATAAAATGCCAAAGCTGAAAGCCGAAAGGCAGTAGTTTAAACCACACCATGGGGTCGATTTGCATAGGTAGGTCTAAAAAGATCAAGAAATTACAAACATTCTCAATTTGTATTTTTTACAGCTTTTCTTTCACTTCTCTGCTTATCTGGAGTAAGCTTGGGACTCAGTGTGTTGGAAGATTCTTCCATTCAACACAATTCAGTGAAAGAAATTCCTAGTTTAGTCAACAGAGAATGGCCGATTCCTATAAAAAATCTCTTAAGACCTCCAAATAGTGAATTAGAGAGACAAATTGCTTCCCAAATAAATGAAATAGAGGCCCAAAAACTAGGAAAATTAAGGGATTATAATGATTCTAACGATTCTAAGCCATCCTCACAAACAAAGTTTTGGGGAAAGTGGCGTCGAAAGCACCGAAGAACCTCCACAAATGCACCTCCAACAACCAGTAGAACAACTCCGGACCCTGGCATATCAACGGATAGTCCTATATCTACAGAAACCCCTTCAATATCCACAGCAATCCCAACGTCCACCGGAACCGCATCAACGTCAACAGCTATTCCGACTTCTACTGGATCTGCAACAACATCCACAGCTGTTCCAACTTCAAGCTCCACAGCTACAACAACACAAGGGACAACGTCTACTGCGATTCCTACTTCCACAGATACTGCCACCACCTCCACAGCGATCCCAACTTCCACTTCGTCGACAACGCAAAAGCCGACCACTTCGACGGCAATTCCTACCTCAACAGATATCACAACATCCACAGCCGTTCCGACTTCAAGCTCCACAACTACAACAACACAAGGGACAACTTCCACTGCGATTCCTACTTCCACAGATACTGCCACCACCTCCACAGCGATCCCAACTTCGTCAACAACGCAAACACCGACCACTTCGACGGCAATTCCTACCTCCACAGATATCACAACATCCACAGCTGTTCCAACTTCGAGCTCCACATCTACAACAACCCAAGGAACAACCTCCACCGCGATTCCAACTTCCACAGATGTGACTACATCTACCGCAATTCCAACTTCAAGCTCGACATCTACAACGACATCGACTACAACACAAGGAACCACTTCCACTGCAGTACCTACATCTACAGATACTGCTACCACATCTACAGCGATTCCAACTTCCACAGATGCTGATAATACATCCTCAACCCCTCCAACTAAGCCTTCTGAAGTAACAGAAACCCCAACTACTTCCACGGCAATCCCCACCTCGACAGAAAGCCAAACAACATCCACGGCAACTTAGAAACTCATTTTTTTAAACCAACTATTAGAATCTGTAGTATGAAATTAAAATTTTAAAATACACTAATAAATATTTATTTAAAAATTAACACATATAAGAACATGTGGAAATGTACATTTTGGAAGAAGTCTCCCTAAAATCGTACTCTTTTCTGTTACTAATTAGCGATTGATCAAACCACTAACCCACTTTCAAATTTGCACGAATCGCTTTGATATAAAAGCCAAATTCATTCCCAGAATCTTAGTTGTTTGGACACTATCATGGAGTTCATTTATATAGGTAGGTGCACAGGATTCGTCAACAAAATTAATTCCTATACTTCGTTTTGTTTTCAGCCTTGATTTTTTGCTGCATAAAAAGTCAAAGCTTTAGCCAGTCCGATGGACTTAAACAAATCGAGGATGCAGTCAAAACCAATTTACCTATTCCCATATTGCTAAGAAATGGTATCCAAGTAAATGAATTAAATTCTTATCAGTTCGAAAGAGAAAATGAAATTAAATTTAATAACAAAGAGCTAAATAATGCAGCCGTAAATGAAGATTTATTAAGCGATGAAGAATCCCGCTCACGCCACGCTCTTAAAAAGTTTTGGGCTAAATGGAGACGTAGAAGAACTTCAACGGCCTCACCAAACGTCACACAGACACCCTCAGACCCAAACAGTTCAACTACAGGACCAACGAATGAGCCAACTACTTCCACTGCGATTCCGACTTCAACAGGAGATCCAACCACATCCACTGCGATTCCGACTTCAACTGGTGATCCAACCACATCCACAGCGATCCCGACATCTTCTCCAACCTCCACTGCTATTCCAACATCAACGGGCGATCCAGCCACATCTACAGCAATTCCCACTTCAACCGGTGATCCAGGCACATCCACAGCGATTCCAACATCTTCTCCAACCTCCACTGCTAATCCAACATCAACTGGCGATCCAGCCACATCCACAGCGATTCCAACATCATCTTCGTCGGCAACAGAAGTTGCACCAACCTCCACTGCTTTTCCAACATCAACTGGAAATCCAACCACGTCTACAGCTATTCCGACTTCTAGTTCCACCTCAACACAAACCGGAACTACTTCCACAGCTATCCCCACGTCAAGCTCCACGTCAACTTCTACAGCAATCCCCACGTCAAGTTCCACGACAACAGAGGCAACAACATCAACAGCGATCCCCACGTCAAGCTCTACCTCAACTTCCACAGCAAATCCCACCTCTAGTTCCACGACAACAGAGGCAACATCCACTGCGATCCCCACGTCAAGTTCCACGACATCAGAGGCAACAACATCAACAGCGATTCCCACGTCAAGCTCTACGTCAACTTCCACAGCAATTCCCACCTCTAGTTCCACGACAACAGAGGCAACCACATCCACAGCGATTCCAACGTCAAGCTCTACGTCAACTTCCACAGCAATTCCTACGTCAAGTTCCACAACGACAGAATCGACAACTTCCACAGCGGTTGACACGTCAAGTTCAACGACAACAGAAGGAACCACCTCCACCGCGGTAGCAACAACAAGTTCCACTACTTCAGACACGACAACATCCACGGCGGCCCCCACCTCTAGTTCCACAACAACAGAGTCGACAACTTCCACAGCGGTTGACACGTCAAGTTCAACGACAACAGAGGGAACCACCTCCACCGCCGTAGCAACAACAAGTTCCACGACTTCAGACACGACAACATCCACGGCGGCCCCCACCCCTAGTTCCACAACGACAGAATCGACAACTTCCACAGCGGTCAACACGTCAAGTTCCACGACAACAGAAGGAACCACCTCCACTGCGGTAGCAACAACAAGTTCCACGACGGCCCCCACCTCTAGTTCCACAACGACAGAGTCAACAACTTCCACAGCGGTTGACACGTCAAGTTCCACGACAACAGAAGGAACCACCTCCACCGCGGTAGCAACAACAAGTTCCACGACTTCAGACACGACAACATCCACCGCAGACACCACCTCTAGTTCCACAACAACAGAGTCGACAACTTCCACAGCGGTCGACACGTCAAGTTCCACGACAACAGAAGGAACCACCTCCACTGCGGTAGCAACAACAAGTTCCACGACAACATCCACGACGGCCCCCACCTCTAGTTCCACAACGACAGAGTCAACAACTTCCACAGCGGTTGACACGTCAAGTTCCACGACAACAGAAGGAACCACCTCCACCGCGGTAGCAACAACAAGTTCCACGACTTCAGACACGACAACATCCACCGCAGACACCACCTCTAGTTCCACAACAACAGAATCGACAACTTCCACAGCGGTCAACACGTCAAGTTCCACGACAACAGAAGGAACCACCTCCACTGCGGTAGCAACAACAAGTTCCACGACAACATCCACGACGGCCCCCACCTCTAGTTCCACAACAACAGAGTCGACAACTTCCACAGCGGTTGACACGTCAAGTTCCACGACAACAGAAGGAACCACCTCCACCGCGGTAGCAACAACAAGTTCCACGACTTCAGACACGACAACATCCACCGCAGACCCCACCTCTAGTTCCACAACAACAGAGTCGACAACTTCCACAGCGGTCGACACGTCAAGTTCCACGACAACAGAAGGAACCACCTCCACTGCGGTAGCAACAACAAGTTCCACGACAACATCCACGACGGCCCCCACCTCTAGTTCCACAACGACAGAGTCAACAACTTCCACAGCGGTTGACACGTCAAGTTCCACGACAACAGAAGGAACCACCTCCACCGCGGTAGCAACAACAAGTTCCACGACTTCAGACACGACAACATCCACGGCGGCCCCCACCTCTAGTTCCACAACGACAGAATCGACAACTTCCACAGCGGTCGACACGTCAAGTTCCACGACAACAGAAGGGACCACCTCCACTGCGGTAGCAACAACAAGTTCCACGACAACATCCACGACGGCCCCCACCTCTAGTTCCACAACGACAGAGTCAACAACTTCCACAGCGGTTGACACGTCAAGTTCCACGACAACAGAAGGAACCACCTCCACCGCGGTAGCAACAACAAGTTCCACGACTTCAGACACGACAACATCCACCGCAGACACCACCTCTAGTTCCACAACAACAGAGTCGACAACTTCCACAGCGGTTGACACGTCAAGTTCCACGACAACAGAAGGGACCACCTCCACTGCGGTAGCAACAACAAGTTCCACGACAACATCCACGACGGCCCCCACCTCTAGTTCCACAACGACAGAGTCAACAACTTCCACAGCGGTTGACACGTCAAGTTCCACGACAACAGAAGGAACCACCTCCACCGCGGTAGCAACAACAAGTTCCACGACTTCAGACACGACAACATCCACCGCAGACACCACCTCTAGTTCCACAACAACAGAGTCGACAACTTCCACAGCGGTTGACACGTCAAGTTCCACGACAACAGAAGGGACCACCTCCACTGCGGTAGCAACAACAAGTTCCACGACAACATCCACGACGGCCCCCACCTCTAGTTCCACAACAACAGAGTCGACAACTTCCACAGCGGTTGACACGTCAAGTTCCACGACAACAGAAGGAACCACCTCCACAGCGGTAGCCACGTCAAGTTCAACGACAACAGAAGGAACCACCTCCACTGCGGTAGCCACAACAAGTTCCACGACTACGGAGTCCGACACCACATCGACGGCAGTTTCCAGCAGTTCAACAACTGAAAACACCCTTTGTAAAAACTTTCCGCATCTCCCTATATGTCAAGATGATAATTAAATCGATTGTTTTGAGAGAGAGGATTCTTAAGTAAATCTCCTTATATCCCCCAATTTACCCTCCCTCCAAAATAATTCCATCAAATATAAACGGATTTTTATTACAAATATATAGGCTAAATAGTTTCTGCAAAATAATAGCAACAAATACAGAGAGTGGATGATATCTATAGTTTTAATTAGCATGTTGAGATATAGGCAAAATATACATTGGTACTAATTAGCAGAATTAAAGCTTTATTTGTTCATTAACCTACTTTCTATTCAGACAATGAGTTGAAGGTATAAAGGCAAGAATTTATCTCAAGAACGTTAGTAGACTTACCATCACGATGAAGTCAATATATATTGGTAAGTGCATATGAAGCTAGTAATACAAAAAATGTTATAAATATTATTTTAAATATAGTTGCAGTGATTTTAGCATGTCATTTAAAAGTAATTGTTGCTCAAACCAATGACGCGCAGCCGGTCCTTAAAGTTCTAAAGGGTGCCGATGACCCAAAAACACCATTAATTGTGCTGGCAAACCCTAGTTCAAACATTCATACGGAAGTCATGTCAGAGCCAGAGATCCAGAATCCTGATTTGGAAACAACTATAGCCACACCAACGGACACTACAACATCTAAAACAGAAAAGCCATCTAAAAAGATCCGTCCGCCACAAATTAAGAATCCATCTTTCAACCAGCAGCAGCGACAAAAACTTGGACTTCAGGAGCTTCTCTCTATGCCTGGTGGCTGGGAAAGCATTCCTATAAGCAATCCTGTCTCATTGGTTGCAATGTCCCAACAGGCACATATTCAACCCATTTTCTATCCAATGCCAGTTTATATTCCGTATCCGATTAATCCGTTAATGCTAAGTCACCAAATGAATACAGTGGGCCCTTTGGAAAACAAAAATCTTGAAGATCAAATCAATTTTAGATTTAATGAATTGATGTCTGCCAAATTACTTAGAGATGCCTTCAAAGGTGATAATCCTAAATGGCCAGAGATGAACAACAACTTTGTAAGACCAGGCAATCAGAAATGGAGGGGAAAATTTAGGAAAACCACATCGACGACTACAACAACCACAACGGATTCCCCAGTAACACAGTCAACAGAACCTACACGAATTTCGGTTGAAAATAATAAGGAGACTGTCGCCGAACAACAAAAGTAGATGAGAACAAAAATGTATTTATTATATGTATTTATTTATGAAAATATATTATATTAAAACAATAAACTCAATAGTTTTTTAAAAATTGCTGCATACTTTTAGGCACTTTAGGAATTTCACCTTTCTCCATCTCTCTCCTAAAGTGTGATTGTGTTGGTAAAAGTATCTGTATATTAAAACTCACCTACCAACACCCAAAGTTGGCCGCATCTTGAGCACCTCGGTTCAGATATTCAGTTGGTCTTCCACGCTTGCCGGTCTTCGACGTTTATCACGCCTCTCCGCTAAAAAAAAAAAACGAAATAAAGCCCCCAAACAGTAAAAGTGAAAGACGCGTCGGGCTTTTGGGGTGATGGATTCTTGAAATCCAATCTCCCGAATTTCTTCTTGTGAAAACCGAGAGCGAAAGTGACCAGTGGCGGAAAAACAACAACGACCGAATATCACGCTAATTAGGCGTCACATCACAACAACAAATTGCGTCCCAGAATTATGACGACGAGTGTGCGAGTTTAAGTGTCAGTGCGTGTTGTCCAGTGCTAATTGCTGGCGGAACATCTCACCAAGTTAGTAAGTTGGCGGCCGAAAAGCCAAACAAATCGGACCCGATCGCCCGTGAATGCGAATATGTTGACCTAGTTTTTTTTGGCAGACCACTCAAACAAACGGCAACAGCTGCTGGCAAAGCCGGTTGCAGATTTTGCCTCCAGCTTATCAACCGAAAAAATGAAAAAACCAGTTTACAGGGAAATGTTCATGTGCATGTGCATTTTCCAGTTGGTGAAAAGTGAAATTTCCTGTGGCGTTTCTAGCGCCAGCAGCTGGCTCTTCATAAAGTTCTTAAAAACCCGCCCCAAGAGGGCTCAGTCGAATTATTAGCGCATGCCAGATGGGAATCTCAACGCGCTCTAATACACATTAGAATCCCAATTAGTGCTTTAGTTGGCGTGTCTACTGGTTGTAAATTCTCAAAGCCAACCAAACTGAGAAAGGTTTTTACAAGTTCCCCCAAATTAAGAGCTACAAAACGAACATGTCAGAGGAAAGTAAACAAATGGTCATTCCCTTCAATAATCAAGCTTAATTGAAATGGAAACCTTTTAGCATAAATTGCAGGCCATAAACCGCAGATATGTATGCAAGCCAATGACAGTCCGAATTATTTTTATTCGCAGTTTTTATGGGCTCGTCGCAATAATTAGATTCAATTTGTTGCACTCCCTTGCAGATGGATCATAAAAAAACTACGTTGAATCCGATCTATTTGGACTTAATAAGCCATTAGTGAGTCAAGTTGGTTAACCGCAACGAAAGTGAATTTGTTTTTGGTTCGCCATGGTTATAGATTTCTCTGACGGCTAAAAAGAAAAAAAACGCAACGCAAAAGACAGACTCTTTAAAATATTTGCACGCTAACACAAATCGCACCACTTTGGCCAGCTCAGATACAGGCACGCATAAAGTGAAATTAGTAATCTATTAGATACATTCACTAGGCGTTCGACTGAAACCGAAAGTTGGTTATCTCAGGAATTGATACAATTTAATGAAATGCAAATGCTTAAAGCTTTACGTAACCAACGACGACTTAGATGCGTGTGTCCGTCCGAGAAATTGTCACATAAAAATGCAATAAAATCTTTCGGAAATGCTGTGACTGACAGTGCCAAAAAAAACGACAAGAAACAAACACATTTTACAGGGAAAGCTTGTTACCTTCCGAAAAACGTAATCTGAATTGCTACCGAGAGCTGGCCATTTTCAAGTGCCATTACGGTAGATGTAATTGAATCATTATTAAAATAAGAGCAGAAAGCATACAAGTGAAAGTGACAGCGACAGAACAACAGGTTAAATATATGAAGCTCTAGAGTCTTGCATAAGTTCCATAAAGTAATTTAGAGTACTTGTCACAAGAGCTAATTTGAAAACACATGTCAATAGATTTAGTGGGAAATAATTTTTAAGATCTTTCTGTTATTATTTGAACTAGATACATCAAATAGATATGAAAACTACAAGATGATTTGCCTTTTTCGGGGTGCAGTATCTGAATACCTTTTTTGTGTGCCGCTAACCCTTCTAGTCTGCTAACGGTCTGACCTGGGTCTACGACTCGTCTTGAACCCGCCGTAGAACTTACATCACTTGAGTGCTTTATTTTTGGGCAGGGACCGAGTTCTGCCACTGGCCAGTGTACTGACCAACTTGATTTAGTCAACCATTATTTTTGTGGCATTTGTGTATTCGCTGGTTTATGGCCATGTTGTTTGGGCATGACATAAGTCTCCATGGCACTTTAATAGAATGGATTTAATATGAAAAGCCATAACAAGACGACTCGTTACATGAAACATATGTCGTTTGTGCATACGAGCCGCCTAAGTTGCTTGGGAGCTCATTAAAAATAATAACCATTAGGCGTGATTCGCAGTGCAGCTGCGTACGTAATATGCTGTAATTGATTGCACTGGCAAGACGATTATAGGCGGACAAACAGTTAATATCAAGACGTCTGAAATGTCATCTGTGAATATCTAAGCCATCATCAATGAGTACTTGCAGCTAATTAGAATGCTACAAAGGAATCAAGGACCTGCGTAAATAAGGTTAGGTTCAATCGTTAAGATTGATGTCTTGATTATAGACGATGGCCCTATTTGTTGCTTCAAGTACCTTCAATGGCCATGAACGACAAAAGCTACAGAATATATATATCACAAGTATGCCGGCATACATCTTTTGTTGTTCACCAGAAGTGGCTCAAGTAATTCTAATTTTATTTGACAACTTGATTGCTTTCTATTGTCACCAAGAACCGCTTTTCAAATCCGCTCTTAATAGTCTGATAGAAACTTCTATTTTTTAGCAGCCAGCTCACTGACCCAATTTTTGTAAAACGTTATAAATTCGAAAACCGGAAAAATGCATAAAAGCAATGCAGGCTTGTATAAAAAGTTTGGATAAAATACTACCAATTTATTAAATAGAAGTCGGTCGACTTATGACCCATTTTCTCTTTAAACTCAATTTTGAGTTGCCGGAAAAAAATCAAAAACTCACTAACCATATTGGCGCCATAAAAACATAATAAAAATCGTCGCTTTGTCTTTGCAGAAAACTCGTTTGTGGTTGGGGGATCCTAAATGGCCGTGAAAAGAGCCGACTGAGAGAGGAAAAACGACAAAAAGCGGCTCGAACCGGGGATAGCAGAAACAAGAGGAATTAACGTCAAACTCGCAGACAAACTGAGCTTGAAACAATCTAAAGCTAACTGGAAAATGTATAAACAAACATAGGAGCAGAGTGCAGAGCAGACGAAACAACTTTCAGCGTTGGTCGGACTTACAGTTAACATTTTGTGCGCGTCGGAAGAATCTTGCAGATACCACAACGTGTGAATGCAGAGGAAGATACTTCGGTCAAATACCGCGGATGTTGCAGTGCAAAAATTGAACGACTGAACTGAACGAAACCCAAGATTGAGAGAGCAATAAAGTCAGAGTGAGAGAGAAACACAAAGAAAGAGAGAGATACCGGTCTGCTTTTAGCCTGGCCAAGATCATGGCCAGCAGTGTGAGCCGCAACAAGCTCAGTTGAACGCCAGACGCGCACGCATGCGCACGCGAACCGCGCTAACAGGTGATTTGCATATCTGTCAGATACGAGACACAACACACCAGATACACGAGTAACAAGATACACCGTTACACCGTAGGTGTGCCGCGCGATGAAGTAATTGCTGGCCGCTAGATAACACAAGCTGGTAAATAGAAAACGCGCTAAATGCGGCAGCGAAATTCCAAACAAACGAGTCCAAAGTAAATATTCAAGAAGAAAGTACTGCCAAATACAAAAAATCATAAAAAAAAGAAAGAATCGAGGTGGTGAACAAAAACAAATCAGAGCCATCACCAATCAATGGCATTGTGTTTGCGTGCTAAGCCCCAGTGCCACACAAATTGATTCCTCAATTGGCTAACGATTTCGCCAATAAAGCCGGCCATTGTGTCTGCCAAACTCGAAGTTCCTAGCCACGTTACTTTGGCTAAATAAACATTTTGGGAAGCGAGAAAGACACAGATTGCACGGTGCAGGGCTGCAATTGCAGGTTGAAGGTGTTAATTACCCTACAGTCCGTCACAGTGCTAACTGGCTGAGTGAAACCGAAATCGGATAGCCCAAAACGAAACTGAAAATGCTGGAAATCTCACAAATCAAGCAGCAAGTGCCCCATAATTGGACCTCGGGTGAGAGCCGGCGGCAGAGTACATCCTCCAAGACAGTGGCGGACAGTAGAAATCGCATCGGGAAATCGCGTCTAAATCGCAGCATGCTCAAAACAGGCCTGTTGGTTTTCCTCTTGATCTGCCTAATAAACTCGGCCGTCCAAGCGGATGAAACGGCTAGAAATGGTCGGCTTGGCCGCCACCTTTCCACCACTCCGCTAACTTCCCTGGAAACGGAGGAGTCATCGGGCGAGGAGGCGGTGACGGTCACCACCGAGCCGGGAACGGAATCCCCCATTACGGAAGAATGGCAGCCTGTCGTGAATGCCACACAGGCTCCGGATAAGCTGGAGAAGATTAAGGGTAGTGACTCACTTCTGCTGCGTCTGGCCAGACGATTCTCCAGCGGAAACGAACTGTGGGATGGCCTGGTTCGCGACTGTTATCTGAAACCGGACATCTCGTGCTTCCAGAAGAACGTCTTTAGCTATCTGGATGGCGCCCTCGATGTCCAGGATGTGAATGTGACACAGCGACTCAAGTTTTTCAAGAATCAAGTTGAATACGAAGTTGAAAAGGATAAGGAGGATCACTCTCAAGCTCGGGCCGGTAAGTGAAAATAATTAAATAATACAGGATTGATGAAGATCGATTGACGCCCCTTCGACTTCGCCTAGAAGTCGAATAGTAATGAAGAATAAATTTCACTGTCTTAATTTTTTTAATTTGGAAATTATAAAGAAAAATATTTAAAAATAATTTATTAAAAAATAGCGCCCTCCTCCTCGATTCTCATAGGTTGCAGTTAAGCAGGCCCAAAAATTAAATTTTTTTTCCTTGATTTAAAATAACTTCTTCACGCCGAATAAACGTTTAGCTAATAGATGTATCTTATGTAAGAGCCCTTGTTGTGGATTTTTCGTGTGTGTGATCACTTTTCCAATCTGTGATTCTTTTCTTTGCTTTGTTCACCGATACCTGAGCACGTCCACACAAAAAATGCCGATGCCGATGCCTTTGCCGCTACCAGTAACTTTCACTTGCTCGGTTTTGATTTGATTTTTTACGTATTTTGCTTCTCCGCCAGAGAGCAGAAAATAAATATCTACCACGGCAACGATCTTTCGTTTATATGAGTCACGGCGCTTTGACTGCGCTCAATTATGCGGCTTTTTAACAGCCATCCGATGTTTTCTTTTGCTCATAGTGTGGCAAACACTGTAACAATCGCACATTAGCAACAATCAAGCTGGCCAAGAATTATGTAAGCCACTGAACTCGGTTCAGAATTAGCCAATAGTGTTTGAGAATTCATAACAATAATTTTCTATTAAAGGTAATAGATTCATTGTGACTTAATACGTTATTTAATATTTAATATTACTTCTTGTATTCTGAAGGCTTTCCAACCTTAAGTCCCTTAAATCCTGCAAGAACGCCTCCCTTTAAGCATTTTCAAAATTAAACAAGGATGTTGCTTCAGTGGAAGTTGTTCCATAAACGGAACTCTCCCACATCCTTTTACTTTTTTACTTCCTTCCAAATTGAAAATTATTTATAGGCATTGTGTCGAGTTTGCGGAACGAGGATTAGCTTTTACGCAAGAACAACAGAGCATCCTGTAGGCAGGAAATCGGCACAACTTTCGTTAACCCAAAAGCGTCACTCAGTGTTCATTTCAATCCACGTCAGTGCCACCATTTCTAATGCTTTTTTAATTCCCAAGCAGCCAGCCCGGAAACCCCCATCGAGGAAGTGACCAATGCTCTCTACGGAAAAAGTATAAAATTCGCCATGACACACGATCTGGAGGTGGATCTACCAGAGGTCATGTTCAATGGCGCCACTTTCCGCATCTCGCCGCGAGCAATCGAAGGAAACGGGATCATTGCCAAGCTGGAGCTGATACCCAAACAGGTTGTCAAGGCCCGACTGGCCGGGGCTATAATCCAAAAGAAGATACGTAAGTAATACTCGCGATTTCTTGCTTCATCACGCACTCTTCCAGATATACATGCATATGCATATGCAGATGCAGATGTAGATGTAGATGCGATTCTGCATTCGAAAGCGCTTTCACTCTCCGCCTGTGCATTAACAAACTTTGATTCGTTTGCTACTTTCGTTTGTCCAGAAAAATTTCTACGCAGCAAACTGGTGCTGTCATTCCTGGCCTTGCTGCTGATAATCAAGATCATCAAGATCAAGCTGTTCTGGCTGCTGCCAATCGTCATCGGAGTCGGAGCTGCCAAGAAGTTGCTTCTCAAGTTCCTGCTCTTCCTGTTCCCGGCGCTGTCGCATCTCTTCAAGCTCTGCTCCTACTACCAGCAATCCTATCACGCTCCAACCAAATACCATCATCATCATCATCTCATCGATCACCATCATACGGTAAGCAAAAAATGAATGGGGGAATGACGGGGCAAAGTATTGATTTTCTCTAAAGAAACCGCAAGGTTTGGGGGAAGCTTGTGTCAAGGTCTCGGAAAATAATTTCCAACCAGCCGGTTTTGTAGTTTTTTTTCGAAGTTATTTTTAACCTGCTTTAGTGGGTTAGAGTAACAGTAACTTTTCTCTAAATTATTCTCCATTTCTCAGTTTTAAATAAGTTGTTAGAGAAGCCTTACCTTAGCTTACATCTTTGCCAAAGATTTATAACTTTTAGATTTTATCAAGTGAACCAAAACAACATTCAAGATTTTTAATACAAGATTATTTTGTTTGTAGCATTTTAGTTCATACAACCAATGACACCGAAACATGACATTTGTTTGAGCTTTCTTTTACACCTCATAGTGTGGCTAACTGGTTTTTGGGTTGGGCCGATTATTATTTTCACGTTTTAGATTTTTCCCAAAAATTTCATTAATAAACTTGATGAGATTCGAATATGTCTGTATCTGTGCCGGTCGGAAGTTTCTTTTGTTGATATGTGAGCACGCTCCCGGAAATTCAATTAGAAAAGTCTAGAGTCGTCACCATGAGACAGGAGTTGAAAAGTATTTCATTGAGAGATTCCCGGCTCTGAGTTAAAGTAGCACGTGCCTATGCCATGAAAAATATCTCACGCTGACACAGACAGCCCCCAGCAGCTTGACATATCGTCAAATGAAATCCCGTCTTTTGAATTGTGCCCGTAGGTAGGGATTATATCTGTTAGCCTCCTCTTCAGACCGCCTCCTTGGGGCCCTCGACAGTCCTTCTCGTAGCTTTCGCAATGGCTGTTTGCTTGAAAAGACTGCACACGCGTAGATACTCGTATTTATGAGATATTTATGTTCACATTCGTAAATGTCGCCGGGAATGCTATTGAACGAAGACCAGGGCCTGGCATTCCGCCAAAGCTCGCGGGATAATCCGGGTATCTATGTCTGCGCGAAACATTCCCAGAGACTGCAGACGATGGGGATTTACATGAAAATTGATTCAATAAACACACAGTCAATCTGGCAATTATAATCCTTTACAACTCTCATTTAGTCGAGTGCCATTGAGTTGGGCTCCAGGCCAATTCGAGGAAAAGCGACAATCAGAGAAAGCTGACATCCATGAGGACTATATGCATTTAAACTTGTTCTCCCCAGGAATAAATAAATAAATGAATCGCTACCAGGGAAAGCTAATAGACACGGAAAGAATGTCGAACAGGGAGTAGTCTAATACATTTATGAATTCACACCCAGGTGGCCACTATTATGTGCATAATTTTTACTCCACTTTAAGTTTAAAAACGGCTGCCAGCCCTGGCTGCTTTCAAAGAAGGTGGTAATGAATTTCACTCTAAAAACGAATGTCTTTCCGGTCGCAAGGATGTTGAAGCATCCACTTATCTTGTCATCTGTTTATGAGCGTTTGTCACCTCTTTACTAGGAAAGTTTTTCGGTGGCACTGAGCTTGAAATACGATTCGGATAAAAAGCACACATAATAGGCAGAGCAAGAACCTAGAAAGCCCAATTCCAGGCAATGACACAGTCGCATAGCTCGGTATGTTTGATTCGATGTTTACGGCTATTTGGCAGTCATTGAACTGAGCCAGGGGGAGGCAGCCACTAGACAAAGTCGTGTGGCATAATGCGTATTATTCGGTCGGTTCTAGCAATGCCATTGGCTATAAATAGCCAAAAAGATGTCGCTATAAGAGCACTCCAAAGAGAAGCCCTCCAGAGCAAGAACTTTTCTGCTATTTTGAGTTCATTAAATGTCAAGCAGAAGCCTTGCAGCCTTGACTGTTTTCAATTTACGCTTATCATTGCTTTTTTCTATGCCTTTAGCTCGATTGGTACACAAATACAAAATTCGATGCACTTTTAATTCTTTATATTTAAGTTAATAACTGTAATAAAACTTTAATAAAGTTTTTAAATAAAATATTTTTCTCTGTGCTTTTTTTTTTTCTAGGTTGTGCCGCCATGGCACAGTGGAGAGCATCATTCGGTGCCAGAAATTATTTACACCCATCCACCGAAAGGACATCCGTCAGCCTATCTCCATGGAGCCCCTATTCACGAGAGCCACGGCCCAGGATTCGAGCACTTCGAGGGCGCCTGGGAGAACAGTGGTCCTGGCCTGGGATCTGAGTAAGTTTTGTTCCTCCACCCCTGCCAGCATAACTCTTTCCATATCCGTATCCGCAACTGTTACTGTAACTGTCTGTGTATCTGTCTTGTCTCTAAATCACACTCACACTCATCACCCACGACAAACGACTGCAAATCACTATATAGATACATAGGCGATATAAATCGCGTTGCACAAATTGAGGAAAATGCGCATTACTTTAAGCCCGACACGGCGAAAGACGCCGACGTCCTGCATGCTTGGGGACTGGGCGGTACACAGGGACACCAGCAACACCAGACACACCAGCAACATGTCACACAGCAGCAACACCAGCCGCAACGCTGGCCCGTATCCTCGCAGCAGCCCAGGCCGCCAACGTCGCAGCAGAAACTCCAACTGCCGCAGCATCAGCTAAAAACACAGCTGCAGCAACATCAACAATTAAGTGCTCAGAAAGTACATGCTTCTAGTCACAGTTTAAACCCATTTCAAAGTCAGGACAAACAAAGGTACCTACCTGCCAGCTAAGGGCTTCTAAAAACCAGCAAAACCAACACACACGAAAATTCACTTGCACCGGCACTCGAGCACTCTTGGCCACAGAAACACGCACTCTCATGAATATAACGTCATAAATTACTAACCCGATTCTTAAAGCCCTCTAGATACAATTTACCTTTTTGCCAGGTCACATGGTGTATATAAGCTACCCGAACATTTTTCCTTTGAATATAGGCGTATTTAATATCACAAATTACACAATGCATATTAAAAATTTTTCAAAAATTGGTTCAGGTTGATCGGACTGATGGAATTATAATGGAATTATTAAAAAAATTATAGATTAAAAACATAATTGAATATTTTACATCAAAACTTTTCAATCAATTCAATTTCAACCCAAATGTATTTAAGTTCTTCTGTAAATTTCGAAATTTGCCTCACTTATTTAAACTATTGAAATATCTTTGAAAATGGGAAATTTACGGTGTCCTTTTATTTGTTTTCCCAACATTACACATGTCTCCCCATGGCGCAGGCAAATTTAATTACATTTTTTGTTAATGAAAGCCAAACAGCACACTGTTAGTAATTTTTGCCAATTAAAAAGAGCAGCGAAAAGGAAATTTGATTCGACGCTCCAATGAAACTATTGTGGGTCACCTACTCGGTGCACACTCGCTGCCCGCCCCTAATTGTGTCCCTGTTTTTCCAGCTCAAGGCCGGCACACTCCCAGCACCACCCGGTGTTCGTTCCAGGACACTACCCACCGCAGAGTGGGCCAGGACTTACGGCAGCAGCACAAATTGCGGCGCAGTATGACCCAGCACGGAACAATCAGCTCCAAGCCCAACAGCCACAGCAACACCAGCCACTAGTTCAGCAGCAACCTGAGTCACAACTTTCGGTGAGTATCGCATTACTTTCCACAAAGGTGCACAAATATGTATGTTCTAGTTTAAATTATGCATAAAGGTGCATAAAGCTAAACACATGATTATTAAATAATTCGTTTAATAAAAGAATTTCTAATGAACTTGTTCCACAACTGCAAAAGTGAATTAAGATTTTACGCGGCTGGTAAAATATGTTTAACTTCAATAACTCTCTAGTTTCACTTTAAAGAAGAGAGTTTATAATACCTATTTACGGATTATTGGATATTTTTGCAGTGGGCTTAGTTTCCGTGTGGGTCATCGGGCTGTCAACCATCCTCTCCGCCCTTCATTAGTGACACACTGCCGGCTCCCACAGAAAGATTGCATATTGCATATTGCACATTTGCGCAGCTAAGCAACAAGACAACACAATCAATCAAGCTGCTGCAGTTTCACTAACAAACACACAAAGAAACGTCCGCAACCGGCACATGGCACATGGGCAGCATTTATTGACACTTTCCTCTGAGTGCAGATACTTGTTTTCCTTGGCTTCCCAGTGCCCCATGCAAATTGTTGTGTTATGTTTGACTCGGTGCCTGTATTCTTTTCTCTTTTTGTTTAACGACACCATTCAAATTGCAGGGCCGTGCAGGGTGAATTGGTTGGCAAACAATTTTCCAGACTGACACTCAATGACAGTTTTCACTTTCAAGTGCTCAAGCCCAAGACCAAGGAACGGACAAATGTGGGCTGTGCTTTTAGGCACTCGGCTTGTTCACTAAGCCATAATTAAAATGCACTTTGCCATTGCCATTACCACTGACATTGCCATTGCCATGGCTATGCATGTATATTGCACTGCCGGCAAAGCTGACAGCAAAATCCGTAAGCTTTCAAAATGCCCCGCTGTTCACCTTAATTAAATAAGCACACCTTGCCAAAGCCACCCGAATATGATGGGAACTTGCTTTGCTGTTCCCTGTCGGGAAAGTGTGCCAGCGGCTCTAAATTCACTCTGCTAAACTGTCCAAAACAGATGGCTTGCAACGCACACTCGACCCTTTTGCAACCGAAAATTTCATTGCAAAAACCACCGAAATTGTGACAGCAACCATGTGGGTTTCAACAAAACAACATTTCAAATTAATTTTCATAGAAAATTAATTCTCTGATAGTCATGTTTGTGCATTAAATTTCAGACTTAGAGAACTCAATGGGATTACAAAAATACGGAAAACAGTTTCCCATTATTACACAATTTTAATTTAATTTAAACCCTTTTCTAGCCCGAACTGGCTGCCCAGCTGAAGGAAGCAATTCGCATTCAAGCCGAACAGCGAATAATCCAGCAGCAACAGAAAATACTCGAACATCAGCCTTTTGTGCAGGACGGACAGGTTTGCCACAAAAAAAACCCTTTTTAAATCTCTGTTCACTGTGAATAATTTGCGCCTTTTTCTACCATTTTCAGCCGCTATATCCGCTTAACTACGATCCATTCTACAGTCCCATTCTGCTGAAAATCGACAAAATCGTCGAACAGCTGGGAGTGAAAAATGACCTGTGCAAGGAGCGAATTGTTTGCAGCATGTACAAGGACCCGGCCACCTATAGTCCTCACAGCAATTTCGTTTCCGCCGAATTAAGTCGGTAAGTCATTTGTTAGAGCTGGTTCTTCAAGGAAAGTTTTATTTTATGAAGTGCCCTTTTTGACAGTTTTCCTATCCAGACTTTCCTTTTTATTGACTTTAATTGTCTTTAATTTTCAATTTTTTTAATATTAGTTTTCAAAGAGTGTCAAGTACACTAAAGCACATTATGTTTGCTCTAATTGTTCCCTGGCCAATGTCAAACTGCAATTAGTTTCCAACTTGCCAAGTTTGATGCGTTTTGTTGGGTGAAAACCTGAACCTGAACCGTCCCCCATCATCGCCTATCAATTAATGGGCAAGAGCGTGAAAAGAAAGTGGAGCTCTGAGGTTGAATCTCCGAGGCAAGCTGTCTAAGTGCAGTTTGTCATTTTGTCATGGCAAGTTCGTAGCTGTCGCATCGCATCGCGTCTTCTAATTGAGCTGCAAACTGCGCACTGCACACGGGAAGCCGAGTGGAACGCTGTGGCACATGCCACACGGTGCACGTCACATTCCCCGTCAATGGTTCCACCCACATCGGTCACTCTGGACTCACTCGAGCATGCCGACGACCAGATAAACTCGCATTTCGCATTCATCATATTTCTCATGGCTCATTATCTTTCGTGGCATGCCCAGGTTTTTCACGCTGACAACAATGAGTGCAAAATTGTTTTCGGCAACTTTTTCCTTGCCTCTTGAGAGATAAGTGTCTGGGTTGACAAAATTTTGACTGACAGCGGCAGTCTCCCGCCAGAAGTCCAACCTAGTCCTATTCCCTACTCCCTGGCATTGTGTGATTTATGGGTCTGCGTGGCCATGACACGCCATTCATTAATTGGGTGGCCCAAGTGTGCCTAATTGTCTTATCGAAGCTTCAAAAAAGAGGATTCTTGAAACTTAGGTTTTCATCCTTTCTAGCTGAAAATTAATTAAAGTAAATTGTTCTAATGAATGCTAACTTTGGTTTTAAACGCCCTTCATATTTAAGCAGCGTTAAATTATGAAAGCCCTTGTAATTAATTGAAAAAAAGTCTAGTAGTGAAAAGTAATTATAATTGAAATTGAAAGTCATCAGATGCTAAGTGGAGCTCGTTTTAAAACTTGTTTGAAATGTTTCAAAATTACTTTTCCGACCTATTCATTAATTTTGCATAGCCTAGGCTTTTATCCTTCAATTCTCCTAACCTCATGTGAGAATAAAATGTAATTCTAATGGAGCGCCAGAAATTGTTATGTATTAGACACTAAAAGTTAAACAAGATGTTCTCTGGTCAGGTCACGTCCTCCTGAAATTCAGCCAAAGAGCATAGGAAATCAGTTTGGCCTTGGCTTTTGTGGGTGCTATTTTGCCACCCATCCCCCTAATTCCCAGAACTCCCCAGGTCCCACATTCACGGCACGACTCACTAGTCACATGAAATCCATTAGCAACACTCCGCCCCCAGAATCAATTGCTTCAGACGCCTCCAATTGGGGCTTGTTGAATGGCTGAATAGGTTCCTGGGTTCCTTGGATGGTTGGTTGGGAGTTTCCGGATGAAACACGGCTGTCTGGCACACAAAAGACGCGTGCTGGTAAGCCCGAAAGTAAGTCCAAGTGATTCGACATGCCCTTTCCAAAAAACTTTAGTGCGCCGTGCCGAAATTGCAAAATTAATTAGCTGACTTCCTAGCAGCTCCCAACCGTAAAAGTTTATCTAACCGCAAAAAGAAGCATCTGCTAGAGGCGAGAGGCTTTATCAGAAAAAAATATACCTCTACTACATACATAGGCACTTAATTAAATACGCGAAAAAGTTGTTTATTATAAAAGTTAACCATTTGTGTCTGTTGCAGCGATACCAGCGAACTGGAGCCCGTAACGCATGCGAATGAGGCTGTGCGGCGTTTCTACCGGCTAATCCAGGCTGCCCGGGATGGCCAGGATCAAAAGGACTGTCAGAGCCTGTACCCACAGTGCAATATGCCGGCCAAATGAGCCAGAGGGTCGTTGTGGTCCAGACCAGGTCCAGATTCGCGAAACGAGAACGAGCAACTTTAAAGTCAATTTTCCTTGTTAAAACCCGAACTGTAAATAAGATAATTACTCTAACTTATTCCTAATGTATTTGTTAAATTCTTATTATTTATTTATTTATTTATATTAGTCTAATGGTTCGCCTAGTTTATGCTAATCTACGCCCATCTGACACTCGACCGCTGAGCTAATATTCATTCTGATTTTGTTGAAAATAACTCACAAATAATTCATTAGAATTGACTGCGGTCAGTGCACTTTTTAAATTGTCATCCCACAGTGAATGGCTTCTATTTATTTAACAAATAATTCGATAAAATACGAAATAATGAAATCAGAATATTTATTAATAGCCGGTCAGATGGTCGCCGCTAAAAATTCAATTAGTCAATATGCAAAAATTGTTATTAGAAGATTTATTTATCGCCAGTGCACATAAAATGGAAAATAAATTGAAATTGTGTTAAATATTAATCTTGTCGGCATTAGGTTTTATGGTGAATTGGATTTCTGGGAAACTTAATAGTCTTAAAAAGTATAGACAGTATCGAATGATGGATTATCCTAGAAGGGGTTTGCAAATATATAAGCAAAATATAATTAAACAGAGTGGTCTTAATCCTCATAAGTAAGTAAACAACTATCTGACCCTAGAATTTAATTACCGAAATACATTACTGATAAAAGTCTAGGGTACTCACTTGAAAGCCAACCAAACCACCCAAGGCGAAGCCCAATTTAGCACAAATGTGCTTCCTTGATTCCTCATGTCTTTCTGGAGAATCAATGCTGCTGGATTTACTTTGAATTAATCTGCTTGAATATTTTAGAAGTCTATATCCAGACCAGCAAACCCACATGCTGGGAAATCACTCACTCAGACCAGCAGGTTCAATAATAACACATTTTCTTTGCATAAATCATGGCGCCACAACTCAGCAGGAATGGCGTGCCAATATGTCGCCTAATTGTCGTTGGCAAACAGTCGAAATGGAAAAGAACTCATTTGCATAAATATATTTATTAGGCAGCCTATTGGGCGGCTTTGATGTCTCCAGGACGAGCTCACGAACTCATCTGAAATTAATATTTATGTAAATTCCAGGCGCAATTAACACGCAAATGGCATGGCTTTCACTTTTCGTCCCCCTCCACTAACAAAAAACAAAGGAAATATAAAGTAAAAACAAAAAATAAATATATACAATTACAACAAAGGGCGGAAGCATAAGTAAGACATTAAGATTCGTGGGCTCGCTGTCTCGGCCCAGCCAACTGCACTGACATCAAAACACCGATTGCCAAATTGGCAGCTCATTAAATGCCAAGTACTTTGAGAAATGTCAGCGTCACGAAGCTCCAAATTTTTTGGCCTACGAAAATATTTCCGCTATTCGAAACCAAGAAAATATTTTTAATGAAATAAAGTAGGCACCACGCCCACACTTAATTGATTCCAATGCTACTGCTTCTTTTGTGGACAGTATCAGACTACAAGGACAAGAGCTCATTGAGACAGAATGGAATACGAAGGACACACCAGCACCCTCCTAGTATAAACAAGCCTAGAATTATTTGTTTGGTCAAGAAATACCTAAACAATGTTGGAATATTACATTACATTGAGTTCATGTTGCTGGTTTATTTAAGAAAAATAAGTTCCTCTTTATAAATTATAAAATTAGATATATCTATTTGAGATATATTGTATTTAATATATATTAGAGTCTTTAGACAAGTACTTTTTTTCAGAGACACCTGGCAGAAAACTAAAAAACATAAGCCTGTTAAAATTATAACCATTACATTCGCAATAAAATATAAAATCAATTCAAAGCAAATGAAATTGTCTGGCTTTATATGTTAAATGTTGAAATGAAATAGTAATACCTGCTTATGGGCCCTATTATGCATAGGCCTTACCAAATTCAAAGGAATTAATTCAGCCTGTAATGATATTATGAATGGAATAAAAATATAATTATTCTGAATGTAAAATCAAACAACATCTGCCCTGCTGTGGAGTATAAAAAAGTGTTTTCCATTTCGGTGGTCAATGCCTGCAGGTGCAATTGATTGGCTCCCCCTTGTACACACTTCTCGGCGGGTAAATGCCGAAGAAACGACTGCTGTGAGAGTTTTATTCTAATTGGGTTTCCAGGCACGCACAGCGGATTGCTGGGCACTTGATTTTACGAGTGGAGTGGAGTCCCCCGAAGAAGCCATCAAATAACTTTCAATTATGTGCGGCATATTATTGGGGGTATTATGCTGGAAATCGTCGTCAGCTTGATGTATTCCTATGCCGCCGACAAAGAGAACAGCGTGCCCATAAACCGTTGGCCAATTGACCCAATAGACGACCGATAGAACCAGAAGCCAGCTAGCTGTTAGCCATACCCCGCACAAAGGTGAAACTCTTAACTTGCGCTTTCCATGACTCTTCGAGTGGTCAAAGCAAAGCGAATCGAAACGAAATTGTGGCTAAAAGTGCTGACCAAAGCGGGACGGAAAGAGAGCGCCGTGCGTACCTGGCATACGCAATTCAATTAGCAAAGTACACGCCGTATAAAAACCAAGCGGTGCCAGTGGGACATTTGCATAACCCGCTGAGTGGCCAACGCGTGCGCACCACCGACCGATAGAATAGAGCCAGCCACCGAAAGGATGAAGAGCCCCGCCGCCTTTTTGATAGTCGCCCTCGCGGCGCTTTCCACGGCCGCCCACTCGGCGCCCGCCGAAGGTCACCAGGCGCCCCAGTCCGCCACCCAGCTGGCCCTCGACATGTACCATGGCTGCCTCAAGGATCTGAGCGTCTCGTGCGTCCGCCCCAAGGCCCTTCAGTGGTTCAACGCTGCCCTCCAGCAGCCTGAGGTTCGCATTACCGAGCGCCTCTCCATCGTTCGCACCTCGGAGAAAGTGGAGTCCCGTTCCCTGAATCCGGAGGAGCGACTCTTTGATGATATCGACAGCTACCTGGGCAGCCACTCCCTGAGGATCCAGGCTCCAGAGTATTTCCGCAGCTCGGAGGCCCGTTCTCTGGTGCCTGATTTCCTAATGGAGAATCCCCTGACCCAGGGTGGAGTTATTCCCCTGGCAGCTGCCAACGAAGGTGCGTATTTCAAAATTTATTTTCAAACCAAATACCATAAATCAAAGTGACATGATTTATGCAAACTATTACCTTGTGATGATGCCTGGTGATTGCCAGTAGCTATACATCAGAGAGAATTGTGACAGTCATAGATTTTATAAACTAAAGATACACTTTTTAATATTTTTGCTCTGATTTCTTGGCATTTTTGGAAAAGAAATGCCTATACCAATAAATTAAACAATAATTTAATTTATTAAAAATATTTACAAAATATTTAATATTTTATTTTAAAATACATCATTGAAAAGGACTATCCCCTTTCTCTCTCATTTAAACGCTTTAAAATATAAAATTCAATATGACAAAATACTTTTATTCTTTCCAGGACGTGGCATGATCCGCAAAGCAGTTCTCCCCTTCCTTCTGGGTCTGAAGCTCAAGACAACCGTGCTGGTGCCTCTGGCTTTGGGCCTGATCGCCCTCAAGACCTGGAAGGCCATGACTCTCGGCCTGCTCTCTCTCGTCCTGTCCGGAGCCTTGGTTATCTTCAAGATTGCCAAGCCCAAGATTGTCAACTACGAGGTGGTGCACTATCCCCATCATGTTGACCACGTGGTTCCCCACCATATTGAGCATGTGGTGCCCCATCACATCGAGCATGTGGTTCCCCACCACATTGAACACATCGTGCCCCACCACATTGACCACCACCTGGAGCACCACCTCGACCACCATGTGGATCTGCCCGTGGAGCACATCGAGCACCTGGAGCACCCCTCGCCTGCATGGGATCCCCATGCCTGGGCCAGGTCCTCGCAGGAGCCCGCGGATGCCCAGGACTTGGCCTACGCCGGCCAGAAGTGAGGCTGGGACCGTGAGCCAAACCATTTTTCGAAACTCGGCCAATCTGGATGATTATTTATTTCGCCCTAGTCTAAGTAGTTGAACCGCTCATACTTTCAGCGTATTGTTTATTTATTTATTTATTGAAAAGTGTACAAAGGAAAGCAAAGCAAAAAAAAAAAAACATGAAATGAAGAAACCCTTAAAGGCGTTTAAAATGTACTAAGTGGAAAGAACCAGGGTGCTCTTTTTGTGTAAATATTTCTGCAATAAAAACATGCACAAAATGTGTACCTAATTGAAGTCTCCTTCAGCTGCAGCATCCCCTAAGCGAAATGAGTAATTAACCCGAAAACTTTTCTAATGGCTGGGTTCTCGGTTTAGTAGGGTACACGGAGTGAAAGTCCATTTTGGCGTCCAACAAATTGAATACTTCCCCCATAATGAGTGCAAATTCGTGCCAAAGTGTCTGGAAAAAATGGTAAAAAGGTTTCATGTTAAATTCAACTGTATTTCAAGCAGGTGAAAACCGTTGAGGAGTGCTTCAGTATGGAATGCATACATTTTCTATTCCAGAGCAACAAATTCTATGCTCGAAAAATACCAGGTAATAGAAAAATGCAGGGGAAAGCAATGCATTTCAATTACAGACAGAGTTCCTTTAATAAGTATATAAAATAAAGACTTTAAAGTAAAAAAAAAAAAGCGACCATTTTCATTTCATATTTACGTTATGCGAAAAATATTTAATATTTTTAGCATACTTTCGGGGGAATCCCATGGAGAGTGCACAGGGTACGCGTGTACACTGAACCTTAAAGCATTTTATTTATTGCATTCCCTTCTTCATTGCTTGTTTTCTGTACACCCAGGAGAGAAAATCGATGACCAGCGGTGCGGTCATATCAATTGCCAATAGCCACCCAATAAAACCACGCAGGTGGGTTGGAAAGCTGCCATTGACACACACACACCCTCACACTCATACACTTGGACACCTCTCTCAGCCAAAATGTCGACGGTGATGTCGTGAAACAATGCAAAATGGCGATGGCGCCAACAAAAAACTTCAACGGCATCAACTTAAAATTGAAAAACAATATGAAGAGCGTGTGGAACGGCAGTTCATTTATATTTAACGACATGCACTTGGCCGCCATTGCTTGACCATCGTTTCTACGCAACAATTTCGAATATGAAAAAGTTTTCCAATTTCATTGGCTCGAAAAAGAAATGCGACCGGAATGGCAAATTGCCGGCCAATGAAACGGTGAAACTTTTGCCCAAACAAATTATTCGGGTGGACGAAATCAAAAAAGAAAAAAATCAACACAGCACAGTGCCAGTGCAATCGCTATCAAATCAATTTTCATGGCGAATGGCGCGTAATCCATTCACGAGATTCATAATTTAACCGTGGACTCTGAATGTTTCGAAATTCAATGCACACGACCAGAATGTGTCACTTTCGCTTTCGTTAAGGAAAATCACTTTCTTTTTCAGTGACATGTAGGAGGCCTTTTTTTTTTGGCCACTGACCAACCAAAGTCCATTGCGAATCGCTTGCATATTCCAAGCCCAATTATTAATTATGATTTGAGTGCTGTAATTAGTTTGCGCAATTTGGCGTGGCGCGGCCGTATAAAATTATATGTTGCGATATGTTAATTACTAGTTTGTTGTGGGCAATAAACGATTTATGACTTGCGCTCCAAGTGGTCCCTTCGATTAGCGACCATAAGGATGTTTATGCTGATGGTATTCTAAAAACAAAAAATATGTTATTGTAATAGGCAATTAAAACTTATATTAATCGAGAAAAGTTACTTGTAAATTTCCTCTAGAGCTCGGGGGTTTACCTGCTAAATACTTAAAAGGAACATAAAAGTGAAAAAGAATAACAATTGTGCCTGGAAACTTTGTGCACACAAGTTAATATGCCGCCAACTCAACTTTTTCATAAACAAAACATTGGCTTTTAGCGGAGTTTCCGTAATAAGTTGGTGCACAGTAATTAGCGACCGTAATGTTTTGTTGTCAAGAAATTGTAGATGGGAGAACTTTTCTGCATTTTCACAACAAATTAATGGTAAAAATCTATTTTTTCTTGTATCTCATTACCAATAGGGTAGATGTTATTGTGACAAGATTTAATCAGTTAATGGCAGCCCCACTCCTCCATTCTTGTCTCCCCTCCGGCGCCTCATAATCAAAGAGCAAACTGTTGAATGGCCTAACTACACTTGGAGAAAAAATGGAGCAAGCACTTTGGGCATCACATTTTTATAGTCCTTACTATACATTTTTACCCAACCCACTAAACCTTAGAGACTGAGGTATTCTTGGTAAAATTCTTTTAGTTATTTTTTTCTTTTAAATTTATTTATTTAATATTTTAAACATAATATTTTCGAGTGCTACCATCCACCCACATAGCACACTCTCAGATGCGGCGGGCACGCGTCCGAAATAAAGCCACATTAAGTATACGACACGTGGTGCACAGAGGCACGCACACAGACAAAAATAACAAAGTTGGGGCAACTCTTTCGACGTCTGCTTCATTCATGTCTTCTTCGGCCATTTCTTTTGGGCCGCCATTCGCCAGCGAACGAGTTTAAAGATCCAGTGAGTATAAAAATCGTGAACAATAGAAAAACGATTATTAAACGCAATTGTGCCAGCACAGAGGCGAGTTGTGTGTTGACCATCGGCGAGTGACGAACCTTAAAAACTAAACGACAAACCAAAATGGCCAAACTGCTCCTTGTGATTGTCGGTGTGGCGGCCTTTGTGGCCGTGGGACAGGCGGCAGCTGCTGGTGACCAGATGCAGCGTCTTATTGCCGAGGAGCAGAGCAAATGCGCCAGTGGTCAAGATTCAATGGCCTGCATCAAAGAGCGGGCCATGCGTTTTGTGGACAATGTGATGAGCAAAGACAGCTATCAGGTACGAAATAGAAAATAATAGATATCTGAATAAAGTTAATCCTCAACTGCATTAGAGGATTATTAACTGAACTTGCATATTTTGAAATATTAAAAATTACACTAATTTCCTTAAAGGTTTCGAACTTGGAAGTCCGCCCCAATGGCCAAAAGACTCCAGCAGTCAGTGAGGCTCGTGCCAGCAGCGCCGATGGCTTCATCGATGCCATTGAGAACTACATCCGTGGACACGATGTTAGCATGAACTTGCCCTTGGCCGATGCCAAGGTCACCGTCTCGGCCCGCAATCTGGCCAACAACCAATTGAGCCTGAACCTCCAGCTCAATGGCGATGAGAGCGACGATGCCACCGATGTCGAAGCCAGGGGTAAGAAGGGCAACATCTTCAAGAAGGGTGGGTTCACGTTCTGCATGCCTATTTTGTCGAAAAAAACCTTATCGAACAGGAAAATATCTAACCAATTACTTATTTGGATTTCCAGGAAAGAAGCACCGTCTCCGCAAGCTGGCCATGCCCATCCTGGTTCTGATCCTGCTGAAGGCCATCACCGTCATCCCCATGGCCATTGGTATCCTGAAGATCAAGGCTTTCAACGCCCTGGCTCTGGGCTTCTTCTCCTTCATTGTCTCGGTTGGTTTGGCCATTTTCCAATTGTGCAAAAAGGTAAGCCGGCAACGATATTAAAACGCATCTCTAATGTCTTCCAGGCATTCGCTGGCTGTGGTAATTAGAGTGCGTTTTGTGTGTTGGGATGATGTTGGGCGTGGAGAGCGAAAGTCGCGACAGAGTTATTGCAATTAAGGGTCATTTGTAATGCATGTATGTATGTATAAGAAGTCTAGAGGGCGGCAGCAGCAGGGTAAGTCTAGCCAGAATCCTCGCCCACAATCTCCCGCTTCCCAACCAAACCACAAAACTGACTACCCAACCAAAACTAGCAATTAGAGTTATGTTAAAAACCTGTGAAGAATCTCTGGTTAATCTTGGTTATTTTATTTCTTTTACCAACTTAGATTGCCCATGATCATCACCACACCGCCCACATCACCGCCCATGGTCCTTGGGACGGCCGCACCTTTGGTTCTCTTCCAGTGCCCGTGGTGGAGCAGCCCCAGAAGTTGGCCCAGAACTTGGCCTACCAGGCCTACGCCTAAGCCATAATTCAGCGCTAAAATTGAGAAACTAATTGGAGCAGAGCAGTCCTAAGACTTGGATTCTGAATTGGCCCAAATATGTGGTTGGCAAAAGCACAAAATTAATTGTTAATTGTTAGATGTGTTCTGTAACTTTTGAGCACTTCCCTCCCTGACCAGTTATCCGCGGTTTTCCTGCGCTGCCTCTATTCGCTAGACTTTATTTATAATATTTATTAACTATTTATTGAAAACAAGAGATTAAGAAAACCAGAAGCAAAGCACCAAAATAAAGTAGCAAAATAAATGCCTTAAACATGCTAAAATTTACATTTTTCAAGGGGGGACATCGGGCTATCATTGTATTTCCTCTTTAAGATTTGGCCTAGAGCTTTTGGCCAGAAGTCGTTTTCGGTTAATACCTTAGTGGTTGAATGCTCAACCCCGCAAGCCTAATTAACGTTTCCGCCCTTTGGCATTGTTCCCAGAACCTCGACCAATTTCACTTGGCATACAATATTTATAAGCCATCGCCGGCAAAGCGATTGTGTCCTAATTAGCCAAATTTAATCCACGGTAAACGCCGACTCCCGGCAGAAAATCTAATTAGATATTCCGCTCAAGCCTCCTGCATTGAGGCCCGGTCGGCACAGCCAATTCAATTGATCAACGGCATATAATTTAAAAATTTAAATTTCTTCTTTTCACTTGTGCGAAAGTTGTCACCCGTCGGAGAGTGAAAGTCTTTCAAAATTCTAGCTCAAGGGGCGTGTTGGTGATTGAGGGCCACCGTCAGGGATCAGGGACATTTTCGAGAAAACTAAATGATGCTTTCCATGGCAGGCACCGAGATAGATACAAATCAATGGGTGGTCCGATAGAAAAGAAAATTTCACAAATAAATCCCTGTCATGAAACCAAACTCAGCGCTCAAATGCACTACGAAGGTCTTCATAGGAAATTTAAGGAATATGTTTTACAAAATATCGACCTTTTTATACCGCTTGTGATATAATTTTAAGCATAAGGATCATTGTTATCAGTTTTAAGCTTAAACAAGTAGAGCTTTTCATAAAAAAATATGTATGTAAGTTGCCTAAAATATAATTTTTTTTCTAAACCCAATCAATATGCCACTTTATTCCATGGGTAAAATAATCTGCATACATTTCATTGGGCCCAAATTAAATTTGAAAAGCTGTGCAGGCCAATGGTCAAGCATCAATTTTCCATGTGTGCTACACAGGCACTCGGTCCAATCTAGAAGCCAATAAAGTGTGAAAATTGGCCTAATCTGAGCATTTTCGGCCACTGGCCTCATCCAGCTGGGCAATTTCCATGGAATTCAAGGCAATTTATCAGACGACCGGACAGTTTCGTGGAAGCTACAGGACGAAAAAAAATGTTTTTGGCTATGAACCTGGACAGGTGGCGGCGCTTTCATAATCGCTTGGCATACACGAGGACACTGTTTTTTCGGTCAATGTTTGGTCAGCCAACAAACCATCACCATCACAGCACCAGACCATCGCCCATCATCATCAGCATCGATCCAAAGCCAAGACACGAGCTTATGGAAATTTATAGCCACAAATAAAACTGTCGGCTCTTTTTTTCATTTGGCACGATCCAAGCAAAAGTGCGGTGCTAGTTGTGAAATAAACATGAAGCTGTCCCCTCAATTTCTTTTAGCGAGGGATACAAGTGATACAAATAAAAAACACGACAGCGACACATGTTGCATTATTTAAGCGGACCATTAGGTAATCTATGATGATTGCACTGATTTTGGCTAGCAAATAAATATATTCGATTGTGTAACTATGCAAAGTTTTCCAAAGGATTGGATTTTACCAACAATAAGCTGGAATTTCCTAAGTTTACTGGAAAATATCTTTTTAAACCGTAAATCATGGAACGTTTAATTCATATCCTAGGCCAAACCTATCCAGCCGTATAACCAGTTAATAAAAAGCCTTAAAGGCTTAATTCCTTAAATTTACAAAAATAAATGGAATAACTAATGAAAAATGTTTCAAATTATTTTACTGAATTCTTTTTTCTATATTATCAATTTATTGCTGCTCATATTTGTTTCATAACGCAGGTTTGTAAAGGGTTTCTCTCAAGTAACTTAACCCATGCATTTATGCAAGCCCCTTGAAAGCAGCATACATTAATTAAGGAAGTGTGTCACCTGAAAATATATGGCACAAACAAAAACGAAAATTCATTTCGTAATCTTCAAAAAAAATAGGTAGGATTGAAACCGCTGCGAAATAGAGTCCCCAGTTCCGCGTTTACAAAAAAAAGCAGTATCGAAACATATCAAATCAAATGTGGAGTCAATAACAATGCGTAGGTGAGTTCCGTACTGATTTCTTGTATCGAAATTTGACACAATACGCCGAAGTATGTACGTGCCTTTGATTTGGCTTTCTTACAGACGGTCGCGTAAGAGTTAAGGGCCTGCATACTAATTGCAAACAAAAGTTATTTCCATCGAGGCGTCAATAATGCAACATTGGCCGGTGGGAGGGACGCGTTAGGTGTCTGGGGGCCGATATGGAAAGCGAGAAAGCTTAAGGGGCAACCCAGTTAACTGAGGAGAGGCTACTGTTTTTATACTTAGTAATCGTTGTATTCAAGGGTATACTCAATTCATGGTCTTTAAATTTAGCCTTTATATTATAAGTGAACAAAAAGCATTAGGGTGTGGTGTTTTAGATTTTGAATAATGTTTAGAATTCTTTAACATAAGTTATTTTTATCTCTAAGGTTTTCAAATCGAGGCAAGATTATTACAGTATCAGTTGCATTATGAAATACCAGGTAGTTCATAGTCGAGAGAACCGATTCTACCTCCCTAGTTTTCTTTTTTCGAAGTTTTTTGAATTCGATTTTTTTTTTGTGAAAAACTTTGGCCACTTGCTTTCCGTGGACTTGGCCCAGGGCTTGACTTTCGTCGCTCGTCACTTGCCGAGTTGGGCTGTCCAAAAACCGAAAAACCAAAAATTGTGCACTCCAAAAAGCCAACACGGGCCATGGGTCTCTTCTTTGGCGCTCTCGGGGAGCGGCAGTATAAAATTGGAACCATTCGACAAATGATCCAACATTGTCGTCGCATCGACTCCGCAGTGAACACTACGCGCTCTGGTAGTGTAATATAAATTTAATATTTTAATTAATAAATAGGAACCACAATGGCCTTCCGTTTCACGTCCTTGTTCGCGTTCGGTTGTGTGCTGCTTTTGGCGGCATCCGCCTCCGTTTCGGGAGCTGCCATCGACAATGCGGTGACCCCGCGGATCCACAGCTCCGACGAGCTGATCTCGACCATTGTGGATAAGTGCTTCCATGCCAATGCCATGCATTGCCTCAAGGAGAAGGTGCTCAGCTACCTGGACACGGTGGCTAATGTGGAGGATGAGGTTAGCGGTCGTGCCCTAAGCGACGACGTCATCGACAAGGTGATTGTGGACCGTGTGGGCCGCATTCTGAACACCAACGAGATGAGGCTGCAGCTGCCACAGACCTTCTTCGCCGGATCCGTGATGACCTACCGCTCGGACCGTGGCTTCGACCTGGAGCTCCCCAAGGAGGAGGGTCAGTATTTTGAATCGAAGCCTCCCAAGCAGCCAATCAATATAAATTTTTTTCAGGCCGTGCCGAGAAAAAGAACAAGGACAAGCTCTTCCTGCCCCTGCTGCTGTTGATGAAACTGAAGCTGAAGGTGGTCATGCCCATCCTGCTGGCTCTGATCGGTCTGAAGGCCACCAAGGCTCTAATCCTGTCCAAGATCGCCATCAAGCTGGTGCTCGGCTTCCTCATCTACAACCTCATCCAGAAGCTCGGCGGCATGAAGATGAACATGGTGCCCATGCCAGCCCCGGTTCCGGCCAGCGAATACGGTGTGCCCAGCACCACTGCCTCCTCCTATGACCCCAGCAGCTGGGAACCCATGAGCGGAGGTCCCTATGCCCGTTGGGACTCGCAGAACCTGGCCTACAGCTCCTACCACCCCAGCAGCTCGTCCTCGTACTCCTCTGGCTCCTCCTCGGGATCCACCAGCTCCTCCAGCTACAGCTCGTCCTCCTAAATCAGCAGGACTACAGCTATTGTACATATCAAGGATAATTAGTGACTCTTGCCCCGGCGAGATCACTGCGAGTCGCACAGACCAAATGGAACCGGAACCTGCCCAGGCCATACATTTAGTTGTTAAGGGTTAAGCATGCGAGAGTTTTAGCCATTCTTCAGCTGTTACCACTCCCCCTCTTAGCCTCATTTTCACAGCATTCCAATATTCTTTTTCCCATTCACTCTTCCCTGCACTATACTTTCGTTCTTTTTGTCACCAATCGACCAAAAATCAAACTGAATTGAATTATTATTTATTTAATTTATTAAAAATGCAAAAATTGAAAACAATTAAAAAGCTTTTTTAAATTTTGGGATTGGTCTGGAGGAAGACTATTCAAATTGTAAAATTATATATTTTTTTATTATGGCAGAAGTAATATTTAAAAGGAGGCCAAGCTCTACTGCTTAGTTAGTTTAAAATTTTTCTTTCAAAATTAATTCAAAATAATCTCCAGGCAGAAATGAAACTGAAATCAAAGAAGCAGGAGCCGGTTGAGCCTCAAAAGTCAAGCTCCAAGTCGGCAGTGGGTTCCCTTTCGGCGAATGGAACTGAACGGGTTTATACAGAACTGGACTCGGAGGGCAAACTAGTGAGTCGACCTCTCACTACTTACGAATGCAAGCTGGAGGACGATGTGGAGCAGCTGCAGGATGCCCTGTTTACGATCTCCTCTCACTACGCCAAGATCCAGTTCCGGTTGCGTCAAATCGCCTCTGCGTCGAACTGCGAGAGGAATTTCTTGCTAGAGGAGCTGCAGCGAATGACGACTCAAGGACTAGATAGCTGTACCACAAACCAGGAGGAGGAATTGCCCAGCTTGAAGTGCGACTCATTAAGCCTGGGTAATGTTCGATACAAGCAGCACAAGATAATCAGCGAGTTGCGCGAACGCCTCCAGGACTTGGCTCAGGCGGCAGGAGCCTGTTTCGAAGCGGATTACCAGGACTGTGGTGGCGTCGGTGACGGACCGGAATATGTGGACCAGTTCGACTCCGCTCACCAGATCGAACTATGCGAAGATAAGAAGGAAGCTGGGGGACAGTATTTACAGGAAGTGTGGTCGGATACCGACTATGGAAACGAAGAACTTCGGTGGCCGATTTCGAAGCCACGTCGGTCGAAATATAAGAACGGAAGTCCAAAGGGTGCATCCAGAAGAGGTTCTAACATCTCCCATGAAATCCAAAGTAAATCGAAAAGTAAATCGGAAAAGCTAAAACAACAACCTTCAAGAGCTCAAGCAAACCAGGATCCAAAAATAACTTCACCCCGAAAAAAGCAGTCCAACTTTACTCCGCCCAATGCAGCCAGAAAATTTCAATCTAATGTGGTCAATCGCCTTTCCAAAAACATTTTCAATTCTTTTAATGGCAGCCCCAAAATGGGAATAACACCCGGTACAAGCCACAGCAAGAATCGAAGTCGTACTTTTTCCCCGTTGCGCAGGTCTCAGTCCCACTCGCAATATTCGAATTCTGCAAAATCTAAAAATTCTTTGACATCTCCATTGAGGTACAGTGACGCAACTAGTCGAGGATTAACCAACTCAGTTATCCAACAATCTGGCAGGGCCATAAACCGAATTTCTGGTGCCGGCAGTATGAGCCTCCACCCATCTCTGCGTCAGACGCAGTCCACAATGCCATCCTTAAGCCTATCGAATGGCAGGATAAGTGTTGAGACTGGTGAGCTTAGGCAGAGTGTCGGGAGGAGCAGCGATCGAAAGATTCGGAAGTGGAAATACAAAGAAGTTGCTATTAGCCCATCGCAGTCAGACGATTTTTCAGAGAAAATCGAAAGAAACACTTTCTACCGGGAAGGCACTCAACAAAGCAATTCACATTCTTCATGCCCAGAAAAGAACAGTCAATCAAACACCAGCGAAAGCTATAAGGAATCCTCGAAAAATATCCGTAAAAGTTGCCCGTGGAAGTTCAACAAAGGCATCGAAAACACTGAAATGTCTGAATGCTCAGACGCATAACAACGCTCAATTTTCTTTTTCGGTTTAAAATTTTTGGGGTAGTAGTTAAATTTTCTAAATAAACAGCTTATGTTTCGTTATTCAATTTATTTAATAATGGCTAACAAAATTGCTGGGGAGGGCCAATATGGCACAGCGATTGCTGTATCTTCGTCTCAGGCCATCCGATTCTTCAGCGGAATAGCTCAAGCGATTTGTAAATTGATTCTCCACAAATCTGCATCAAAAGCTAGGATCAAAATATTTTTTCAATTTTTTGTCCAATTTTCTGGGGGTTCCCTACAAAAATGATATAAAACCCATGAAACACCAATATGGGCCACTGCGATTCCTGTATCTTTGCCAAAAGTCATCTTATTCTTCAGTGGAATACCTTAAACGATTTGTAAAGCGATTCTTCACAAATCTGCATCTAAATCTAGGATCAAAATAATTTTTCAATTTTTTTTTCCAATTTTCTGGTTCCCTTCAAAAATGGTAAAAACGCATGAAACGCCAATATGGGCCACTGCGATCCCTGTATCTTCGCCAATGGTCATCTGATTCTTCAGTGGAATACCTTAAACGATTTGTAAAGCGATTCTCCACAAATCTGCATCTTAATCTAGGATCAAAATATTTTTCCGATTTTTGTCCAATTTTCTGGGGGTTCCCTATAAAAATGATAAAAACCCATGAAACGCCAATATGGGCCACTGCGATCCCTGTATCTTTGCCAAAAGTCATCCGATTCTTCAGCGGAATACCTTAAACGATTTGTATATCGATTCTCTATCAATCTGCATCAGAATCTAGGATCAAAATATTTTTTAGATTTTTTGTCAAATTTTCTGGAGGGTCCCCTTCAAAAATTGTAAAAACGCATGAAACGCCAATATGGGCTCCTGCGATCGCTGTATCTTTGCCAAAAGTCATCCGATTCTTCAGCGGAATACCTTAAACGATTTGTATATCGATTCTCTATCAATCTGCATCAGAATCTACGATCAAAATATTTTTTAGATTTTTGGTCAAATTTTCTGGAGGGTCCCCTTCAAAAATTGTAAAAATGCATGAAACGCCAATATGGGCTCCTGCGATCCCTGTATCTTTGCCAAAAGTCATCCGATTCTTCAGCGGAATACCTTAAACGATTTGTATGTCGGTTCTCCACAAATCTGCATCAGAATCTAGGATGAAAATATTTTTTAGATTTTTTGTCAAATTTTCTGGAGGGTCCCCTTCAAAAATGGTAAAAACGCATGAAACGCCAATATGGGCCACTGCGATTCCTGTATCTTTGCCAAAAGTCATCCGATTCTTCAGCGGAATACCTTAAACGATTTGTATATCGATTCTCTATCAATCTGCATCAGAATCTAGGATCAAAATATTTTTTAGATTTTTTGTCAAATTTTCTGGAGGGTCCCCTTCAAAAATGGTAAAAACGCATGAAACGCCAATATGGGCCACTGCGATTCCTGTATCTTTGCCAAAAGTCATCCGATTCTTCAGCGGAATACCTTAAACGATTTGTATATCGATTCTCTATCAATCTGCATCAGAATCTAGGATCAAAATATTTTATAGATTTTTTGTCAAATTTTCTGGAGGGTCCCCTTCAAAAATTGTAAAAACGCATGAAACGCCAATATGGGCTCCTGCGATCCCTGTATCTTTGCCAAAAGTCATCCGATTCTTCAGCGGAATACCTTAAACTATTTGTATATCGATTCTCTATCAATCTGCATCAGGATCTAGGATCAAAATATTTTTTAGATTTTTTGTCAAATTTTCTGGAGGGTCCCCTTCAAAAATTGTAAAAATGCATGAAACGCCAATATGGGCTCCTGCGATCGCTGTATCTTTGCCAAAAGTCATCCGATTCTTCAGCGGAATACCTTAAACGAGTTGTATATCGATTCTCTATCAATCTGCATCAGAATCTAGGATCAAAATATTTTTTAGTTTTGTCAAATTTTCTGGAGGGTCCCCTTCAAAAATTGTAAAAACGCATGAAACGCCAATATGGGCTCCTGCGATCGCTGTATCTTTGCCAAAAGTCATCCGATTCTTCAGCGGAATACCTTTAACGATTTGTATGTCGGTGCTCCACAAATCTGCATCAGAATCTAGGATCAAAATATTTTTTAGATTTTTTGTCAAATTTTCTGGAGGGTCCCCTTCAAAAATGGTAAAAACGCATGAAACGCCAATATGGGCTCCTGCGATCGCTGTATCTTTGCCAAAAGTCATCCGATTCTTCATCGGAATACCTTAAACGATTTGTATGTCGGTGCTCCACAAATCTGCATCAGAATCTAGGATCAAAATATTTTTTATATTTTTTGTCAAATTTTCTGGAGGGTCCCCTTCAAAAATGGTAAAAACGCATGAAACGCCAATATGGGCTCCTGCGATCGCTGTACCTTCGCCAATGGTCATCTGATTCTTCGGTGGAATACCTTAAACGATTTGTAAAGCGATTCTCCACAAATCTGCATCTTAATCTAGGATCAAAATATTTTTTCTATTTTTTTTCCAATTTTCTGGAGGGTCCCCTTCAAAAGTGGTAAAATGGCTCCTCTCCTCTTTGTTAAAAGTCCCTTGATTCTTGGTTAACCAGCAGTAAGCTTCACTTGTTACGTGTAAGTGAAATCCGGTAATTGAAAATCTATTCAATAACCCGCTTGAAAAAATAATAAAGTAGCGTAAACCTAATAAATAGGCAAGTGTTTTGATCTTGTGCGTGAATGCATTTGTTAAAATGACTATATTTTTTTTTATAGCCTATAGCTATCAGCAAAATGATGTTCTAACTGATATTTAATGTCATTATTTTTACAATTTGCTTGCACGCAAGCACAGTAAGTGCTTGACACTCTTTGAAATTGGAACAGCCCGGGGAGTTTGTTCATTGGCTAACCCAACCTAAATATTTTGCCAGCTACAAAAGCTGTTTTAATCATGATGAGCCATCTTACCTGGAAAAAGTATTTAAAAGAAGCGACGCTAAGGTATTTAATCATTGTTTAACTCTATCTTCCAACTAGCAAACACTATGATGATCCACCAGTGGCTGTTAATCTCCTTGAGAATTGGTTTAAGCCTCAGCCGGAGCATAGCTGAAACTGAGCGTTCATCGGACACTGAGGTTGGAAAGTTTATGAGGTCCATGGACGTAATACCAGATGTTATAGAGGTGGGACCACAGGATTTTCTTAATGTACGTAAAATTTTGAATATTAATTCGAAATCATTGTTTGAAAAATGACTACTATCCAAAGATTACGTACCATGGCTATGTAAAGGTAGATCGTGGTAAGGAATTGGAACCAATACAAGTGCGGGATGAACCGGAAGTGACGTGGCCCGCCTCACCAGATGGCTACTATACCTTGATAATGATAGATCCCGATATGCCCAATGCTATTCATCCCGTTGACCGGGAATTTCTGCACTGGATGGTGGTCAACATTCCCGGGAATCTAGTGAGTTTGGGTGATGTTCGCGTGGGCTACGTAGGACCCACTCCGTTGCAGGGAAGCGGATCCCATCGATACGTAACTTTGCTCTACAAACAGAAGGAATACACAAAGTTCGACTTTAAGAGGTTGCCTAAGCATGTCCTGGACGGACGTACTGGATTCGGCGCTACTGCCTTTGCCAAGAAATATAAATTTGGTTATCCAGTGGCAGGAAACTTTTTCACCGCCAGTTGGAGCACTGATGTTCCCCAATTAATTAAAACCTTAAAAGTTCATACTGTTTCCGATTGGCATTGAGTAATTACTAGTTAAATATATTTTATTTTAAAATAAAACATATTTTCTTTTTTCTGAATATATCAACACCGATTTGATATTTGAGTCTACTGCGAGAAATCCTTCAAATATAAGTAATAGTAATATAATGTAGAAAAAAACTATAATTTTCAATATTATTCTATCCAAAATGTCTGAAGCCACTGATTGTTTTTCGAAACACAAAATCGTACCGGATGTTCTTAAAACATGTCCCGATAAACTACTTAAGGTAGGAATTTCTATTATTTTTAAGAAGATTTGTCGATTTCCTCCTTTTTTGAAGGTTACTTACCCCAGTGGCCAAGAGGCGAACATGGGAATCGAACTGACACCCACCCAGGTAAAGGACCAGCCGAAGGTGGTGTGGGATGCCGATCCGAATGCCCTGTATACCTTAATTCTAACCGATCCGGATGCCCCGAGCCGCAAGGATCCCAAGTTCAGGGAGTGGCACCATTGGCTGGTGGTCAACATTCCAGGCAACCAAATCGAAAACGGCCAGGTTTTGACCGCCTACGTGGGATCAGGTCCACCGCAGGGCACCGGACTGCATCGCTATGTCTTTTTGGTCTTCAAGCAGCCCCAAAAACTCTCCTGTAATGAACCGAAAATTCCAAAAACAAGCGGTGACAAGAGGGCCAACTTCAGCACCGCCAAGTTTATAAAGAAGTACAATCTGGGAGATGCTATTGCCGGGAACTTCTATCAGGCCCAGTGGGACGATTATGTCCCAAAGCTGTACAAACAGCTCTCGGGCAAATAGTTAAATAGAAATAATTTAAAAGTTAATTTTTTGGTCATTCATAAAAATATTAAAATTCAATTTCCCTCTCATCAGTCTTATGAATAAAAATAATCTACAGTATCTTACATGTTTAAAGTACAAATTACAAACAAAAACTTAGTTTCAGTAAATGCAGGAAAGAATATAATAGTTTTAACTATAAATATAATATTTATTTACTAATCAGACGTTTATCAGCTAAAACAAAAGACTTAAATGTTCACAGAGTTCTGTCATTATCATTGAAGCGCGACTTGATAATTGCTGTTTGAAAAAAAACGCTTTTCCTTCAACTGCAGGTGAGCCAAGCAAAAAGCTCTCACCTGTGTTTTTAAGGTATGGCATCATGGTAAACTGGTTTCAGTTTGTGACAGGCCTCGTTTGAGATCAGGTCGTTGCTAGTTTCTTTATACAAAAATCTTATCGCAAGCATAATTAATTTTCTCTGGAAAATGAAATTGTTTATCTTAATTTTGAGCTGCCTTCTGGCCGTTCAGGCCAGTTCTGTGGAGGAGGTTTTCGCCTCTAACGAAGTAGTGCCCGACGTTATTCCTGAAGCACCTTCCCAGCTACTTAAAGTAAGATCGCTGCCTGTTTTAAGTTAACTTAAACTAAAATACAACCTTAAGAAACTTTCCGTTCAAAGGTCAACCTCTAAACACCATTTCTATTTTAGGTAACTTACAAAAATGGACTTGTGGCCAAGGATGGAGTGGAACTCACACCCACCCAAGTAAAGGATCAGCCTAATGTGGAGTGGGACGCACAGCCTGGAGATTACTATACTCTTATCATGACCGATCCCGATGCTCCTAGCCGTGCGGAGCCGAAGTTCCGTGAATTCAAACATTGGATTTTGGTCAACATCGCTGGCAACGACTTGGCCACTGGAGAGGCGATTGCTGGCTATGTGGGCTCCGGACCTCCAAAGGGAACTGGACTCCATCGCTACGTTTTCCTGTTGTACAAGCAGTCTGGAAAGCTTGAGTTTGAAGAAGAGCGTGTTAGCAACAAGTCGAGAAAGGACCGTCCAAAATTCAGCGCAGCCAAGTTTGCTGAAAAGCATCAGCTAGGTAAACCCATTGCCGGTACTTTCTATCAAGCTCAATACGACGACTATGTGCCCATACTCCACCAACAACTGGCATCTGAGTAAGATGTTAAGAAATCCAAAATTAAATGTGAATCATGTTAATGTTTTAAGGAAAACATCCAACTTTGATTTCAACGCAAATACACTTCTGTAAGCAAGTTATTCTTTTATCATAAAGATAGAGCTGATTATTATTGAAACAAGTTATAAAAAGGCTCTAAATTAGACGTTGTTTTTGTTAATGTATAGAGAATCGCTTTTAGTTTTATTGATTGTAATTGGTGGCTATCTTTACTGTACGCTACGGTAAACTATTTACCCGCAGCAGTTGCCAGGGGATTTCTTAAAACGAGGATGACAGAATCGCCGCGAAGGAACATCTTCGATATGAAGCGGTCCTTATTGACGGGCTTCACCTTCTTCTTGCCCTTGCCGGTGCGCGGAAGCTCCGTCCACATCTCCTTAACGTTCTCAAGGACCATGTTGCAGTGGCGGTCAAAGGCTTTAACCCTTCCAAGCAATTTTTTGTTATTGCGGCAGTTGATCAGAACCTGAGTGTTGTTTTTCACAGACTGTGTAAGTACTGATAGTGGGCCCGTGTTGAACTCCTCCTCCTCCTGGCGAGCCAGCTCCTCTGGAGTAAGTTCCGACTTGGGTTTGACCAGAGCCCTGGGAAAAAAAGTAATGTATTACCATTTTTTTAGGTATAGTAGTGCATCCAAAATGCCGGCGCACATGTCCTCCAATTTGGTGTCTATTTTAATGTTTATCCTCGACTTTTATATAAAACTTACATGGTAATGTCTTTTTACAAATGGGAAAATGCAGTTGCAAGTCTTTAAAAGTGGATTTTAAAGATATTTTTCGAGTAATCCAACGAAAACAATTTCACAGCGCGGCTTCTTCGTTGGTTGCTTTGGTAAAGATGGCACACTAGAGATGAAACTATTGCTATCGAACTATCGATAAGTATTTTGAGGATTCAGTTTTTAAACTTTAAAACATTAATAATTTTAAAAAATTCAGGAAATTAATAACGTAAGAGTATTCTTAATTTAAATTTAACATTCAAAGTCTTTTGCATTTCAAAGTCTTTACAGAATTTCATAGCTATGACTTATTTTGGTAATTTTTTTACTCCTTTCTGGTCACACCAGGCATCAGACAAGTTGGAGTTTTGTAACTATTTTTATTAGCACATGATGGAGGCCAAAAAGCATAAGCTTACCGAGAATGATAGTTCTGAATCTGTAGAGGGAATCTGCTCCTATTGGGTGCCGCGCAAGAAACGGCGCTGCAAGATGACAGCCAACAAAGGCAGCCCTTTCTGCGGGGCACATGCTCCAGCCTCAACATTGGATGAAATTTCTGGCGAGGATTCGTGCAAAGAACGTGTTCCCTGCCCGCTGGACCCCAAACACACCGTGTTCAAAAGAAAACTAGCCAAACACCTGACCATTTGCAATGCAAGGGATCAGCAAAGCACCCTCCCATACATCATAAAGAATATTAATTCAGGCGAAAACCTACCTGACTCCACAGACTCGGCCAAGCTTAGGGAATTAAAACTGCATGAAGTGCCCGATGAAGAGTTCTACGCTGTTATAGAAACAATCGAAAATCTCTACGCTGAACTCATTGATTCTACAATCACTGAAGCTCATTCGACACACGAATCGCTTAAGGAGGAGCTCAGTCGTGACGATTACGGTCAGAACACACTACGCCAGCTGCATCAATCTTCCAGTCTGCTGGGCATTCTGGAGAGTGATCAACAAATCACCAATGACACCAGTTATGTGGAATTTGGTGCTGGTAAAGGACAATTATCTTACCACCTAGCCACCGAGTTGGATGAGCGGCACATGACTGGCTCCCAAGTAATTCTCATCGATCGGATGTCCCTGCGACACAAAAAAGACAACAAAGTGACCAACAGGGATTTGGTGAAGCGAATTCGGGCAGACATAGGCGATCTGAAGCTTTCAGCTTTGCCGGAACTGAAGAAAACGCAGAGAACGGTGGCCTTTTCTAAGCATCTTTGTGGTGAAGCCACAGATTTGACTTTACGATGTATACAGAGTAATGCTGGTAAGATAAATTCATTTTTATATTTCAATTGTTAACATTTTTTCATAGTAGATGGATCTCCGCCTGTAGACTACGTACTCATAGCCTTGTGCTGCCATCATCGTTGCTCTTGGCAGTCCTACGTGGGTCGTCCGTTTCTCCAAGAACGCGGAATAGGACCTCGCCAATTTGCAATATTAATCAAAATGGCCAGTTGGGCAGTTTGTGGTACCGGCTTAAGTCGTGAGCGGCGGCGTGCCATGGAACAGGCGGAAAAGCAGGAGCAACCGGAAGAGAACACCCAGCGGCTGAGTCGTGAGGAGCGTGAACGTTTTGGACTTCAATGTAAGCGTCTATTGGACTGGGGAAGATTAGAGTATATCCGATCGCAAGGATACGAGGCGAGTCTAAAGTTCTATGTGCCAAAAGATGTAACACTGGAGAATGTAGTGCTGGTAGCGAAGAGGGATACCTCAAAAAAATTAAACAGTTGACAGAGAGGAAACTAAATCGCCTTAATTTTAATGTTATCATATTTTCTATATTTATACGTAGCTATTCTTTATACATATCATTGTAAGAATCGTAAATAGCTATAAAATATAGTTTTATATAGAAACAGACAATTGTATCGTGCAATATCATGATAAATTTGAAACTTAGATATAATTGTTTTTTAAAATTCATTTACTGAAACGAATGTTTAAATTATAAAAATTTAGAATAAATGGTTAGTTTTTTCTCAACTAAATCATATTTAAAATTAATAATGATTTTTATTTCAACTTTTGTAATAATTTTGAATTGATTTGTACCGATTAGTTATCGAATATATATTCGACATGACTTTTAGTATTTTTTGAATTTGACATGACGTGTAAAAATCAAATATATCTACATGGCGCTGGTAGGGAACAGCTGACTTGAAAGTGGGACCATTGCAGTTTGGAAAGTTCAATACTAAAAAGATAAATAGACAAAAAAAAAAAGTCGTTGAAAACATTACCAAATATCAATAATGTCCAACGAAATGGCCCATCGAATGCGAGCTATCAAGTGCCCCACGGACGAACTGTCCCTGACCAACAGGGTGATTGTAAATGCTGGCGACTTTACGGATGAGGTCAAGTACGTATAATTTTTCCACCTACAACAGAGTGGGCGTCTTTATGGATTTCCTCCTTTTCCCCATTATGTTAATGAATTCCCTGGATCCTTTTTAGATATGTGGACATTTCGCCCGGCCCTGGACTGCACTACATATTTGCCCTGCAAAAAGTTAGTGGGCAAGAGCTTCCAAGCGGCCACGTTGGATTTTCGCTAGTGCAGAGAAAATGGGCCACGCTCTCCATTAACCAGGAGATTGACGTCCGGCCGTATCGCTTCGATGCCAGTGCCGATTTGATCACCTTAGTATCCTTCGAAACGGACTTCCTGCAGAAAAAGATCACGACACAGGATCCGTACGATTCGGATGAGATGGCCAAGGAGTTCATCATGCAGTTCGCTGGCATGCCACTGACAGTGGGCCAAACCCTTGTCTTCCAGGTTATAAAAGTCGTTTTTATATCTACAACTAATATCGTAAAGGTTTCATTTGATTTCACCATATGACTCATTACACAATTCATGCAAATTTATATCTAATATACAATGATGTGTCATTGTTGTCTTCAAAAGTGATGAAATCAGGCATTTTTAATATCTCCAATAATCTCCATTTTGTAATCTTACAGTTCAAAGACAAAAAGTTCCTGGGACTTGCTGTGAAGACCCTGGAGGCTGTCGACCCCCGAACTGTGGGGGATGGAGCTCCCAAAGCACGCAATGTCCGTTTCGGGCGCATCCTAGGAAACACGGTGGTGCAGTTCGAAAAGGCCGAAAACTCTGTTCTGAATCTGCAAGGACGATCGAAGGGAAAGATCGTTCGCCAGTCGATAATTAATCCGGATTGGGACTTTGGAAAAATGGGCATTGGCGGTCTGGACAAGGAGTTCAATGCCATCTTCCGGCGCGCATTTGCTTCGCGCGTTTTTCCGCCAGAGTTGGTTGAGCAACTGGGCATCAAGCACGTAAAAGGAATCCTCCTGTACGGTCCTCCCGGCACTGGAAAAACCTTGATGGCTCGACAGATTGGAACTATGCTGAATGCCCGCGAACCAAAGATCGTTAATGGACCACAGATTCTAGACAAGTACGTGGGTGAGTCGGAGGCGAATATCCGTCGCCTTTTTGCAGAGGCCGAGGAGGAGGAGAAGCGCCTGGGACCAAACAGCGGTCTCCACATAATCATCTTTGACGAAATCGATGCCATTTGCAAGGCTCGTGGTTCGGTGGCCGGTAACAGTGGAGTCCATGACACAGTAGTCAATCAGCTACTGGCCAAGATCGATGGCGTGGAGCAGCTGAATAACATTTTGGTGATCGGTATGACCAACCGTAGAGACATGATCGATGAGGCGCTTCTGCGTCCCGGTCGCCTGGAAGTTCAAATGGAAATTAGCTTGCCCAATGAACAGGGACGCGTCCAGATCCTAAGCATTCACACGAAGCGTATGCGGGACTTTAACAAGATTGCTAGTGACGTGGACAACCAAGAGATCGCAGCCATAACGAAGAATTTCAGCGGAGCTGAGCTAGAAGGATTGGTCCGAGCGGCCCAATCGACGGCTATGAATCGACTTATCAAGGCTGATTCCAAGGTATGATTTAAAATTGTCTTGGAATTTGTAATATATTTATTAATGATCTTCCATAAGGTTCATGTGGATCCGGAGGCCATGGAAAAACTAAAGGTAACCCGCGCGGACTTCCTACACGCCCTAGAGAATGATATCAAGCCAGCTTTCGGTGCAGCTCAAGAGATGCTAGAAAATATGCTGGCCCGCGGTATAATCAACTGGGGTCCTCCAGTCGCAGGACTTCTGGAGGACGGTATGCTCTCCGTGCAGCAAGCCAAGGCTGTCGAGGGCTCCGGTTTGGTATCTGTACTTATCGAGGGCGCTCCAAACTCGGGCAAATCGGCGCTGGCCGCCAGATTGGCCAAGATGAGCGACTTCCCGTTTGTAAAGGTTTGCTCACCGGAGGACATGGTGGGCTTCACAGAATCTGCGAAGTGTCTGCACATCAGAAAGATCTTTGATGACGCCTACCGCTCCACCCTCAGCTGCATTGTTGTCGACAATGTGGAGAGATTACTCGACTATGGTCCGATTGGGCCACGGTACTCCAATCTGACGTTGCAGGCCCTGCTGGTGCTGCTGAAAAAGCAACCGCCCAAAGGTCGTAAGCTGCTCATTCTGTGTACATCCAGCCGGCGAGATGTGCTCGAAGAGATGGAAATGCTTCCGGCTTTCACCGCCGTTCTGCATGTGTCCAATTTGTCCAGTCCAGAGCATGTACTCGCCGTGCTGGATGATTCTGATCTTTTCAGTCCCGAAGAACTACAAACCGTCGCCAAGAAAATGGCTGGCAAGCGAGTATGGATCGGCATTAAGAAGCTACTGGCCCTGATAGACATGGTCCGTCAGTCTGAGCCGCATCAGCGAGTCATCAAGTTTCTCAGCAAAATGGAGGAGGAGGGTGGTCTGGACTTGGTGGCCAGATCCCACTAGCTACCGCCCCTTGCCGAGCTACGATTATCCCTCGTGGAGCTCCCAGACGCCTTTTAAGCTTCCACATTCCATCAGCAAAGGGTGGGTCGATTTGCTAGATTTTATTTAAATTTCATGAGTTGTTTTTTACAAAATATGTTATTTATAAAAGATTTTTTTTTATTCTTTAACTTTCTTTAATTTTTTGGAACTTATCGTTTTCAAACAATTTAAATTAAATCGTCGATTTACTGAATTATTGTGTGAAAACGAAAATTCTGATTAGTTTTGGAATATTCTATTCTTTTCTCTATATTTTCCATCTAATTATTTTCATGATATTTTAATGTTAAATCAAGCAAATCGACCCACCCCTTTTAGTCTTTTATTTTTCAGAAGCTTTAGTCAAAAATCACACCTAAAAATTATGATTTATCTCAGGTTTTCCTGATTAAACAGCTCAGCTTTGTTTTAACAAAAAACCGATTATTTCCTGCCTGATTATTCCTATTAAAAAGCACAAACTAACATATAGCTAAAGACCAATATGGAGGGGTATACGATTATGTTACCTATTTGTTTTTAAGTCAAACTTCTATCGACCCATCGAACTTTGAAAACTCGCATGTAGCGATACTGGATCAAAATATTTATTTCTGAAATAGTAAAATTTATACGCACAGATTTATACAGACATTTTATACAAAAACGGTGTATTTTGTAAAGTTTTATAACCATATTGTATTCTTTACGAGGAATCATCTCTGGAAAATAAATTATCCAGAGAAAAGGAAATTTAAAAATGAGAAGGAGCCAAAACCGAAATAAATGTTCAGTGTCCAGTTTTTATATATTTTATAATGAAACATAAAGGACTTGTTGATTGAGACCACAAATATGCCGACCAAAATATGGGTTGGAACCCCACAAATATATTGTTTCTTAACTAAAACAACAACGATAGAGGATTAGTTTACATTTTTTAGAAGAAATTAAATTATAACAATTTAGTAGTATTTTTTTCATTTGATTAAACTGATATCCTTTTTCCTGATTTGATTGATCAATCAATGTATTTTACATCCAGACACTTGATCAATTTAGGTTTCAAAACTAGCTAAGGTTCAAGTCTAGGCTTGGGTGGTAAAATGAGATCCAAGCTTTAAAAAAAAAAATTGAATATATATTTATGAATATGTGTATTTATTGTGAACGTATTAAGGGGGCGAGGATCCCCTAATTGTAGTGTTTATTAAAATGTATTTTTATTAACTTGCTTAGCTCTACAGCTACTACGAAATTTTCAAAGAGTTACAAATAAATGGAATTTACTAGACAAGGAAATTATTTTGTTTCACTTATTAACAACTAAAGTAATTACTTATTTAAATAATTAGTTATTTCTGCGTTGGAAACTGGAATAGAAATTCTTTGAGAATTCCCAGTCATTTAAATATTGTTTATGCTTGACAATCGCCGGCAGACAGCTGTCCAGCCAAGAGGCGTCAAATGATTATCGCCGGTTACCGCTACCATATATTCACCCGATCCATCGATCAGCTGTTCAAGATGCCGCCAAGCACCGGAACCCAATCGGAGCAGTGCCGGGGGTAGAGGCACAGTTACCGACCACCACAACCAGTCGCTCTAATATGCAATTTGAATAAATGATTTATAATGAAAACACTTTAACCGCGAGTCGTCTGCGTATACGTAATGTTGAGTGGACCAGCGCAGAGTAATTGATATATGGCGCTAATTGCGCTCGACGCCCATTTGTGGTCCAGTCAGTCGGAGCGCCACTTTATCAGCGTCGTCTGAGGAATCCTGGGTAGCCAAAGCTACAATAACAGCCAAAGCCATGGCCATGTCGCGACGGTGTCAGCTGCAATCCAGCGCCACTTATTAACTAATTAAAGCTGCATATTTCTTAAGATCGCGAAATTGATTTGCATTGCCAATTGCCTCTAGAATTGGTTAGTTACAATCTTGGTTGTAGGGCGTAGATCTACATAATCAACTTCAGTTTATAAATAAATTACAATATATGTATATTCTTTAAATAAAAATTCACCTGCCTGATGACCGACATAATATCCTGGCCACAATTCGCCATAAATGTCGATTACGTCCGAGTCGGAAAAAATCCAGCCAACTCATCATCGCCCACCCACCCAAATCAGGCGGCGTTTAAATATAATTATCGGGTTAGGGCCTGGCCAGCGCGTCATCGCCGGTGGCTCACGTATGCAAAAATTTTCGTGACGAAAGTCCAGTCGGACAAAGTTCAGTGACCGACCGGGCCAAAAATTAAAAACTGCCCTGCCAAAATTAAAATCGAAACGGATTTTCATTCACTGTCGGTAAAAATAAATGCGAAACTTTTACAAATTTGTATTTTTGTTATTATTAATTAAAGTCACCAGACCCGACTCTCTTGCACTTCTCCCAATCGGACATCTCGCACAGTGTACCAAGCTAAAATTAAAATAAATATATTATTAATTTTCTAATCGTACCAAAAAATGTGTCTTATTAATGAATATTTTTAATTATCATAATTAGGTATAGATATAGGAGAAACATAACATATTCTTATGTTTTACTTTATAAAAAACATAAATACCTTTGCCAAAATTTGAAAAAAAGTTTACAAAAACAGGTATTATTTTCAAAAAAATTTATGGTTGTTGGTGCACTGTGCGCCATAGTCGCGCCCCTCGTAAACTTTGCCGTAAACCTGACCGGCTTTGTTGTAGTTGTTGTTGCTTTTTAAAAGCGCAAACGCCGGCAGCGAAGGTTCGATTTCACTTTCGCACGGTGTCCCCGTCTCTGGTGCCTCCACTTGCCCCCCATTTCACCCAATGGCGCGGGAGCAGGCGCATCTGGGGTGTCATGTTTTGAGCGCTTTACGACCGACTGCCGCTCTCACCTGCTTTCTTTCAAACAGAGTTCGCATGCTTGGGCTCTCCTCTCTCCGCCGAAGAGAAATTTGATCGATTTGGCAGCGCTTTTCCAGAGGATCGGTCCAGTCGGTTCTTTCGGATCCGCAATCTTTGGGATGCAAGATGCAGACCTCACGGGAAACTGCCAGTATAGCTTTACATACACTGATAAAAATCTAATATATTTGCGTATTCATTAAAAGCAGTTTTGTTTTTAATGCATATTTTGTTTTTCATCACAATAATTGATACAATTCTTGAATCTTTAAAGGTTTTTGTATAGTTTAAAATTTAATAAAGTATATTTCTAGGTGTATGTATAATTTTATGCCCATGTGAGTACTAAACTTATTTGTGGCAAATCTATGCCAAACACAAAAGCAAAACTCATGCAAAATCTTCCTGCATTACACAAACGCGGAAGATTTTCACCGTACTTGCTTGTATCATGGATTTTCCATAGCTCAACCTGCATTTTCATGGCATTTCCATTGATGTTTTCCAGCCTGTGTTCCATTGTGTGTGTGTTTCTTGGCATGTGTGAGTTCGCATGCGAAACTAGCAGTTAAATTAGCAGTTTTTGCCGCTGCCTAAGCTACAATTTTACACTGCGACTCTTTTAGGTTTTTTTTTGTTTTGCTTCTCGATACCAGCTTTGGTTTCGGTTTCGCTTTGGGTTTTTTACTTTGGTCTTTGCAATTTATAATTGAGTTGCAATTTGGCAGGCACTGGCCAACTATTCGTGGAATGCGGCGGGGAGCGGAGGCGTCGGTTTTCCTGGAACTTGCATGCGTATTCGTCATCAACAGATAGAGAAAAAAATATGGTTTCATGGGATCTAGAGATTCTCAGCATCGAAATGGCGGACTTAACCCTTTGAATCGGATAAGTTTAGCATTCTTTCAAGTAAACCGGAATCAGCGCTCTTTAAGATCCGCCATTGCAATACTAGTGTTGGAAAGTGCTTAAAGCTAAAAGATGGCTACCCATTGCTAGACAGAGAAAGGTTATCATTAAAATTTTATAAATAGTATAAATGTTGCGATTATTCAAAATGATGAAGACCAATCTTTTTGATTAAAAGATACACCGGCAGCCATGGGTTAAACCAAAGTATGTATTTATATGCCATTTATTGCTTAAACAGAAGACACAACCCCCAAGATTACACACAAACAACGAGACAAGAAAAAAAAATCGGGGCATGATCAAAAGGAGGCACAAATCAAAACGCAGAATCAGAATCCAGGGCAAAAAGCTTGAATCTCGAAATCTGAAATCTGTGAAAATGTTGCCGCACGCGATCGAGACATTCGCATTTAATTTTATTTCATTTCGATTCATTGATACTGGGCCAAAACAAAACAACACCAACAAAAACAACATAAACGGCCCAGTTCCAAATTAAATAATACAAGTTCTCTGCCAACACATACATCAGTATATGTATAGATGTGTATAAGCGTGTGTGTTCTTCCTTGGGCTCCTTATTATTATTATATTGTTGTATTCCACCCTTTTTTTTGCGTGCTGCGTGTTTTTTGTGTGTGCCATTTTCTTAGGAATTCCCATCAGCTCCATCCGCATCCCTTGTCGCACGATCAATCAGAATTTTAGGCTTCCATCAGCTTCTTGGATTTCGATCTAGATCTGATCGTGTTGACTTCCATTTCACTTTCCTTTTTTAAGGCAGCTGAAAGGATTAAACTGGGCGGCACGTGCCTAGGACTTCCTCGTCCTTCACTTTCTTCGACGACTCAAATTACATGAATGTAGAATCTTACCCTTTCATCTTCATCAAGAAAACAACTATTATGATGACGATTCACAGCTGCTTTTGCTTTCATAAAAAATATGTTTTTACATTTAAGTTTAATACTTAAGGAATATTTATAATATATTTTAGTCTTATAATAATACTGTTGATTGGGGTATTTTCTTCAAGCAGCTGCCTTCTATTTGGGGGTGGCACGTGTTTTCTTCACTTTCCACTGCTACTCGGGTTACCTGTCTTCATCGTTTACCCTTTCTACACCTTTACTGGCCACGCCCTCGAGTCATTAGGGCGCACACTTACGCCAGGCGGATATTGATTTCTCTGGGTTGGACGGGTACTATTCATTGCTTTTTAGCAGATGATGACATCTGTGTATGCCCATTGTGTTTCACTTTTCATCAAACTTATATTAAT